TTGAAATAGCTGTATATATATTGTATCTGTATATTGTGTACACGTTCAGGTTAACATTTCAGACAAAAAAAACTTCACAAGAAAAGGAAGAAGCAGAAAAAGAGTAACAACAACAACAAAACAAAGCCAGTCGAAAACTAAAACAAACAAACAAACAAACAAAAATAACCCGTAGCCACAAGCGACGGTTATAAGTTCGTTTTTGTTCCACTTTGTAAGTGTGAATATTTTTTTTCGGGTTTGTTTTCTCGAATAAGTTTTCTCTTGCTTTATGCTTTTTTAGCTTCCGATTCGTTTCACATCTTTGTGCTAGTTGCGTAATCATGCATTGCCTATTTCGTTTTTTTCATTGGCTTACTATTTTCCGTGTAAAGCGTGACTGTATAAAATAAATGTGTTTCGTTTCGTTAATCAGTTCTTGTTTGTATGCAGAGTGCCGTACAGTTCTTGTAAGAGGTTAATTTTCATTGCATATATTGTCCATCGTTGTTATTGACATTGACTTCGAGGTGACGGTTGCAAATTAATGATGTTTCCTTTTAATTTTTGCCGACTTATGGTAGCTTATAGAGTGCGGCTTTCCCATTATCTTTCTTTTGCCGCTAAACTGAAGCTTGATGTGTATGTGAACAACACTTGGACGCCCGTTTGCCATCCAGTAGGCATTGCTGATAGACTTTGCCAGATCCAAGGCTTTGAGTCAGCTGAGAATAACGCAAACTGCGATATGATCCAGACTCACCGTCATGGCAACACAACTTGTGGCACTCTTCAAAGAATGATTTCTAATTGTAGTGAACCTCACAGAGTTGCCGCTGTATGTAGAGGTACAAGTAAATAGACTCAGGCAAATTTTTGATAAAAGCAGAGAGGGTATATACTTCCAACTTTTTTAACGTAGTAATCGCCCTTTTGCTGATAGGTGTAGAAAGCTTTCTTGCCATTCCAGCCTACAGTGTATACCCATCGTTTCATACTATATCAACGTTAGACACAAACTCCGGTGGTAGGGAAAGTCTTCTTGTACGGAGAAAAACTCTATACTTTGTTTACTGTAATAGGATAACTCCATTCTCCATTGTATGACAAAAACACAACCCACAATTTCCCAATTTGCTCTTACGAGGGGCTAACGCCCAAAACATCAACTCTTGTGATTTATCTTTATCAGCTACATGTAATAGTTGAAAACTAAGATGTTGTTTTAAATGTCTGCCGACGCAGTTCAAAGTTTCTTTGAAAACTAATGTTATCACTTCATTGCAATCGCTACGATCCATCCATTTGTTCTCACAGGTCTTTTGGAGACTACAATGGAGAATCATACAAATGAACGTGGAAAAAATTCAGGAACTGGCAAGTTGTTTCATTCCCTCTCCTTTTATCAAACAGTTGCCACACTAATTTTTGAAAAAGCTAGGCTTTGGTGCCAATTTCACTTCATCCGCCGTTGCTATTCATATAAAGAAATTCCCCGAGACCCTCTCTTTAACTTACTCTTGTCTTCTTTTTCAAATTCTAACAAGATATGTATGCAAAGAAATTTACGAAACTCAGTAGTCTTAATATAGAATTATGAAGTTAATCATCAAGTGCATCAGCTATTTTTGGACAAATTAATATAAACATCCATCCGCGTATATGAGCATCAGCCAAGGTACTCAAAGCCTTAGTGACGGTGTCACCAACGACAATAGAATCGTTGATCATTAAAGGATTAGCAGTGTAGACCAAAAACGAACATCAGCAATGCAGTTCTTGATCACAGAAACTGCGTTTATTTTCGAGTGACTAGCGTAAGTCTGAAGGAAAGGTAGATGTGACTGTCATCAGTATAACAATGGACGAAAGGCAGGGTACTGATAAATAATATCAAATTGGCGAAGCTATGGCAAATAAATGCCATATGATCCATAAAACCACCCAGTGGTACTCTGCAGTTGGGATAAAAGTGGTCGAAGGTTTCATCACCAATGAGAACAAGATCCAGTAGAAATGAATCCAATTGTTTGCAGCATTTTCCTCTTGAAAATTAATGAAAGATTACACAGCACAGATTTTTTAAATCCAAATCAGGTCCTGGCTTTTTCAGTAGAGGCGTAACAACAATTTGCCAGTTGCCAGGAACATGACCACTGAGAAGAGACATATTTGAACACACACGACTCGCAAATTGCCACGCAAAGTGATAAAGAAGGAAAGTTTTAAGAAGTCGTTATTGCTACTTACCTGCCTTCATAAACTTATTCTTATCACTAACAGCCAGTTTCGTTTGCTTGCCCCTCGTTTTAATGGCGTTCCTCTTAAAATACTAATAATTCTGCTGACGCTGATTAATCGTTTGTAAACAGGTACGAATTCATCCGAGGATTTCAATGTGTCTATTCCACCAGATCAACTCACTGAGTTCGTCGTTGGTCAAAAAGCATCAATAATTTGCAAGCTTCCACAGATAACAGTTCCCATGACAGCAGAATGGAGAAGAGAAACAAATGAAAAAATTTTTCGAAGGAAATATTATCCTTTCGGTGAAGTAGATACAGGATTATCGTCTCCTGAAAAATTTTACCTGAAAATCGAGGCTGTCTCCCTTCAGGATTCAGGGCGGTACACCTGTCAAGCAAATTCCTCAATTGGTTCAGATAAGGATTCCTTCTTTCTGAATGTGACCAGTAAGTGGTGTGGTCATTCAATATTAACTATCTCTTGGTAACTGATAATGACTATTGCACATAGATTGTGGGACGTGCAGATGGACAGAAAGACTGTCTAACAATTTTGTTATTGATCACAGGTGTGCGTAAAGATTAATCTATGCTTGCATTTATCTGCCTGTCGCTCTCTCGTGTCCCTACCCTTTCGTTTAACACTTGTGTTATTTTGCTTATAGATATAGATAGCGAAGACAACGATGAGAATCATAATAAGGTTCCAGTGATCGTTCTGGGTTTTGTGTCCGGTTTCCTGGGCCTCGGCATTTTTGTCTGCCTTGTCTACCACAAGAGACGAGTTTCAGGTATGGTAAGAAACTGCGGTGCTGCGTCGGTTTGGGGCATTTACAAGATAAATTGGCTTTATCAACTGAGTTGATCTTGTGAGTCAGCCTCCGCATAGATATTCTAAAGCTGACGTTTCAAACATTGTCCCTTCATCGCTCTAATTCTCATTGTCAACTTATCCGATGAAACCATTTTTAAAGCATATCTTGATCTAAGAAACCTGTGGCAGTAATAGTAGTAGTGGTAGTGGTAAGAGTAGTAGTAGTAGTAATAGTAGTAGTGGCAGTGGTAAGAGTAGTAGTAGTAGTAATAGTAGTAGTGGTGGTGGTAAGAGTAGTAGTAGTAGTAATAGTAGTAGTGGTGGTAGTGGTTCAGTGGTAGTAGTTTATTTGGAAGTGGTAACATGGTGAGTAGTAGTAGTAGTAATAGTAGTAGCTAAAGGTGGTAAGAGTAGTAGTAGTAGCAATAGTAGTAGTGGTGGTGGTAAGAGTAGTATTAGTAGTACAGGCCTAGTGGTAGTGGTAAGGTAGTAGTAGTAGTAATAGTAGTAGTGGTAGTGGTAAGAGTAGTAGTAGTAGTAATAGTAGTAGTGGTAGTGGTAAGAGTAGTAGTAGTAGTAATAGTAGTAGTGGTAGTGGTAAGAGTAGTAGTAGTAGTAATAGTAGTAGTGGTAGTGGTAAGAGTAGTAGTAGTAGTAATAGTAGTAGTGGTAGTGGTAAGAGTAGTAGTAGTAGTAATAGTAGTAGTGGTAGTGGTAAGAGTAGTAGTAGTAGTAATAGTAGTAGTGGTGGTGGTAAGAGTAGTAGTAGTAGTAGTAGTAGTAGTGGTAGTGGTAAGAGTAGTAGTAGTAGTAATAGTAGTAGTGGTAGTGGTAAGAGTAGTAGTAGTAGTAGTAATAGTAGTAGTGGTAGTGGTAGTGGTAGTGGTAGTGGTAGCGGTAAGAGTAGTAGTAGTAGTAGTAATAGTAGTTATGGCAGTATTAGTATTAGTATAAGTATTAGTTTTAGTATATTAGTAGTATAGTAGTAGCTGTAGGAGTAGTAGTATGAATGGTAGTAATATAGCAGTTATAGTGGTTGGAAAATAGTTGTTGCAGTATTAGAATATCGTAAAGCAGTATGTTCTTTCCCTCCGAATTGAAACAATAGAGCTGAGGTATCATCTAAATGTTAATGCTAAGAATGAATGAGTCAGTTCTGTTTTCTCGAATAACAAAGGATTTCCTTGTAAAAATTGTTCAATTAATGTTAACATACTTCATTTTTGGTTTTTTAGCCCTAAGAAACGTTGATCGTTTGGAAAATTTCACTTTACAAAGGTACAGTCACAAATTGTTAATATACGAAGCATGGTAAGAGGTGATGTGTTCATTTTCAGGTTGTTGATAATAGGAGACGGCATTTATTTTCAATATTAATCATTCATCTAGTTGTTTATCTTTAATTTTTATAGATCTTTTTAGGGTAGCATCGTCAATCCAAATAAACGGGAAAGAACAAATAACTGGAGTGGGAGGAAAGAAAAATGCTGATGTTAGAAGTGTAGAAGTGAGCGAAAACAGGGGGGAGAGGGGTAAAGGTGATCATTGATTACGAAGGTGATGAATGAATTGAACATCTACTAAACTTTAGAAGTGCATGCCGTCCGAACGTGGGTTAATGGTAAAGTGCTGGCGAGCGTAGTCGTCGATAAACCAGTTCCTCGTCCTGGAAAAGAAGCTAAGCAATATTTATATTGGTCTTCCCGACAAGTGTGGGCAATTTAAGTAGTTAGAACTTATCATAATTTCCTCTTTTCCTTTTACATAGTGACACAGACACACGATATCTCTCCGTTACTGCTTCTCGCTGGGAGATCACCCCAAAACAAATTCACCTCCAAAGCATACTGGGAACTGGGGCATTTGGAGAGGTTTGGAAAGCTGTGGTCTACGGAATGAAAGGACACCCTGACGAGACTACAGTGGCTGTCAAGAAACTAAAACGTAACTAAGGCCTAAGTTTACTACATTTAGGCAAGGTCTTATACAGTTGAAAAAAAAAAAAATACATAAACGTGGTTTACGACTAGGTTAGGAAGGAATTCGAGGGTATTCGGAATCTCGACTTGTCATAACTTAAATATGTTTTTTTTTTAAATTTTAAAAGTGTATAAATCATAATTCATATAAAAAATTTATCGACAATATATCACATGTTTGAAATAATTTCAAAAGTCACGAAATATTTTATTTTCTTGATAAGTGCCGTCTCTCAAAACAGATCTCCGCGATTAGTTTCCGCCAAATTTTCAATGAAAATGCGAACGAGTAGTTACTGTGAATTTCCAATTTAAGTGTTCGATATAGACCGGTGGATGATAATCTTTTTACCTACTTATCTATTCCTCTGTGTGCACATTACGATAACAGGTAACTGTTCTGACCACGAACAGGAATCATTGGCGCAAGAAATTGAATTGGGAAAATCTTTGGGTGGAGACAAACATCCCAATATCGTTAATTTCCTGGCGTGTGTTTCCACATGCAGTAAGTGTCTAAGTAGTGAATTTTCAAAGTATCATGTCGAATCATGTTTTTTTTCTTGGAGACCGGACATAATTTGTCGGCTGGGGAGAGGGGGTGAAGAACCTGGGAGGGGGGGGTTGGGGAGCATGATGTTCAGAGGTAAAGGAGATGGGGATCATTTTTCGTCAATAGAGTATAAAGGAAGAACTGCAGAATATTGACAATCAATGAACTGCCAACAAGGGGGAATCATAAGAATATTACAGAGCCTTGTGGAGGATCAGGTAATTTTTACAGTGTCACAACCGAAATCCTCCAAACCCACCATGCGACAAGGAAGTTTTGGAACCATAAGATAAAACCAAGAACGCAGTGTATTTCACTCTTCTTTACATTTTGATTTTTTTGATTCACTTCTCTATTCATCAATGTATTCCTTTTTTCTTGCATCTATTCATTCATTCATTTATTTGATCGTTCATTCGAACATTTTCATTTTCATTTCTTGCTCTTTACAGCTATTCTTTTATATCACATAATTATAAGTGTCGTTGTTATGTTACAGCACCTATGATGTTGGTTTTGGAATATGCTCCATACGGGGATGTGCTTGGCTATCTCCGGAAAAGCAGAGGAGTGGAAGATCAGTTCTATTGTTCCCCAGAGTGTTGCCAGCAGGAAGTGACTTCATACGATCTGCTTAGTTTTGCACAACAGATTGCTTCCGGAATGAGTTTTCTGGCATCAAAGAAAGTATGTGTTTGCTTAAACGCTAGGAAATGTCTGAGATGTATTATTCTTCGTCAAATGTAAATAGAAATTTCCCTTAATTTTTCCTACGATTCACAACTGGTCTCCTAAAAATTTCTCAACACCTTCCTAAGGAAAGTTAATACTTCGGTTCCCGAAGGCTGATTGATGTACTCTTCCTTTTTATGGCCAACAGTTGTAGCTACTATGGTTTAACAACACCGGTCGAGAAGCACTGTTTATGTTTAGCACTGTTGGTTTCCTACGCTTATCTCCCAACCTCCCGCGTGTTTTCATCAGCCTATGTAAACACGGAAACCATTTTACATTTCTTCATTCAGCTTTGCATTGCCTATGCATTTCCGCTCAAAGCAATTCTGCAATTTTCAGATCCTTCATCGTGATCTCGCTGCAAGAAACGTTCTGTTGGGAGCAGACAGGATTTGTAAAATTACCGACTTTGGACTGGCTCTGATAAGGGATAAATATCAGCAGTATCTTTACTGCACTGCCGTTAGAAAGGTAACTGTACTTGTTAAATCTTTAACTTCTCTGAATGGGTGACTTTAATCGCTTTTCATGGAGGAACAAAGACAATAACTCGAGCTGACACTAAATCAACTTTTTTATTCGTGCATACCTACTATTGCAGTGTTTTCTCTATTTAGTTTCATTAATTTCGTTATCATTTCCCAATTCATAGGGTCGCCTCCCGATCAAATGGACCGCCCCTGAGCATCTTTTTAAAGGTTCTGACGAAAAAAACGTCAGAGTGTCAGAGAAAAGTGATGTGTAAGTTAACTAGCTAAGGGGTCATCTTTTAACCATTTATCTCCCATGAGTGACCAAGACAGAATTTCTCCTTACAATATCAACATAATATCAAGCAGATAACTGATGAGAACAAAGAAAGGTCTTAATTAGGGGATTATTAGTTGATCCAATACCAAATTCTCCAAACTTACACCAGAAGAACTATGTGGAAAACAGTAAGGAGAATTACTAATGAGATCTTGGGAGTTAAAAGGTTAATGAAAGTGAAATTTTTTTCCTTGAGCTTTCTAATGAGTGTTTTAGCTCGATTCTTTTTTAACTTTTCTAAAAGGTCTGTGAATGCACTCGTACGAGATCCTCAAGAATACCTTGAATCTTTTTCTTGTTCGTTGCTATTTTTTTCAGCCTATGTAAGTGTATTGAAACGAAAAACGTTTGTGGAAAGCTTCTAACTTATGCTTGTCGTATGGCATTACCTTTACAAGTGATTTACGCCATTTCTTTTTGAAAAATGTTACCTTTCGGCGAAAGCCGACGTCCGTGGTTTTGTGGAGTGATATGACGTCATTTCACTGTCTGTACTCATTGACAATGACTTTCGAACAATTGGTACAAGATATTTTATAATTATTTGTTAATTTCACATTGTTTTATTTTCTCTTTTTAAAATAGTTGGTCATACGGCATTGTTCTGTTTGAAATATTTACTCTAGGTGAGTTGCATAACCCTCAGCGTTAAATGCAGTATTGACACTGTTCATGAAACCTCTACTGTTTGTCGTTAGGCACTTCTGAATGACGGTTTCTCCAAAACTCGTCACTTTTTCTACACCCTTGCGGTTACACTTTTTGCAATTACCGCTTTCGGGCTTAAGTTGAAAAAGCGCTTAACCCATAGGGATATCAGTCCATTTCTTAAAAGAAAAGGGATTTCTATTATCCACTCATTATTTGTTTTCATCACATTTGGACGTGCGTCATGAAAACTAGGTCGAGTACATCAAATCCAGACTTCCATGTTTACCTATGAGTCTCCTTGGGTATAAAGGAAGAATATCCGGCAATAACCATAAACCTTGGTTTTGTGTACTAAACCCAGTGTTCCTGGTTTCCCGTCCAAATATACCGACTTGATACCATTTCTTTTAATAGGAGGCGTGCCTTATCCGGGGTGGAACGAATGGAAAGTTGTGTATGAACTGAAAGTGAACAAATATCGGATGCCTCAACCAGAACATGTCAGTGATGAACTGTAAGTGCGAATTAACCAATCTTATAAGATTGGTGACTCCTATGGATTTCTATCTTTTATTGTTGCCTAAATTATATCCCTACAAGAGGCAAGAAAATAATTTTATGTCGTCTTTTTAGCTATCTCAAAACAAATTTCTTTAAAAAATAGCAATATAACTGAATAGTGAATAAAACTTTAGAACTGAACGGAACCATTGAACCTAGCCGATCAAAACTTACAAACGCCTTCTAAGCCCTTAATGGTTCCCAAAGGCAATGACGAAACTGGCCAAAAATTTCTAAACAGTCACACCTATGATCAAATTACCCGGTCGACAATAAATTTTTGGTCCTGTTTTTTTCCTTCGATACCCCTAATCTGTAGATATCAGCTTATGGCGGATTGTTGGAACGAAGACCCTGACGCCAGACCCACGTTCGATCATCTTCATGAAGTAATGACTGGGTTTTTGCAGGAAGAGGTAACTATTAGCATTAGACAAAATACTCTCCTGATTTGCTTGTCTATTCATGCCATCTCAAAAAGCGTTCCATTTAGTCAAGTCTGAATTTGATCCATTGCGTGGCTTAAGATTGACAATTGTCTCGAATGGCAAGCCTCCATATGTGGACAGTAGGGGCACGAATTTCCCAAAGTAACTGGCAGAGGATAGAAATAATCTGTATAGTATCAAATTCTACTGTGAAAGGCCTATATATACTTATTCTTCAAGAATGTTTTAGTAGCGGCTAGTTGCCGACCCTATGATATAGTGTGTGTAGGAGCTGCAATGTGTTCATAGTCGAATAATAAGAAGGCTTATTAATTTTATAGAGTAAGGGTCTCCGTTGTTAGGATTTCCTCACTACTTCTTTTGAATGTTGCAGTATTAGATGTCTTTTAATTCCATGCCATTTTTTCAGCACTATGTGGATATGTCAAAGTATGAACCAAGTCTTTATGCAAATGTGGAGGAAATGGTCACTTCTTCAGGTCTTGCTTCCTTTGATAATTTGACGACTGTGCTGTAGAAGATCAAGATTATGACCAGAACATGGATTAAAACTGTATAGCTAAAAACCATTTACTGCTGTGATTTATAACTGTTTAGATTAAAGGAAATAGTCTTTAAATGCGTGCAATCTGTAGATAAAACAGCATGATAGGTTCTTGAATTCTTAAATCCTCAAGGTTTTTTCCTCGCAATAGTTTGTCATATTTACAAAGCTACTGTTATGGACCAAGGAAATGACATCGTCAGTAATAACAATTTTAATAGATAAATAAATATATAATGATGATAGAAGTAACAACAATGGTAATGGTAATAATAATAATGATGATGATGGCAATATCAGCTCCAATATTGATTTATTATGTCCCAGATCTGGAAAGAAAAATTATAATAAAGAAACTGAAAGTAGAAAACAACGATAATAATAATGATTAGAATAATAATGATAATGGTGATGAGAAAAAAAAGTTTCAGCCGAGAGAGATAAAATAACTCAAATGACAAACGGAGAACTTGAAAAACAAATAGTCTCGTTATCTTGGAAGGCAATAAGCACACAGACATTGTCATCATCAGCAGTAACAACTCCGAAGACAACTGTGTAACAACAGCCACTAAGGCCTGTATGGACAATGACAGTTTCCTCTAGTTGATAAAATTTTCCTTTTTCTCTGTAAATTATTGCTGTAACCCAAAACCCCGACACTATTGTATCGTACGCTTTACATGATCATTAAGGCTTTTCTTGCTCAAAATTAAAACAAGCTAAAAATTCCAAATCAATACTGTGTGTAGCAATGGTATTGGTCAAGTCGCACGACAACTGCAAATGTTAGGGATTTTGGTAAACTATCATTTTAGCTCATAGAGATGAAAAAGATCACATAAAACCTTTTCTCAATGCTACTGTATAGGACTTAATTTCTTATAATTACAAACTGGCATATCGAAGATTGTTTCATTTAAACTTGATGGAGATTTAAGCTTGATATTTGAATCGAGATGAGTTTACGAGAAGTTGAACGAGTTGAAGGAATTTTCATTCGTATTCTTTTATCAATTGTAACGAATATTTTTTTCGCAAAGTAAAAACTTCGCCTATGTGACTAAATCACCTGGAGTTGCAGTAGATGGCCGGATCACCGTTTCTTTTTACAAGCAAGATTTTTCTACCATCTCCCTTCCTTAATGCCTGAATAAAATGAAACCTTACTTAACAGCGATCTCTTCTGGAGGTCAACCGCTGACGTGACAAAAACAGACAGGATGCAAACAGGGGTGCGAAATCGTGGGAATCCTTTACTAATGTTCTAAGGAAAATCAGAGAGAAAATATAAAAAAAATTCATGTAATGTATTACCCCACGCCCAAGTGGGGTAATACATACAAGTGTAGAAGTAGATTCCCTGTCCGTCAAAACTATTGTCATCAAGGAGATGATCTGACTTAAATGGCGCGCCTCAACAGATAAGAGAACTAAAAAGCTGCAAACAAAACGAAACAACTAGCAAACGAACAATTGTTTTTTCTTTTTTCTATCATTTTATTTCAGTCAATTTCTTTTTATTCCTATCTTTTTAAATTGCTTCATCTCCTTTCGTTTTGTTAATTTCTTACGACTCACAATCTGCGCTTCGGTTTATCTAAAATTCTGGGAGAAATTATAGGATGAAAAGTGCTGATTTTTGAGAGACTGTAAAATTTTACTTAATGTTATCATCATCAATGTTAATATTTCTACTTACGTTCTCTACATTCTTCCAAGTCATATCCTTGTAACTTCCCAAAGCTTTAGGACACATTACTTTCTTCAAAACGAACACAGAAATTATTTTGTCCGTCCACAAAACCAAATTTCGTTAATTGAAAAGCTAACTTATTTTTCTTGTCGATCATTTTATTTCAGTTAATTTCTTTATACTCGTATCCTTTTAAATTGCTTCCTTCCCTTTAGCTTTGTTAATTTTTTTCGACTCACAATCTGCGCCTCGGTTTAACTAAAATTCCGGGAGAATTTATAAGCGCAAAAAGTTTCGTCAAGTTACATGGCTTGCATGAGATGTCTGATTCTCAGCATAAAATTTCCGCCACATGCAATTATTAGAATGTTTAACCACGGCCAGCATCAAAAGAAAATAAATAACAGCTGTTCAAATATTGCTCACGGAGCAACACTGATTGACTAGTTAGCTGGAAAGAGAGACATCTGCGGTGTTTGCCTCTGAGAGAGTCAGAGAGTCAGAGATTCAGGTTTTGCAAGAAAACAGAAATGGATGTGAAAATAGATTCATTACGATTCTACGCAGGCAAATTTTTTACTTTTAATTGAATCCCCCACAGCCACTTGTTAGCTCGTTGAAGTAAAGTTTTTACACGCCTTACGGTCCTACATACATTCTTTCTTGTCTTTTTCCCGTGAATCTTTGCAAAGCTTTGCTAAACAGAAGCTTCGGAGTGAAATTTTGTTGAGGTTTCGATGTTTCCACTTTATTGCGATTCATCTGAAAAATTAATCAGCTTTTAAGCTGTTATTCATCATATTGCCATGCTCGTATTGCATAAATCGCCCTCGAAGAACGTTGGCTGCAACGGTTTGTACAGTTATGCAAATTATTTCCGGATTTCTACGTTGCATTAGCCTTGAGAAATTCGATTGCGATAACAACCTGACCTTCCTTTGCTGGGACAACCCAACAAACTGTACAGCACACGATCATTGGAACTACATAGGACAGGGTCAATAAAGTCCATCGTGTTTGTAGGCTTGGAAAAACAAGGAATAAGGTAAACGATCATGATTTCGCATTGTACTGTTGTGATGCAGTCAGACATCTAGAATTAAAAATCAATATTAACCTACTGAAAGTATGGCTAATTACTTTCAGCAGGTTTATTGATTTTTACCCATATTATTGAAATTTAATGAAACAAATTAGTGACAAAAAATATACGAAGTTAATCGTAACGCATGTCGTACAATGTCTTACGTCCCGATTAACATTACTAAGTCAACCTAAAAACAAATTTTCGTCTAGCTTGGAGTTCTGACATGATAAATTTCAGCCGTATATATTGTACTTGTCTGGAGCCTATGAAATAAATGATAGTAAGGAGCACTTTAAGAACTTGTTGAAAAGTATGTAAAAACATATTATTTGAGGGAATGAAATACTTTCAGATGCTTTTCATGGGCTTTTCATACCTTCCTCTGGAAAAATTTCACATGCATGTGAAAATTTCACATTAAATAAGTGTGAAAACTATTTAAAGACTGTGCCTTAATTTCATAATTACAGTGTCTTAGTACATTCAAATATTCAATTAGACTAAGAGTTTAAACTGTGGTTTAGCACTTTTAAATTCATCTCAGTTTGGGTGATCTGATGTTTTTTATTCAAAGCCTTGTTATTATGACATTACACATACAAGTGTGTAGTTATTGTAGTTACTACGGTGTACACATAGTATATACTATAGTAACTTACTATCATATCATAGTTTGAAAGATCAAGAGTAGAAGGTTGACTTCTTATGAACTTTAAAGCAAAGGCAGGAAGCAATCCTAGGCCAATTGGGCAGCTGTAAGAGCTAATTTGCATGTTAATCTACATCTATTAATACATGTCAAGGATTCTCCTGGTAGTTATTTTTAGGACAGACTTCATCTTATATGCAAAAAAAAACAACAAACAACTGGCATCTTCACCTACCAATAAGTTAATGAATAATGGCAATAGGACTGAAAGGAGTCCAATTCGGTCTGTAATCATATGAGTGATTAACAAAATCAGATGACAGTGAAGCAAGAGTCCAATTTGTCAATCACGAGTATGATTACGAACAGAATTGGACAACATGAATTCTGTTAGCAGTTAATCAAAACCATGTCAAAATTTACGAAAGAAACTAGACATCAGTTACATGTTTTCCTAAAAAAAAACATTAACTTGATGAAATAGGAGACAACAGTGTGCATACATGATGTGTCCTGTCCACTAATACTCAGGCATGATGTGTGAACTGTCCCTTTAACTGTCCTATTACACTGTCCAATTACAAGCATAACCATACACTGTCCTATTAGTGCTCAAATAGGGCTGATGATAACTAATCATGTTTGAGAATTTTTTTATAGTTTTGATTAGCTATTATTAAGGATGGAGTCCTAAATGGCCAATGGTTCTAACACTGGTGACAATCATGCTTTATATTAAGTTTAATGAATACATTCCATTGATATCTTAAAAGTTTAATCACTGTTTTCAATGAGAATTCATTGGTTGTCTCAGTTGCCCTTTTGTTTCTTGGAAAAGGAACTTTTGACAGTGAAATTGAAAGATATGATTAAAACCAGGTAATCGAAATATCCATGAATTCTGAACTTGAAACCTTTGTACCAATACGTTGAAAGACACAGTCTTGGAAGAAGTCATTGGTTTATTCATATTTTTGATTATCTCTATGACCTTGGACTGGCACAGCACTTTTTGCAACTTGTTTGCAGTCCTGACAAATGCAGATTTTTGAGAGACTGCACTGAAAATTTTACTTTATATGATCATCATCAATGTTAATATTTTTTACTTAATATGTTACTGTTGTTCTTATTGTTATCATTATTATCATCATCACTATTAATACTATTATTATTGCCATGTTATTATCATTAATTCATTGTAGTTATTATTATGCTTAGAACTGCTAATATTATTAGATTCTCTCCAGTCCTCTAATGTTCTCTAGATTCTTTCAAGTGATGTCCCAATAACTTCCCAAAGCTCTAGGTCACATTACTTTCTTCAAAACATGAGCAGTTTTATGTGATTACTGTGCACTTGTAATTATGTCAGGCACAGCAAGATAAAAAAACAAATAAATTAGTGATGTTTCCCCTCAGCCCTGATGATAATCTGGTTTGCTGGTTTGGCTTATAGTCAAGAGGTGCGCAATCTTTTGTAATATCACACTGATTGTGCCTCAGCTCTTTGTCTGCAAAGACTGTTGTGTCTCAGGCTATCCTCAAATCTCAATTTTCAGCAGGGTCAATGGTCAAACCACCTCTCAGAAAACTCTATCCTTTGCTTTCTGATCATCTCTCAGTGAACCTTAAGGGCCACCTTGCCAATGTGGTTCCTCTACTATCTCTGCACAAGCTTCCTGCTTCTAGAGACAAGTAGCCTTATCCTCATCATCGTCATTAACATTAATAAAAATTATGTTAATGAAAATGATAACAATAATGATGTTAATAATTGGTACTATCAGTTGTATAATCTTAGATAATTTTGGTTATTTTTTGTTTTGTCTAGCCCTATGCGATGGCCTCTGCAACATCTGCATTTGCATCCAAAGAAAAAGCAAATTATTATCGGTTATACCGCCTTCTGGTCGAGGTGGGATCTGAGGTACTAAGAGAGACTTTTGAGAAGGTTCGTCCTTCAGGGGACCTTGACAAACTGTTAGCAAGTCCTCGAATAAGTGCTAAGTTACGGTCCCTTTGGCAGAAAGAAGTCCTCAGCTCTTCGCAGTGGGACAAATTGTACCCATCGGTTCGATCTACAGTTTCATCGAAAGAATTTGACACCGCCTTGCTAGGAATTCTTCTGATTAGCATTTGTAATCTTCAACCACCTGAGACTGGGTGGAATGAATTTCCCCCTAACACAGATACAACTATTCAAGCTGATATCATTCGCTTACGTTTCTACTACATTATGGTTCACGAGCTCTCTAAAGGGGCTGCAAGTGATGACACAACATTTAACTTCTTCTGGAAAAATATCCAAGATATCTTAGTACGTTTAGGAGGAGAATTTTACAGGAAGCCTATCGATGATCTTAAAAGGGAACGTCTAGATGCCGATTGTGAGGAGCACTATAATATGCTCTTTAAACCAAAGGGTTGGAGGAAAGATCCTTCGCCAGTGGAGAGCCTAGTTTTAAGTGCGGTGGTATCTGGATTTAGTTTTCTAACTGGTCGTGTGCCATCAGGTAAAAATTTATCCGTTGAATACATTTATTGTAAGTTTCCCTTTTCATTATACCCGATCACAGTTGATTAAAGACCCTTTCTTCATGAGGTACACTGCATATCTTATTCATGTAAATGAATTATTGCTTTTGACAATTTTAATGCGCTGACTTGGTTCTGCGTGATAAGATGCAGGTTTTATTTAAGGGATAGACACGTGATGGGACGGAGTCGAAGGTGGCTAAAAGTGAAGTTTATTTGTTGAAAATTTCATAGCACGAGACAGATGCGTGGAAAATTGGCTAAAACGGGTAATCTGGTCGAAATGAAGCGTTTTCAGCGTGAAAGGTTCTAGTGTAGGTTCGGTTTTTTTCAACTGGGAAATGGCACTAAATGGGGCAAAGTCCTATCAAAAGTGACTAGTCACAACATAACTAGTCTATATAACTATTGCAGAGGCAATTCAGCCGTTCTTTTTTTCCTTCTTTTTTTCTCAAGAAAATAACCAAGAGAAGATTTTTCTTGAAACAACCCAATAGCCGTCATGGAACATCTATTTTTCTTTCGTTAGTGCCTTTTGTTTTTTTTATGCTCTTGGGATTGAACCATCAAATTTGGGGGGTGTTATTGCTTAGATTCACAGCTATGTCTAACGTTTCTGTGCGCGTGTGCGTTTGCATCATTGCGATTATATGATGATATTCTTTTGATTAAATGCGGAATTCTGTTGATTTAGGAAAAGTAGTACCGTCGATCGTGATTCATTTATTAGCGGCTATCATGGCGTATAAAAGCGACAAATGGAAGAGATCGCAAGATATCACAGCAAAGAAGAACGCAGGTGAGCAAATAACATTTAGGTGATGATTATGTTGTTGTTGTTTCAGCAAGTACACTGGCCAACAATTTCATCATTTTGCTTTGGTTTGTTTCATGCACAGAGTACTTCATTGTACCTGAAGAAATCCTTGCACGTGGTCCCTTGACAGTACATGCTTACAACAAGGCTCTCATGGAGGGGAAAACAAAAGTAAGAAGGTTGCCAATCATGTTAATTGGACAGGATCGAGCTGGAAAAACAAGTTTGAAAAAGTCACTCAAGGGAGAGAGGTTTAATGCCAATGAAAAGAGTACCTCAGGAATAGAGGTGGACCCCTCTCATTGTGAAGTAACCACCGAGGTATGGAAGCTACAAAACGTCGATCAAAATTGTTGTTATACTCCCGCTTCTTCATTTGATCACCAAGCAGCACGACTTGTTGTAAATGAATTGCTTGATACAAACGAGATTTGTTACGGTACAAATGGGCCTCCAACTGACACTACACGGAATTCTCAGGCCAAATACTATTCCTCGGTGACCTGCGACAGCCTTCAATCAACGCACGAGATTAGCCACTCAAATGACTCAGCCCAAGCGCAAGAGCAGGCCCTGACTGAACCTGGCATTTCTGAAGAGTTAGTGGATTTAATTAGAAGTCAATTGTTCGAAGATGTTAAGTCAGACTATGAGGAAGAAATTTATTCAACTCTGTGGGATTTTGGTGGGCAGCTGGTTTACTATGTCACACACCCTCTCTTTTTGACAAAGCGAGCTATCTACATTTTAGCCTATGACCTCAGCTGGAATCCCAGTGATCCAGCTGGTCCATCCGAGAGACGAGGATTGTTTGGGAAAGTAGAAGACAGGTTTTGTTTGGAGACCAACTTTGACTACCTGGACTCATGGATGTCATCTGTGGCTTCCTTAGTCGATAATTTTAACGGTCATTATTCAAATATCAAGCTATCTGACAACCTGCCAGGAATGCTTCCCCCGGTTTTCCTAGTTTGTACTCATGCTGATCAAGTATATGCGGATCAGGATCCTGCCTCGCTGGCGGCCAGTATCTTTGGATCTCTTCAGGGCAAACTATACAGTTCCCACTTGTTTAAAAGTGTCTTTGCTGTAGATAACACAAAGGCGGGCTCCAAGCACGAGTGTCCAGAGGTCAAACGTTTAAGACGAGAAATCCTTTCCGTTGCTGAGGTGCTACCGCATGCCAAGGAGGACATTCCATTAAGGTGGCTAAAGTTTGAAAAAGAACTACGCCTCAGGATCAATGAGGGCATTAAATGGATCGCTTTTGAAGACGCAAGGCAAATTGCATTTGAACAGTGCCATATTTCTGACGAACTAGAATTTACGACGTTGTTAAACTTTTTACACGACCAGCGTATTGTGATTCATTTTTGTGACACACTGAGTCTAAACAAGATGGTTGTTTTAGACATGCAGTGGCTTATCGATGTTTTCAAGAAGGTGATCACTGTTGAGCCGTATGGTGTGGAAGGAAGTCATTACAGAGACCTTTGGCTCAAACTTGAGAAAACTGGTAGTCTAGATGAAGAACTGCTTGCGCACGTGTGGGGCGCTTTGTATCAGCAGAGGGAAGTCTTCCAAAGTCTTATTCAAATCATGGAGAAGTTCAGCCTTATGTGCGAATGGCCATCGTCAAATGACAGGAAGCAGTACCTTGTGCCGTCCATGCTTATGTCTTACCCGTCCGAAGACGTGGTTGGTCTTGTTGCAACTTCTCGACTTCCGTCTCTGTATATCTCGTTCCACTCCCGTCAGGTTCCCACCAGCTTGTTTCCGCGAATGGTTCTACAGTTTTACCAATGGTGTTCTGAAGAATGGCCTAATTCATGCCAACCACAACTATACCGCAATTTTGCGAGGTTCCTGGTCCTACCTAAGGAAGGTTGTTCTATCATTCTCGTTTGCCACTCTTCCTTCATCGAAGTCGTTCCTCACTGGGCATCAGAAGTTTGTAGTACCTCCAACGGTTCGAAAGGGAACGCCGATTTACCTGCCATTGTGTCTGATCAACCTCCTGATGTTCACGTCGCACGGGCCGTCGGAAGGCAATTGGGTTTGATGCAGGAATGTATGCGCAAGGAGTTCCCTTGGTTGAAAAACATGGAATGGCAGCTGAAAGTGCTCTGTTCGGTGTGTTGCCGAGGGAATTCCGTTGACTTTTGTCGCGACCATGGAGTGAAAAATTGTAGGCAAAAGCACTGCCTGCATTTCTGGTCAGAAGCCGATTTTCCTCGAGACCAACAGTTCGTTGTTTGTGAGAGGTCTGCTTGTGCTGCCGATCCCAGATTGGACATCAAGAAGTTTGCACCGTGGTACACCTTTCTGGATGAGCAAGTTAACGTAAATATATATGCTTATTGTTGATTAGATTTGATTATTTCCATATTTCATTTTAACTTCACAATTGGCTATCTTATCATCAACAATTTGGGAAATAGTTTCACATTAAATGGAACGCGCTTTAACTCAATAACTTAATTTGTATTCCTTTTGTGCATCTATAGAAAGTACAAGTCCATCATGACGACTATTTTTCAAGAAAACTTTGTTCTGTGGAGGGTGAGTTGGCCTGTCTCCTTTTGACCAAAGATTTTGATAAACTTTATCAATATTACCATTATTGTCATCATATATTGTCATTTTTATAGTTATTATTATTATTATTATTATTTTATTATTTGAGTTGGGTCATTTCTTTTAATCAACAGCGTTTTGATATCTCATTATAAAGTAAGGTGTGCTTCATGTAAACTACCCTCCGTGTCACTAAGACACGTCACGCTAGCTTATTGTTAGTCACGTGAAGAACTCTTTACCTTTAGGCTTTTCTTCTGTTCACTCTATTTTCTCTTTTTTTTCGGTACAGAGAAGAAAGCGAAAGAACTTGTTCTCTCGAGTGGCGCTGTTGAGTCCCTTCAGTCGAGGACTGATGCTTTACGTGTTGTCGTTCCAATTCTGGACAAGCTGCAGTTAAGCCAAGAGGCTTTGACAAATCCCGTACCTGAAACCACCAGAGTAGTCCGTTGCCTTGCCAGAATAGCTAAGAGAGAAAATCGCACCGACGTAGTGAAGCATTTGAGGCAAATAACTTCAGCTGGAACTGCAGGTATTTTGTTCATTACTTCTTTGTTAACTATTATTCAAGACTTGGCGCCATTTTCTTTGTGTGTCGTAGACAAAAAAATTCAGCCTTCATAACGAGGGTGCTTCGAATGACATATAAATCTGAAATTGTCGTAATGACCAGGATGTCAAGTAAGCTTACGAACTTAAAACTAATTGCCTGCTTGAGTTTTGTAGCAATAACATCTCGGAAAATCTGGCCAATCTATTTCCCGAACAGGCTAATACTACTGAACATTTCTTCATTTGACTTAAATGACTATTTCCGCCCATCAAAGTCCTTTTTAGGGCTGCACTCACTCAGACAATCGACAATCGACAATCGACTATCGACTAGAGTTAGATTTTAGCGATATAAACGTAAAGTGTGGCTTTTTTTTCTCTTTCGATTTTGCTTCCGTTTTTGTTTATTCATTTGTGTCTATAGAACAGAGTTGATAACGTAAATTGGTCACCGTAAAGAGTTTCAAAGCTGATGTTTCGAGCGTTAGCCCCACGTCAGAGCGAAGGACGAAGGGCTAAATATTCTCATGCGCTCTGACGAAGGGCTAACGCTCGAAACGTCAGTTTTTTAAATCTTTACGGTGACCGATTCCGTTTTCAACTCATTTGTTAATACTAAATTACCCTGTTATACTTTCTCTACCGACGCAGCGCCACAGTTTCTTTAGAAAATTACCGCCTCTATAGAACGGAGTTGTCCGTTACCTTCTTTTCACCCTTTCGTTTTTCTCCAGGCGCTTGAATTGATGTGATTTCATGTCTTCCACAATTTTAGTATCCTTATTTATGAAACTTTTTCTTTTAGGTCCACTTTTGCCCGAAGAACTCGGTCTTCAAGAAATTCCTCAGTCACAGATTGTGGAACTTACGATGAACTTGAGTGGTAAAAAACCGTTAATTTCTCTAAAAATTACATTCGTAATTTGATATGTTAGTCAATATTAAGCAAAAGTTACCAGTGATTACTTGGTCTTAGGACCAAAAAGTTTTTTTTAGCATTTTTTTTGTCATGGTAAGTCATATCTTGCTAATGTCAAATGTCAAAATTTAAAAAATGATTTTTTCAGTCTACTCTATCTGTTTTCTTTCATTTGTAAATTTTTGTGAAACTTAAATAGAACGTTATTACCCAATAGCTGTTGTCTCTTGATCTAGTACCCATCAAACGGTTACCATGATGGGCGAGGTTCTATGGGGGTGGGCCTTTCGTTCTTTCTTCTTTCAATAGTATAAGCTTGTAACGATTCTTCCTGAGACAAAGAATTGATTAACGTCCCAATTTTCAGGAGGAGAAGAGTGGAAACTGCTTGCAGAAAAACTGGGTCTGAGGGCCGCCGAGATCCGTTACCTTGACAAGAGAACCATGAATCCATGTCTCGAGGCTTTATTGCACAGCCGTAGGCAGCGTTTTATTGACGTGGGTATGCTTTACGATACGTTGATCGAATGTGAACAGCCCATTATAGCTGACTTTTTATAAGAAGCGAGCTACATACCATTTACTTTTTTGTAACAGTTCCAAAATTAACTAGCAACAGACTTATTTGTGAGAGACCATTGGATTCTAGGGCGAGTTGAACTACTGTTTGCAATTTAAGTTCATTTTGGCGAAAAATACCGCCGCTTCCTTTTGTACGATTTTTTTTTACTTTGTTTGGCGACCTATTCTATCCGTCTAACCTTTTCCTTCACCCCTTATGTTTGCACATTGGTCTCGAACAATTCAGTGTTCTAAGACAAAACCATATTTGTTAGTAAGACTGTGGTGACGATGCCACTGAATCATAAACTGTTATTCGGCTTTGAAAGTACGCCATCAGTTTTTCTTTTTTTCTGGGTACCAATCATTTTGAGATGCCTTCCATTGCTTTTTAACGCTGGAGTTGTGTAAGCCATTCCTGATCAGATGCAGGAGTGTAAGTCCTAGGAGGTCTAACGTTGGCAACCGAAATGCAGTGAAAAAAAAAAGTGAATGTCTCTCAAGAATAATTTGCGTTCCTGATTGAATGGCGGCTTTCAGACGAACTTAGCAAGCGGGAATATCTCTTTACTTAAAAAGGTTTATGCCTTCAAAATTTTGAACGAAAAAAAAACTACGTTTATTAACCGTAAGGATATATTTGCTTAAGTAAGGTTTATTTCTATAGTTTCCATAAGAAAACGCCATAACGTGTAGGGCCAGTCGAGGTACCTATTTTCTCCCAAGAGTATAAATGGGACCAACGAACTGTTGGGGAATTCCGACGAAAATGGCTTAGTCGGGGGTATAGGGGTATGGGTATAGCAACGATTTTAATCCCTTAGTTTTTTTCAAATGGTGTAAATTCCTGCAGTTTGTAGATTAGTTGAAAAAAGGGGCTTTATTGGCTCACGATCAACCTGCAACTTAAAAGGCTATAGCTTTTTGCTAGGAATTCATTTTGTAAACTTAGTAGACTAAATTTCTGAGAGGGGAAAATACTTCTTGACTGAAGAAAGAGACCTAACGGCTTGCTCTCTTCTTGTTTTCAAGATGCTTTTGTTAAAGAGGTCTAAATTTGTTTTCCTGATTCTTTTGAAATTAAAGTAGCTCCAGCAGTTAACGGAAACTTAATGCTTCGGCAACGGCTACATATGCTGGTTTTTTATTTATGTTATTGTTATAGCTTTTGTATAAAGTTTCACTTCCACATAGAGGTGGATTGTTTACCTTTTCAATGCTGACCTCAAATAGCTTTCAGAAGCTAATAAAAGAGTTCTCACGAGGGTGCGCAGACACTTAATAGAGCTTTCATCAAATAGCTTCGTTAGACGACGTCTTCAGCCCTCACGTGTGACGTAGGTAGTCTGTTCTGCTATATATTCAAATGTTAACAAAGAAAAAAAATAGAGAGCTATTTTTCTATAAATAATTACTTATTTCTGGTCACCAAGTGATCTCAAGGCAATTTCCGACTATCTGAAATTTTTTTATCATGTAGTGGTGTACAATCAAATTAGGAATAAATAGATACCCAAGATGTTATGCATTACCACGCTGGTTAAATGAGCTTTTATTTTTTAAAAAATAACCATTCAAGAATTGATTCATTTGCTTTAATCATCCTAACAGTTGTGGTAAAATAGTTTTTATAATGCTACATTTACTCTCGTTAATAAATTTGTGTTTTGCATTGTAATATGGCTATTTTCTTATTTTATCAATCAGTTTTTCTGCAAGCAGAGTAGTACATTTTGATTTAACTATTATAAAAAGGATTCTTATAAACACAAAGTTAAATCGACGATTAAGGTTCAAGCACATGATAACAACGAGGAAGAGATCGGTGAACCATCTTTAAGAGACCATAATACTTTTTTCCATGGTTTAATTGACTACCGTTTCAGCCCGAAATCAACCGTACCGGAGCGTCATTGTCCAAGTCTGGTTTCATAGAGTTACACTCTGGAATCGGAGTATGTGTAGAATTAAGAGGGCTTTATAAGCGCATCCTTCATGCTAAAGGAGACAGCAATAACGGTTTCGGCAATTGGGGAACAAGAACCTGAACAGACTTGATAAGAAGTAAAATACATTAATAGCTAAGCTAGCCGGAGCATTGTCGTTTTCGTGTGTGTACATTTGTTACGTGTGCAAGCGTAACACCATAGACCTGAACTGAGAGCGAATACGTTTGAATGATGCAGCCTCCATAATTTTCCTTGAGCCTATTCCTTTTGAATTTGATGATTTTCTCCGTACTGTTAAGGATTGCGGAACTGCCCATATCTTCCATGACCATTTTTTCTGAAGGCGCACTGAAATCAAACAGCCTTTAGATCGTGATAACAAGCAATTTCTAGTGTGACAGCACCAGGCATCTTTTCGTCGTGTTTCCGTCCTCTGCCCATCAGCTGATGTGATAGTACTACTGTTCTGTTGTTAATATCGATCCTCATTTTTGCTTGACCGAGGAAGGAGTCGCAGAACGCATTGTTGTCCCAAATCTGGAAAGCAACACAATAGTAAAAAGACTGAAAATAGAAATTAATGATAATAATATAAAATTAATAGTTACGATACTAAGAACAATGGTAATGATGATGATGGTGATTGTAAAGTGAAACAAAATTAAGAAATACTCGCACCATCTGGGCAGGCAACAAGCATACAGACATTATTAACATCAGCAATAACAACTCCAAAGACAACTGTGTAGCAACGCTCACTGAGGCTTGGACCAGGTAAGACTTTTTGCAGTTAACTCGGTTCATCCCAAGCTAATACCACCCTGATTCTCTCCACACTCTCCCCGCTATTTATCGAAGAATTGTTGGTAAGTTGAGACCAACCTGTACTACCAAGTGCGTTTTCTTGGGTCTCTTGACGTAAAACAAAGCACCAGCTGAATTCCACACCGGGTTTCGTGTGTCCTTCACTGTTGGAATTCGGACAGTGTTTCCCTCGCACTTGATCAGGGCGTAAGGATCAACGCCTGATAGAACATTTGAACAAAGAAAGAAGGAAAGAAATAGAAATAATCAAATGCTACATAATTTTTCTCTTTAAATTTTCATTGCACAATGATAATTATTTCGATCATTCAAAGCAGCTTTCTAAACTTCTGAAAAATCTAGTTCATACTATTAAAGTTAGTTATTTTCAGGTCATGTTTATGCTATCCATTCTTAACTATTCTCGTTCTTTTTTAGATTTTTTTCGCTACTATGTACGAATTTCGTATACATACAAACTGGCCACTGATATCGAAGGCTATTTCATTTATACAGGGTGGAGATTTCAACTTTATATCTGAACAGAATTGAATCGGTGAGCAGTTTAATAGGTTACAGGAATGTGGATTTGAATTCAGCCATTGCTCTTGCTGACTGAAGCTATGCCTCTGCAGCCAATTCATCTGAGGTTTAAGAGTTGCTGCTAGTGTTTTTAAAGATGGCTGGACCGTTACTTTTAAAAAATGAGATTTATTTGCCATCTATATGCCCTATATCTGATTAAGGTAACATCCTCACTTAGTAACGTTCTCTTCTGGAGGTCAACCGCTGACTTTACAAAAACAGACAGGATGCAATCAGGGGTGCGAAATCTTGGGATGCAGCAGCAAATGTTACTTCTCTTGGGATGATCCTTTACTAATGCTCTACGAAAAATCAACAGGACAAGTTAACCCTTTAACTCCCATGAGTGACCAAGACAGAATTTCTCCTAACAATATCAATACAACATCAAGTACACAAGTGAAGAGAAAAAAGGAAAATATGAATTATGGATTACTAGTTGATCCAGTATCAAACTCTCCGACCTAACATCATAATAAGTGTATGGCAAACAGTAGGGAGAATTACTAGTGAGATCTTAGGGATGAAAGGGTTAGGAACACGGCATGTCATGTGATACCCCATACCAAGAGTTTTTAATCTTTTGCCCACAATCAACACGCCAGTGGTTTCCTAATAAAATTGTAGACGTAGATTCCATGTCAGTTAAAACGATTCTGACCCAGGAAATGACTGCAATGGAGCGCAGCAATGCATCGACATACAGAGAGCTAAATGGCTGAAACCAAAACGACACAACAAACAAACTAATGAAAAGATAAGCGTTTCGTACGTCTGGAAAACTATATTTCCTTTCACTGATAAGCAAGCTATTTGTTTCTTTTTTCTCGTTTTATTTGGTTCCAATTTCTTTTTTATTCGAATCGTTGTTTCACTCTTTCTTTTTCCTTGATATATACAAAGGTGCCACAACTTAAACTGTGTTTTTCTAATAACTCCCAATCTACGCCCCGGGCTTTCTAAAGTAACTGGGGATAGTATTTGCACACAAAAGCTTCCTCGAGTTACATACCTCGCATTAGAAGATTTCTCAGTGAAGATTCTCAGCATAAAATTCCCAGCCACATGTGGGTCATATGTTGATGGTATAACAACATATCTCCCCGTCTTCAGCTGAAACCTGTTAACCACTTCCCTCATATTTATGAATATAGAGTCAGCGGCTTTCTCCATCAGTACATGTAAACGGTAGTCACGATTCTCTTCCACCTTAACATAATTAGATAAATCAGTGGTGAATATCAGTATATTTTGTCACGACTATGGGTTTGAAAAGAAAATAATTTTCCAAAATTTGCTGCTGAGGAGAAGGTCCTTTTCTATATCATTTTATGCTATAATCATAAAGTCGTCTAACCACTTCTAATTTACTAAAGGGGCAAGTTTCTAAGGAAACTGTACTAATTTACAAGTTGGCTGATATTTAGAAACGCCTCAAAATCTATCATAGATAAAAAAATTATATCTTTTTTTTATGGTACGACGTATTTCCTTTTCTGAAATCTTCATTTCAGTTTTTAAATTTTTTCCTGTTCTTCTCCTTCTTTTTTATTTATTCAGCATCCTGCGCAGACATTCTGCAAGCAAGCTTTCCTGAACGCAAATATTATCGCTGTCAAGAAGACCTTCTTTTCCCCTGGTTCTGATTAACAGCTATCGACTGGTAGATAACCGAAAACGTTTCTACTCTTATAAACTTAATACCTTCATAACGTAATATCCAATACTTAGATTCTTTCCGCCTTCATCTCTATCAATCCTCGTATCTTCCTGCATCAGTGCTATCATTACCTCTCCCGCGTCATCATCTTTTATGCTGAAAGCGTACTAAGGACGCAAACATGGAAATTTGTGGTGATGATATTTGGGGAAGCTTCAATATGCAAGGAAACGTTCAGGGAGGCGCTTGTCAGTTTTGAAGTTGTAGGTAGACAGAAGCAACTTAACCCTTTACACCCAAACATCAATATGCATATTCTCCACACTGTTCTCTATACATTTCCTATGGTGCTGACAAGGAGAATTTGTTTAACAATCAAGACCTTCTTTAGTTGGTGATCTATTGATTTATTCTCGTGACGGAGAAATAAGATGCTTGTCATTCCTAGGGTTAAAGGATTAAGGTTGAAGTGGGAGGTGATTTACTAGCTGATGTCCAGTGAGGCATGGCCCATTGTATGAGACTAATCAAATTATTTTCAATACTTGTGGATTCTTGAAAAATGTGGCTTGGTTGGTAACGCATCCTCCCGCAGATGAACCGGGCTTCCATTCGTTTTTGTGTTTAAAAATGTGCCATCGCTTAGATAAAGAGAATATTGATGTATTCATCAAGTGACACATGGTGGCTTTGGAAAAGTAACGGCAGAAATCTTCAAACGACATCCTGTGAAAAAATTGAAAAATATGGCAGAAATTGAAACAACCGGTTTCGACAGGAAGTTCTATAGAAATGCGTACAGGAATGTTTGGAAATAACCCCCAAAAAACAACATCAACAATTTTGGTAATGATAATAAAAATAACAAAATGATAGTACATATGACGAGTGAATAGTGACATGGCATGTTAGAGCATGGGGTGTAAAAAAAGGAGTTCCTAGAATCATTTGTTCGCTACAATGGGAAATTAAAGGCCTAAAGCCTGGTAAACACTGTCTAGGAAAACACCTGTTATGATTTATTATTGATATGTTAACAGGTTAAAAAATTTCGCATGCATCATCGTTATGGTATTTTCAAACCGACCAGAACTCGCCATCATCTTCAAAGTCAATCCCTAGCTTCTTCCTTGCTTGTGCTTCAAGCTTGTTCCACTCCTCTGAACTATGTAAACACAAAACACAAAAGGACGTCTCATAACAAAAACTAGACCATACAACTAAGTTTTTTCAAGCCAAAGATTGACTTCATGCTTGTTACCCATCACTCCACGCGCCATTCCATTCTTTTTGTCCCCAGGGATTTCTAAGTCGGATCAGGTAGAGATGCTCTCGATTAAACAAGCTGAATAAGCCTTGACCAATGGTGATCTTCAAAAAAAATTAGAAAAAAAAGCAAAGAAAATGATTAAAAATCAAAAACAAAATCAAAATTTCACCGTAAAAAAACTAAAACAAGCAACGAGCAAACAAAACATTTTGATATAAGAAGGCGCTATATTTACAGAATTCGTTTGTTATCATCTCATCGGACGAGTAAAATTACCTTGCCTGAGGCGCCAAAATTTACTTACCTTTTTTATCGCAGTAACTCCGTATGCATGTCCCTTTACCAAACCAGTCTCTGTACGTTCTTCCATTTCTTCATGGCTCTTGGCCTTAAAAAAGTAAAACAATTCGATTTGAAATAGATGCACAGATTAATAAACACATAAACAAGAGAGACACGATAACAACATTGAAAGAGTGTTTACCGAGATTGAAGCGCCAACAAGAGAACTGTTATCCATGGCTTTCTGCATGCTTTTGAAAAATTCCAGTCTTCTCTTTTCATCGTCATCGTAGTTCGCGTCTTTAAGGTTAATTGACTCACATACCCCGCTTGTGAAATCGACCAGAGCGTCGGCGATATTGCCTGCTTCCAGAGCCTCATAACTTCCGCTCAGTCTGAAATGTATTTGAATAAATCTCGTGTGCAAGCTACTGACGGTTTTTACTGAGCTCTTGTGGTTTTCATTATTTTACTAAAGATTATTCAACTTGGCGTTTAGATAAAAATGCTTTGAGGTGCTTATCAAAACATCTCTAATCGTTATCGTAGCAAAACCGTGTTTTAAAACAATCACAGTTTTGAAGTTAAAATGTAGTCGTTACCAATAATACTCTCACTTACTTGGCGTAAGCCTTCTCAAGTAACGCTCCCCAGAACTCATTCTTCAACGAGGAGTGGACGAAGACCAATTGGCCATAAACTGTAGGAAGAAGATCATCAATTACCACTTCAGTCCACTCACCCTGACGCCAAAACCGGAACCGGAAGATCCCCTGGTACTTTCCAACGTCTTTTACATCCCACTCTTGGTTCTTCATGTCAGGAATAACCTAGCGTAGTTATAAAGGAATACCAGGATCACATCAAAGTGCCTTTTTTTTTTTCTCTCTTTTTTGCTTTCGATTAATAGTTATTTTACAGTGGCAGACCATGTAGAAGTCGTGTTCCTCAAGCATTTACTTTTCTCTAAGCATAGGCTCGGCCGAACATTTTTTCTTTGACAGTAGCTGTTTGTCTTGTCTGAAAGACTGAACTAACGGTCTTCTGAGTTAATCCCTTGTTTCTGCCGGTGAAGTATTATTGGATGCTAACCCATCACTCTCCCCCCTCCCCTCTCTGCGTCAAGTTTTTTCGTAAAGATTTGCCGAGATACTTTTATAGTCTTTTGTGGGGTAAAGCATTGTAACAATTAAGTGTCTTTCTAAGAACACAGCACAAATCCCCAGTCAGAGCTCGAACCCGGATTTTCGTTCCCTAGCCTTGCGCTCTGAACATTATGTAGGAAATCCGGTTTCGCTTTCCCACCAATACCAACTGAACAATATCTTTAGCAAGTTATTTGTCTTTTCCAGCCTATCTCCCTTCCAAGCCACCTTACTTATTTGATCCAGCCTCAGGCGAATTTCAGTATATGATTATTATTCCCTTTTTAAACCGTCCTCAGGAGGTTTTATCCGTGAGATAGACTTGAGTATAAGGCCAGTCACATTTAGCATTGTGTTAAACTCTTTTCAGTCAAGTGTATACCTTTTCCAAGAGTGAAGGTTCCAGGGCCAGAGTTGAACATGATGCCACAAACCAACAGTTTCCAAGTTTTCCTTGTGTGATGTCATGTCTGCTTGATCCGTCAACAAACAGGCTTGGAGGATCTGGCTCGCAAATGTCCTAATTAAAAATGACAAATGTATTTGATAAATTGAATATTCTAGCCAAGAATACTGATATGACACCGTCTCTAACGTTAGGTGTAAACAACATATTGGTTTTCTTTATAACCGCGTGCAGGATGCCGCCTAATCAATTAAGATTCCTTAAAGTTATGCAAATTAATTTGTAACAGCAAGAGTGGGCTCCCGGTAACAGAGAAAAATTGTCAAACCCTCTACTTTCCATACATAGGAGCGTGGTAAACTTTCTTGTTTTTGTAGTATGACGTCTCCTTTTTGTTCAGCTTCTACTGATCTAAGTGGAGATGAGGGCTTGAAGTCTTGAAAACGTTTTATTATCGTACTATTATCGTAATCATAAAATGATTATCATTTGTTCTTTAAGAAAGAGTCGTGGTGGGAATCAAAGCAGCCAAGGATCCGTTCCTTTCTCAGCTACACCCTTGAGTGCGAAAAAATTAGGAAATCAGTTTTTTAATGTTTGACTCAGACATGAAGCAGTGATAGAAAACCCATGAATTGACCGATCTTGAATGTTATCTTCTTAAATCATTATTTTGCCTCTTGATTTAGAAATTCTTCATTCCAAGAATCAATTGAAAAATGGCTCGACTTGTCAACTGGCACCTTATTATAGAAACTGACAACTGACCTTGAAAAGTAAATATTTGAATTATCAAACGGGTGGCTGAAATAACATTGATCAACACTTGATCGTTAAGTGTTTTGTGTTTACGTCTCTATTAAAGAAGATAAAATTTAAATAGTTCAAGTACCAATCGATTTTTTTTGTTGAGTACTTTGTATACTTATTCAATGTAGAACATTCACCCCCTTCTACCTCCCTGTGAAGTCTGTTATGACGTTATTATCTCGACGGAGACTTGGTAAATAGTTTGGAATAGAAACTAAAGAGACTTGTGAAATTAGACACTTACTCCACTCTAAAGTATGAAATAACATTAAATTTTCGTTGAACCTGAGGAATTGGAAAATGGTAGTCTAATTTCCAGACCACCTGAAGCGTTCATCATATTTCTCAATCACTCTAGCGTGAGTTGTGTTATGTTCAATATTCATGTGATTGTCTGAATCAACGAAGCGCTCGCCACTATTGGGTTTACAATAAGTTTCAAAACAAAACGTACTTTCCATATCGCCCTAACAAAATTATACAAACCTTAAGCTTGAAATCTGACAAGAAGTTCTTACGAATGTTGGGTTGTAAATCACTCTTCAAGCATTGCTCGTTAGAGCGAGCTATCTTAACATTAAGGCCTTTTGTTTTTAAAAGAACTATATATGCTAATTTAAAAAGTTTAACTTGGACAATAAACCCCCATTTAGTTGCGTTGGCAACATTGCTAGATTGTTCCCTTCCCTGACAATTTCGTTCTATCCGTCAAAATCTATTCGGATTAGAAGTTTTTTTTCAAATTTAATTAAGAAGGAGGGCTTTCTTTACTTTTCTAAGCGAGATAATCTGAGTAAGAACGGTAAGTTCGTGTAACAAGGTGACATCCGTGATAAGTATAATCAACAACTGAAACAGCCTTGGTCCTACATGTCTACAAGGAAATTCAAGGATTATTCAATACTTTAATACTTTTCTTGAAGCATAGAATGAAGCTGAAAATAGACCAAGGACTAAAAGGGCTTTAACCATACCTTAGGTCTTCGCCAAACGATTTGTTCTGGCGGTGCACGGCTGAAAAATATCGATTTATCGTTCGCTGGAAATTCGGGATCTTCGAACAGGCGCTCTTCCTTTTCGCATTGTGACTTGAGTTTGCTGTAACGCTGGTTCTTGAAATAATGCAGCTTTACCATAGCTCAAACAGATACGATTTCACGCTTAACTGGATTCATAGAGGCGTAAAGTGTGTCAAAATTTTGATTTTGTTAGTAGGTAACATCATCGGGGTTTTTATGGATGATGGCGCACAGAAGGGCCTGGGTCGAGTCTATTTAAAAAATCGATCTTGCTTTGTCTTCGAAAATGAACTCATAAGAAGAGTTAGTATGAAATATTACATCAGTCATCAGTTTAAGAGAGATCTCTTTAAGGCTCATATCCCCACCCTCGTAATTTCGCTGGTAACAGTGTACCTACAACATTACCTCAGATCGTACCACCATCTCGCGGAGTAAACTTCATAAAGACTGGTTATTGGACGATTATGAGAGATTTCACCTCTAAAACAAATACTCTCTGTCTTATGCTAAAGAACCTCATATCAATGAAACGAAATACTATGTCACAGCTTCTTTAACAGCGCAAATTAACGCAGAAATCTCCACTTGTATCAATCACAGTCGCGTACATGCATGTCACGCGCGCGGCTCTTTTCCTTCTTTCGTTTAATCATTGGAAACATCCACGGTTCACTTCGAATTTGAAAATTTATTTCTCATTAATTCCCCAATCCACATAAGAGTGTTACAAAAGTCTTACGATAGTAGTATAGAGAAAAAATTTAAAGAACTAACCAACTCCTCCCTTTACTACAACAAACTTGCGGTCGTAACGATAGTTTTTTCTTCGTTTGCAATTTGGTAGCTGTAAAATTTCGATCTTTTGTCATCTGTAATAAAAATGGCAAAACTTTTCACTGGTACACACCATTTAAGGTTCTTGCTTTTCTTTTGTATCATTTGTGTAAAAGTGTCTAATAAAGTTTGTAGTGTGTGTTAAATACTTCAAAATAAGTTATATCTCACATAAAAGCTTAGAAATATATTAGCTACGGTATACGAGCTTACACTTCTAAGATAAGTAAACATTATCTTCCTAGAAGCATTTAGCATGCCGGTGAAATATTTCATACAACTATTCATTAGAAACCAGCGAAGCTGTAATTCAGCGAGAGAGCTCAAGTTCGCTCATTGCGTTTCCAATGCCCAGCTCAAGTCAATGAAAGTACCTGGCGTTTAACTAGGAAATAAAATAACTGTTAATAAGTGCGGTTTGTAATGCTTTCCTGGCGACTAGAAAAATAGTTTTGATTTAACTTTTACAAAAACGATTATCAAAAGTTGCCCCTCCACTTACAAAAATCGTGTCAGATAGAATATTAATGATTCATCAAAAGTGTTATGAATTACACGAACTCCAGTTGTTTCAACAACGAAATACTGTTCTAGATCGTGGTTTGTCAACGATATCTGTTGTCCGAAATATGAACAATTTCCCTTAGAGAATCCTTTAATTTAAAAGCATGCCAATTTTCTATATATTGCACTGCGGCTTTATGTCATAGAAAATATTACACAAAGGTCTTCATATGATAATCGCAAAAAGTTTCCCTTTTTACTAGTGCTGAATTATTCAGCCCCATCCCTATCCGAAATGAGGTACCTGGCTCAGGCCAGACTAGCCCGTCATTTCATATACTAGGATCCTTATATATTCAAGCGCCAGTGCGGCTATTCACGAATGGGTTGAAATTTGAGTGTCAATCTCTGCTCATCTCCAATTCCGGCTCTTTGGTACGAAGGGAGCTCGAACCAGTTTCCACGTTTTTCATAGGTTTGAGTTAAATAAGTTAAAGTCTGTCCAAATCGAGTGTTATCGTGTCGTTTGTAGTTACTATGGCAAAAGCCTAAAAGGTTTTAAATAATTATCAAAAAAGGTAATCATGACAGAAAAAGGCTACACACTGCCTTATTTGTTTTTGGTTCTTCGGGTTTGAAATCTCGCGCCAAAGAAACAGGTGACAGTCACCTTAGAAAACAAAATAAAGAAAAAAAGAAGAAGAAAAGCGCGGTATTGGAACTAATACGCGCGTACCTGCGTTACGTCAGTGTCTACTTTCTACAGGAACTACGTCCTAATATGCGACCACAACTAATAAATGGAGAGCGCCGAGTAGACTTAACTCCTTACTACTTCTCTTCGGTCAGATAAGAGCTGGCATTAATAAGATCTATCATTCACAACAAAACAATACAATTCATGTAATTAGATGGCAAGCAGATCCTGGTAACATTTGACCTCCACGGTGACAACACCCGGCATTTGTACTTGGTGATTTCGTCTTCTTCCCATCAGCTGATGTGTTTCTGTCACGGCTTTGTTGTTAATATCAATTGCTATCTTAGCTTGACCCATGAACGAGTCCCAGAACCAGTTGTAATCCCACACCTAAATGAAAAAACGACGAGAAAGACACCCACATAAGTACTTGTACCCACTGTCACGCAACGGCCATGTTGATGACGAAATTTCTTTCAAAGCACGAAAGCTTCACTACATAGGAGAACTATGAAAATACACGACTTTTTTTTGGGGGGGGGGGAGATATTGAATAAGTATAATTCTCTTGAGGAAGACCTACGACACAGAAAAAGGTGTGACAATATACTAAATTAAAAATCTCTAAACCGTCATCAAATTCTACTGACGAGTAAATGATGAAGCAATGAGTACGACCACTTGTTAGTAATCCTTACCTGTACAACCAAGCGAGATTTTTGAGGTCTTCTGACAAAAAAAAGCGCGCCAGTATTCCATTGTGGATTCAACGAGTCTTTCTGCACAGGAGTCTTGACTTTCCGTCCCTCACAGCTGATCGTGGCGTATGGATCAGGTGCTGAAATTATTACAAAATAAAAAAAGCAATTATCAGAAATAAAATAATAATATACAATTCGATTAAATTTAAGAAAACGCTTCACTTACTGGGAAATCGAATTGACTTTTAAGAAAGCTTAAAACACCACTCTTTAGAGCCTGATTCTTTTATGAAAACAGGCTCTTAACGCCTCGCTGCATCGTGACCTCGGGGAACAATGGTAATAACGGTGACGAGTGCGGTGATGATACCGAAATGGGTTCCTTCCGATAAAAAGTATACACTAGTCCACGGAAAGGGCCCCAGTTAAAAAGAGATCCCTCACCATGCGAGGTTATGAACGCATCGGGAACGATGCATGAGTTCGCAACGGATGTGTCACCCATAAAAGTGACGTTCATTAAAAAGGACTACCGAGTGTTGCTGCTCAATTTAAACCACATACTGAATTCAACAATGTTTGTAACTAGTAACAAAGCTGTTAGTGTTCCGATAACTCTTACACTACTGGCAATAACACTTTGTTATCTTACTCATTGATAGTCTGCTGGTTTTTTGAAGTCCACCAGCTGATTTAACGGTAACGGAAAGCACGCAGACAGGAGTACGACACTGTGGGAAGCAGCAAAATATTTTACTTCCGGTGGAGTGCTCCTGGTTTAGAAACCTACAAAAATAGGCAAATAACAGAGATGAAAACATTGATTTTGGGACAGTTGGTCAGCATCAGGTACCAAGGTAGGTAGAAGGATGCTTACATAGCTTTTGAGGACTTTTCAGTGAATATTCTCATCAGGAATTGCCCAGCTTTATTTTGCTCGTATGTGGATGGTATCACCACGTATCTTCCTTTCTTAAAGTGAAACTTGTTCACCACTTCTCGTGCGTTGATGAAGATAGAATCTCCAGCTTTTTCAAACATCGTATGTAACCGATACTTTCTGTTCTCTTCCACCTAAGGGCGAAACAATGAGACTGAGGGCTGGCAAAAATGGACAGAAAATGACCAAACGACTCAAAACTGAACATACGTACGTAAACGTACTCCTGTACCAGATAGACAAACAGCCAGACAGACAAGTAAACACACACAGACCGACAAGCGAAAACAGTACAGGATAGTCAAATCGAAGGCCAGAAAAATGACTAAGCGAGGAAACCAAAAAGGCAGACAGGCACAGAAATACACAGACAAATAGAAACACCGATACCGAAACACATTGTAAACGTACACCAATTATGATCACACAAACTGACGGACATGCACATGTAGGTGGTAGTATAGCAGTCAAAAACACATAAACAAACATTGTGGCAGAAAAAATCAACTGACAGTCGTCACGAAGATAGGGACTGATAGGCATTAAGACAAACCGCAAAATGACAAATATTTGACTGGCAACAAACGAATTCTAACAAATATGGTTTGCATAATCAGAAATGAAAAGATGTCACCCAGATAATTGATAGCTGTTTTAGCAGTGTTACCTTCATGACAAAATATCCAATGGTGAGATTTTCTGCGCCATGTTCTTTCGCTTTTCTTGTGTCTTCCTGCATCAGCGAGATCATCACTTCTCCCTCCTCTTTGACAGTGAAAGCATACTGACAAAATCAAACGTTCAATTGATAGTAGTTGCAGGACCTCAAGAAGTTGTGATAATCAGAAAAATGCAAAGACACTTAAGTCGTCAAGCCAAATGACTCAAAGCTACTGGTGCTCATATCTGTTAAGTCTCACTCATTTCAGGTAACCTCCTGCTCCCGGACCCCTCTCTTCCCCCCCCCTCCCCCATAACATTTCTTCAGGTTCCCCTGATGGTTTGGTGCTACTCATTTACATGTACATGGGTGGAGAGAGCACTGTGTGAGAACATTTTCTAGCTAAGAAACAAGAAATGTCTATTACAAGGCTTGGGTTCTCCAACAGAAAAAAAGTGCAAGCTCTGGGTAAAAACATGAACATTTCTTCAATTACCAAATAAACTAAATGAAAGAACACACAGGTAAATTCAAGCTCATAAAAAAAATGTTATGTACCTGTGGGTTCTTCAGGAAAGTGCTTCTATTTTCAACACACCCACCAGCAGTGGAGCCTGGTGACCATTGATAGTTGTGTTTAAACACATGCCATCTGTTTGAGAGTGAAAAGATTGATGTGTTGATGACATGGCACAAGGTGGCATTGGTGAAGTGTGAGCAGAAGTCTTCAAAAGACATCCTAAAGACAAGAAAAACCACACAAAAACAATTACTATGGGTGAGCACAAAATTCAAAACATGTAAAGAAGAGAAGCCAAAGATATGCTAAAACTACAATACCAAGTAATGGGTAAAATATGTTAAAAAAGAGTACATGCACTAACCAAAACTCTCCATCATTCTCAAAGACAATCCCAAGCTTTTCTCTATCACTTGATTTAAGCTTTTTCCACTCTTCAGAGCTAAAAATTATGAATTCAAAATAGATATCATAATTCTAATATGGAAGCAATCCTTGCAGTTATAAGCACTACTTAAGTTGTGGTGATCTGTGATACTGGTGCAGCACTCTACCACCTGAGCTAACAAGCCAACTTGGGAACTGGTAATTATATTGGTTCCAAATAAACCCTCACAGTAGTGATTATTTGTAATAAATAACAATGGTAATTATATTTTTTTGGTTCTAGTATTAGTATAGCATAATATCAAACCAAGATGATTAATAGTAATAAATAATAATTAAATTAAGATACTTATCATAGTTTTAAACAAGAATATTTCATAAGAATAATATAAAATATCAATTTAAAAAAAATAAATAAGTTTTCAGTCATCATTACTCATCACTCCAAGGTCCATTCCACTCCTTTTGACCCCAAGGATTCCTCAGACGAATCATGTAAAGATGTTGTCGATTGAACAGACTGAAAAGACCCTCACCGATGGTGATCTGAAAGAAACAAGTATATTGTATGGCCGAATGTGGGTTGCAATTTTATCTGTTATAGTTGTGTGTAAATCACCGCAAAGTTACCTTTTTCTAGGACTAGTTGCCAAAAATTGCAGTATTTATGAAAATTTCCTCTGAGTGGAGAATTAAACAAACCATACCTAATGAAGTTACTATCTTTAGAATATATACAATGTATGTCCTGCAGCCTAGAATCTACATCTTTGTCACCATGCAGTTTGAGAATGCTGTTATTCTTTTCTTACTTTGCTTTTTAATTTATTTGTTTGTAGTCAATTTGCTAAATGCTGATGATCAAAAAACACAACAGCAGGAGAGCAGTGCAGCAACAGAACACAGGGAACCTGATCCATAAGATGTACTGATCACAGCTATACAATGACATCCAATCACAACTGAGCACAGCAGCATATGGATAACATTTATTTGTTCAACCTCATTGCCTGAAGAAGACTGGCAGTATTGAGTCAAAATGTTGCAATCCACTGACATCAGAAGTGACCACATCATGGGAGAAAAGATTATATTCCTCTTTTGAAGTGTTATTTACCATCATGATAAATAACACTTTAAAAGATGATGATGATGACCAACTATAACCTATTACCATACGATAAAAAGTTGAAGTTACCTTCTTTACTGCTGTGACACCATATGCATGTCCCATAACTAAACCAGTCTCTGTGCGCTTTTCCATCTCATCTCTATTTTTGATCTTGTAAAAAAAAGGGATATGTCAAAATATCAAATTTTTGATGTGTTCATATGATAAACTTCTTTGCAAGGGTGAATACTTGACACACCTCCAGCGTTTGCTACCTGTCAAGATAAGACTTAATTGACTATAAGGCAACCTGTACATCACAACTAAGTTCCACATTTTATTAATTAAGACTTTCTCACATTTGAATATATTTTCACAAGGGAAACCAAAAGTAATTGCGATGCTCATTTTAATTCCTTTCATTTTCCAATCAAGTTTTTAGGTCCTTGTGAATCCAACTAGTATACATGTATAATGTGCAAGTACACACCCACTGTTTGTACAGCACTTACTCTTATTGAAGCACCAATCAGGGATTTATCTCGCATTGCTCTTTGCATACTTTTGAACAAGACCAGTCTCTTCTCCTGATCTTGACTGTAACCTCCATCCTTAAGGCTGATCGACTCACAGACTCCACCAGTGAAATCTACTAAGGCATCACCAGTATTACCTGCTTCTAATGCTTCATATGAACCTGCCATTCTTAAAAAAGAAAAAAAATTGTTACCCAATTTCACTTCACAACTCCATTGGCATATGGAGTATTACAGTCTGCTATTTCTAAATAACTTCCAAAAACTTTGCTTACTTAGCATATGCCTTTTCCACCAGGGCACTCCAAAACTCATTCTTGTCTGTTGAGTGGATGTACACCAGTTTTCCAGCAATTGTTGGTAGAAGATCATCGATGACAACTTCAGTCCATTGACCTTGACGGAAGAACCGGAACCTAAAGATTCCTTGATAATTACCAACATTTTCAGGGTCCCACTCCTGATGCTTTATATCTGGAATCACCTGAACAGGTTAAAACAAATAACACAAAAAATTTTAAAATATCTGATCCGTGGTTGATAAGAGGGATAAATTGATCTTCACAGGTAACCTGCAGTTAAAGCAATATAGTAAATGAATGGAAAGAAATTAAGGCTTCACAGGGCTCTTAACCTTCAATCTTGACCTTTCACATGCAATCAACCTCCACAAGCAGTGCACTGTCATAACATTACCGAGATATACAGACCTTCTCTAACAGAGATGGCTCCAAAGCCAATGAGGAACATGCTGCAACAAACCAACAATTCCCAAGTTTTCCTTGGGTGACATCATGGCTGCTCATTCCATCCACAAACAGCTGAGGTGGGTCAGGAGTACAGATGTCCTAAGGAAAATGCAGAAAACAGGATCCATCAGAGTTTACTCTTAATCTTTTTTAGTTTGACCTGTTATTGTTTTGAGCCCATATAAATGCAAAGGTCTAAAGGAACTTGTCTTTGTTGTGATTGTTTTATGGAGTAAGGGAAAGAAGCCTGAGAAAGTTCTAAAAGACTGAAAAAAATAGAGCCCCTAAAACATTGCCCTCCCCCTCACATGACTGACCACATGTACATGGAAAGTTCTGATGTTCTATATTCACTGTATTTCAAAAACCAATTAATGGTGAGACCAGTTAGAGGCAAATGCTTAAGGTTAGGCATTGTAACAACCTCTTAATTCAACCTTGGGATTGTTACTACTCGTGTTCAATCACTGCAAAGGGTTACTCTTATGTAATCAAATTTTGGTCAGTGTTTGCAAAGAGTAAGTTGGTTCAGCCCTCTTCCCGCCTTGCCAGGTAACCTATGACCACAACTTGGTTGACTTAGCTGAAGGAGTTTTATCTTCTTCTTCTTCTTCTTCTTTTTTTTTTTTTTAAGATTTTGTTCCAAAAGCTAACTAATATTTGAACTGTCCCTGGTTTACCAATGTTTTGTCAGCATATATGTTTCCTTTACTTGTTTTGGCTGACTTAATAGTTTTTACTATCAAGTTTTGGTAGTTAGGAAGGCTGCCCAAGCAATCTTGAAGAAAGTCATATGCTTTCATAGTCTGTCAAGGTTGAAATGAAAAGTATACAAACACTATTTTTTCCCTGTATTTTATCTTAATTTGTGGTACTTCAACCCAGGGTTGTGTTGAAAGGTCTCAGTTCTCCCTAAAACATTTTGTTCCTCCCTCATCCATTATTTATTTCAACCACACCCTTCCCTCACCTTTGCCCCTCCAGAATGTCTCTCAGTGATATGCGTGCACATCAATAGCAATGAGGGGGGGAAGGGGGGGTAGGGAAGGAAGTGGATGAGCGTTCACATTCTGGTAAGTTCTTCGGGTGTAATGAATTCAATTATTACAGTAGAATGCCCGCAAATAAATATCTTACTTAAGTATAAAAAAGGACACAGTTTTTGTTCATTTATAGCATAGTATTGCTTCACTATAACACTATAGGGAGCTAATTGATCATGGTGCAATATATGTAAATGAATTGGACGCGAACCAACGTAACTGCGCCTAAGAATAGCGCAATATACCATTTCAAGCCTGTACATTTCGGGGAACGATAAAACACTTATGACTTAGTTTTCATATTTATGAAAAAAAAAAACAAAAACTTCAATTTCTCTCTCGGCTCTGTGGTTTGAGGCAAAACTCATCAAGCACTGCGAAAGCAGATACTTCAAGTGGCGATAACATAATAACGAGGCAATTAATTAACATATGTTTATGTTTTCTAACTGTCTAGATCAATCCAGAAGTTCTATAAAACTATATAGCTACAATGCGTTGGTACATCGACAGGATACAAAAAAAGCGGAATATCACCACGATTGCAAAATATCGCTGGAATGAAGCTAAAAAACAAATCAAAATCTATCGTTTTGAAAGTTCCACACGTCACGTATTATGTACGGGCACCAGAATTTTAAATAGCTCCTTACAAGAGCTTGGAGACACAACAAAATTAAAGGATTAATGTATTAATTTAATGTCTAACGTTGGCTAACGCAAATAATATAGCACTTTCCAAATAATGTGGGTTCAAGAAGGTATTTTAAAAGGCAGAATAAACCAACTTTTCACCTACGCTCTCGTTAAGCAACACAATGTACAGCAACACATTTAAATGAATTCAATAGCCGATAAATGTGTTAGAAGTCTGTGTATTTTCCGACGCATATCGGATCACCGCCATGCTCGAGATCGAGACACAGCGTTAGTTAGTCCACATAACTCAAACAAAAGAAAGCCCTACTGAAAATTAATGTTACAATACCTTGGGTCTCTTCCATTCTACGTGCTCGGGAGGTGTCGCTCGACTAAAGTACAATGATTTCGTCTCGGGCGGAAATTCAGGATCCACAAAAAGTCTTTCATCTCTTTCGCATTGTCCCTTAAGCTTGCTGTAACGTTGATTTTTGAAATAATGTAACTTCACCATGTTTTCCTTTAGGGAGAACCTACGATATAGACTCTGAACTTCGAGCGATCGGAAATTTGGACGAAAGCCTCGTAATCATTCGCGCGGAAATTGATTGAAATGCACACCTAGAAAATCTGCGACGCCATTGGTTGACCCGTTTAGAAATCTAAATTTATACCGGAAGTTGAGTCTTTTCGCTGTTTTTGTGGGCAGCGGGTTCTTCATGGCAACTGAATGTTTTGGGAACGTGCCGCCATCTTCTTAAAATAGTCTCTACATATATTCGTTCGATCTTTCGAAATTCAGTTATCTAGCGATGCCAGGTAATCTCGGTGAAAACAAGTAGGTCAATATTCGGTTTACCAGCTAATTGTATTATTTTCTCATTTTGATTTATTATGCAGAGAAAGTTCGTCTCGCTAATATTCATGAAGCGGTTCGCTATGGCGACGTTTTGGAATTGCAAAGTATGGTCCAAAGAGGTGCCGGAATAAACGATGCTGATGGCAAATTTAAATTCACTCCGTTGCACTGGGCAGCTCATCATGGCAGCTTAGAGGTATGAACTTACAATGTAATAGAACTAAAAAACTGTGGATTTCTCGAGTGCGCGACAAGTGCGCGTAGTAAATTCAGTCTTGGTTATTAGACTTAGTTTACTTTGCAGATTCGTTAATTCTCCTCCGTGTATTATGTTAATGTGTTTTTAATTAGGATCAGAACTGATCTCCCTTAACGAAATTACTTTTTTTGTAATTTTTATGCCTTGCTCATCTGACACAATGTATTCCCAATGGAGTAATTATTTAAATATTTAATTTGGTGGTGACAATCTACAGTGTTTCATTTTATGTTTTATTAATTATTTTCAGGAAATTTATTTTCTTATTAACGACAAAAATGGAGCAGAGTTTGCAACCCTCTTGTAATTTTTGAAATTAACATTGTAATACATAGAACATAGGGTAGAAATAACAAGATTAATAAATATTAACCAAAAAAATACGAATGAGACAAACCCCTGTAAGCTTCTATCCAACACCATTCTTGTAAGCCCAAGTCTCAACAAGGAAGAGAAGACCCCATTTTGATGTCACCATTGCTCCAAGTTCCACTTCAGAAGCCTTCTTTCTGATTGTGTGTTTTTGATGCTTTTCTTACAATATGATATTACTTATTTCTTTAAAGTGCTTACATTGGCTACTTTGGCATGGAGCTGATCACTCAGACAAAACTCCTCAAGGGTGGACACCATCACATCTGGCAGCAATCAGAGGACAAGATGCTTGTTTGCAGGTGAAACACTTGTTCACTCTTGGGAAACAAATATACAATCATTTGATTTATTTGCGATGATACCTGTTAGATTGCCAGATACAAAGGTACACATTATGAATTTTGAGTGTGTAGAAATGGCAGTAATGTGTAGTATGTAATCATTGATTTTTCCTTTTTCTTAAAGGCCTTAGCTGCAAATGGGGCTGATCTAAATGACAAGGACAATAGAGGTAAATTTGATTTAGCAATCATTGCACCTTTTAAATGACACTGGGCCTGCTATATATGTTGGGACAGTTGATCAGTGAGTGTCTTATGACTTTTTGTGGCAGGTTGTACTGCAGCACATTTGGCTGCAGCCCATGGGAATTCTTACTGTTTGCAGTCAATACTCAGGCATGGTGTGGTGAGTTACCTGGAAGACATAACTTTATGCTAAACATTTTAATAATAAGAAGACCAGCTTGTTCTGTTGAGGCACAAGGCAAACTAATATTTCAGAAAACCTTCACATTGCAAATTGTTGTTCATCTAGACTTTTGAAAACCACTTTAGATTATCAGAAAATCTCAAAGTAGGCAACTGAACCCTAAATGAATGCTTTGATAATAAATATGCAGTATTTGAGATACTGTAGTGTCAAAAAGTCATTGGTAGTCATTCCCAAATAGTATGAAGAAGGTGCAAGTTTCAACATCATCAATGCTTGACTTGCCAAGGTCATTTTTGACCTTGAAAAATAATGTTTCTGTAGTGTCGTCATTCAGACATAGAGAGACTATTCCTTCTTCATTGCCAAAGGCTAACTGAACTTTATTGATAAACACGTTACACATATACAAGTATAAGAGTTTACTGACTTATAGTAATTTTACATTTTTCCACAGTAGGATTACTGCGTAAAAATAATATTTCAAAATAATACATGTATAATCAATACACTACAGTTTCAAAATAATACACAAAGTCACTAATATGCCAGCAGGATAAGAATTGGGCTTAATATGATTGAACTTCATATCATTTAGGACATTAATGCCACTGACAACATGGGCTGGACCCCAGTTCATTGCGCTGCTTTCCATGGGAGACTGGGCTGTCTTCAGGTAACCTCAGACCCTTATATGCTTCCAAATACAATGTATAACATAGGAAGAGTCTCTTGATCATGTTTAAATGAAGTAATAAAACTAGCATCAATTGGCTTCTTATTCATATTACCTAGTAGTTACTGTGAGATGCAGAAAACCATGAACATTTTGATTTGATACTGACAGATTGATATTCTCCAAAACCCAATTGGGTATTTTCTTTGAATGCAATCACATCCTATGAGTACCAGTATTTCTGATGTTTATGGTTTTCTGAAGTGTGCCATACACTGTAATGTGAAAGCAAATGAAAATGAAATAGCCCCTAATGAATTATGTTATAAGAAATCATTTGAAACCCAATTTTATTTTTATTCCTGTTGTTCCATGTAGCTTCTCTCCAGGTGGGGGGCAAGTGTGGATGAGGTTGATCATTCTGGAAGCACACCAGGTTTGTATTTGTTGCCAAGCTGTAGCCTCTGGTAAATTTACTTACCTTAAATTTTAAGCGTATATGAGTTTTTTTTATTTAACACCCATATTTTTCATCTTATCCAGCTCATCTGGCTGCAAGCGAAGGTCATCTTCCTTGTCTCAAGTTTATTGTTTGTGCTGGAGCAAGCATTGATCACACAATGAATGCGCGCAATGACCAGGTACATGCCAATGTGAGGAGTAGTGTATAGCAACTTTGCATTATGTTAGTTACGATTTGAACTTTTTGAAAAATCTAATAATCAAAGCAAATTGTTTTAACAGACTTCTTATGACAAAGCATGAGACAAATATGCCATTCTGTCTCAAGCAATTTCAAGAAACTAGAATGCCATTACTTGATTGGAGGTCGGGAGTTATGCAGTTGTTTTCTCATGAGGTGTATAGTTCTCCCCTCATTTTATGAGAAAAATTCAAGAACTTCTTTTCCAATCAACATCAGCAAACTGCATATTTGTGGGTTCTTGTATAGCCCATGAAGAGCTTTTCATGTAGGTTAATTTAACTAAAATGTTAAATATGATATCCCTTGATGTATAAGTGTGTTCCAAATGGGAAAATACTCTCCTTCCATGGTTTAAGAAAGTCCTGCCAGTGAAAAAAATATTCATTGGTAATGATATTAATTACCCAGGTAATAGTTTTTTACAAAAATCTTCAAACGATTATAAATAATTTTTTTATTAGTTAGACACTGTTGTGTGAATGTCTTATTTTATCTTTCTCTTTTTGAATAGGGTGACACACCCAAAAATCTTGCTCAGCAATTCTACAAAAAGGATTGTATTGACTATCTTAATGCAGTAGGTATGTCAGTTTTTCTTCTGTGGTATCTAAAATTAATTTTTTCCTTTGTATGCTAAAAATTTCAATTTTAAACTTGGTAAATACATATCATTGATGTGTATTATTCTTACTTATGTGTACATAAGTGTATGAATTCCTAATACATGACAGTCATCCTTCTTCACTTGGGCAATTAGTCATTTTTCTTTTTTTTTTTTTTTTAACCATTTTTAGAATATGACTTGCTTCACCCTGAAGATGAAGAAAGTAAGTTTATCAATGCATCACACTTCTTGAATGATTTAATTTTGGTCTAAATGCATTTTAGATGTATCTACTGAGAGGCTGTCTCCTGATAAGCATTGCAATAACATTAAAGTGTTGAACTAGCTCTGCAATCTTTAAATAACTGACCAAGTTCAAGGTCTTTTCTTGGTAAGTTACAGACTGAACTCAAGAGAAAAAAAGGTTCCATAATTTGCAGTACAGATTGAGTTAGTAAGATATTTATTACATCTTTGCTTTCAAACTTTTGAACTGAGCAAGCCCTACACTGAAATTGACCAATTATAGTGTGTGTGAGAGATATAATAAATTATAAATATGACTTAGAATTATTACATTCTTACTACTGTATGTTTGTGTCTCATCTTAGACCTAGCTTTCCCTGCCCATGTGGCAGCGTACAATGGCGACCTGGCCCAGTTGAAGATGCTAATCGAGACTGGGGTTGTATCTGTGAATGAACGAGATGACAAAGGTTCCACCCCTGCACATAAAGGTACAGAGTTTGGATATTGGTAAAAAAAACACTGTTCTTTTTTCGAAGAGCACGACTAACATGCCCGTTATCCCTTTCATTCTTACTTAGTGTTATAACCTGTCATTTAACTTTAGCTGCAGGAAATGGCCACGTTCAAGTGTTACAGTGGCTTGTTGAAAATGGAGCAAACTGTAAGTAAAAACTTTAGAATTTTCATTTTCTGTTGTTACACTGCACTTTCACTTAAATACGGTGTAATAAAAAAAAAAAAAAAAAGAAACGAAACGATAAACTTATTCCACAGTGATAGCATCATTTGAAACCTGTCATTGTGGAACTCACGGCCTTTGTGACTTGTTAGATTTAAAATAAGTCATTGTTTTTAATCCTCAGTGAGAATTGTCAACTCCGCTGGTGAAACACCCAAAGATGTGGCCCGTAGGTTTGGACGCCTTGGCTGTGTTGCAATTCTTGGAGGCGACTCAGGTGAATATTCCATTACCTTACAAAGGAAAAATACTGCAGAACCTACATGTACCTGTAATAAAGAGTTAAGTTATTATTAAAAAATACATTTGACTCTATCAAATTCCCGTTTTTGTTACCGCCTTAACTAAAATAATATTTCTTGCGAAGCTCGTTAAATGTGAAGTATATTTAACACCTACCTTTTTTAAAATTCTCCGTTCATTGTTTGCATGTTTCGTCCCTAGAATTTGCTTTCCTATTGCATTTCACATTTTTTCTTGCTCATTAGACGATGAAGAAAACGTTGTAGACGAAGGAGCAGAAGACTTCAAGCCATCCGAACCACAGTCTAAAGCCGAGGCCAGAGGTGCATTTACTTATTTATATTAATCTTTTAGTTATTTTTACTTCGTTTGGCTCACCCAAGAATACCGTGAGAATGAATTTATTTCTCCTTTTTTTTTTTTACAGAAATTAAATTGTTGTGCTTTTAAAAAAATGAATAAATTTGATGACTAAATGATGATAAACACATACCGACTAATGTAACGGTCACAATCATATTTGCCTTTCCATTATTGCTCCACCACTGTTTTCTCTTTGTTTTATTGCTGTACTCTCCTTTTTTCCTCCTCTCCGCGAAATGGTATCATAAAAATTTAAATTAGTATCTTGAGCCTTTCCTCCCTCCATCCTATAGACTTTCTTTCATCTCAGTAAAATTTGCTAATTCTGTTCAATTAAAATTTCTTTCTGGTCTCGCCACTGCCTCTTTTTGGTTTCCTCCTGAAAACCCACTGTCCTCACCCACCTCCTATGTTTTTCTCGGCAAGTTTGCGGCGTTGTTGAGTTCATTATACTTTGATTCGTTCAAGGGTGGTTTTTTTTCTTTTTTCAATCCTGTTCTGGCTTCTTGTAACACGTCAAGTTTCCGGTGAAATCATCTCTCAAGCCTTTCAATTCCACGACCTCACTAGCAATTGTCCTTGGCTCTGAGAGTTTGATATTGGATCAGGTAGTGATCCCTTAATGGATATTTTTCTGTATTCTCATCACTTATCTTCTTGATATTGTATTGATGTCGAAAGGAGAAATTCTTTCCTGGTTAACTGTTAAAGACTTTAACGCCGTAGTGGGCCTTTAAGAAGCAACACGTGGGCTTAACCTTTCAATACTTTGAAAATCTTCGAAAGAATCTTTACGTTTGTACGTGTGCGATTTTATCCGCTCTTTGATTTGAAATCATTCTCCCGCGCATGAATTTAACTTTCGGCAACGACATACCAAGGACCAAAAATATAAACTCGATACTTGCCCGGTCAGCTTAATGTAAGGACGTTTGCTGGGTTTACCAGATGAGGGATCCCAATGTAACAACCTTCTATGCTCAACCTAGTATCTATAAAACCTCTTCTTCTTCCTTTCTCTTTCGTTTCTACTTTTTATCCTTTAGCTTTTCCTTTTCTTCTTCGCGACGACCGAGATCCGGAAGGTAAGGATTTTCCAACCTTTCTACCGGAAATCTCGGACGATCTTGTTCAGGACACCAAGCAGAATCGACTTGAAGACGCCCAAGGTACTAAAAAATAAACAACTGATACATACCCACGATGACTTTCATTCACATTTGGGACCTCATTTCAATTCCTATTTTTCTATATCTTATTTATTATTATTATTGTTATTATTCCTAAACCTTCTGTCTATTTGATTTCTGTTATCAGCTTCAAAGTTCCTCTCACTGTTCTCTTCTTAAATACAGTCGAACCTTTGTTAAGCGGCATCGTATTAAGCGTTCACCCGGTCAGTTGTGAAAGTCCTGAAATTCTTTCCCCCCAGACGCTCTATTTTACCTCTATTAAGTGCTCATCTCTATTTAACGGTCGTGGTCACCCTTGACTAAATCCCAACGGCCTGTTTGCATTGTCTTTTATAATATCCTTTTACTGAGGAACCTGTATTGAGCGATCATCCCAACATTCCTCCTGGGTGATTGGTTAATACAAATTTGACTGTGGTCGATTTCAGCTTTTCGGTAAACTTGAGAGATGGTTGAAAGAGCCGTTTATACCATAGGCATACCTTCACTCATTATCCATTAAACGTGTCTTTAAACGGAAAAACGTTTCCTCTGGGACACTTCTATTCAGGTTGCCATTTCACTCTAGGAGCGCGTAGTGATCATTTAACCTCGCATCTCTTACCTCCATATTAAGGTCCTTTATTTTCTTATTATTTTGCATGCAGGTCGTGCTAAGCGGAAAATTGACGAGTTGGCGCATCTGTTAGATGTAGCCAAAATGAACTACAGACAGCTGGGAGGAGTTTTGGATGAAGACCAAAAGAAACTTGAAGAGGAGAGAGAAAGTGCTAGGTACATAGAGAGACAGACAATTCACATCATTATGGTACATCGTTGCCACACTTGTAATTCTGATTGGCTAAAAGGACACCCTTAGTTCTAGCTGGTACAGTTTTCGTTTGGTCATACCTATAGACGATAGTTTTTAGGCCTGCGTATTAAAAGAATTTTGAATTCGGTTTTGAGCGATGGCGGAAGTCGACCTCGGCTTCGAAAGATGACACAAACCTCAGTTTTAACAATTCTTGCAATTCTTCTCAACTTCGACACTGATTACAGAAGGATCTTTCTTTTTTTCCTCGCTGTTGTCGGAATCAAAGTAAAATGTTTATTTTCGGTCACTTTGTTGCTTTTAAGCAACAAATAGTAGCGTTCATGGAAATTTCAATAAGGAAAACATTAATCGTATTTCGTGATAGCGAATTTTTATTTACTTGAACTTAATCAGTGTTCTTTTCCCTGGCTAGTCATAAGGGAATAGTTATTGCTCGTAGCATATTGTTATATTTGGTCTCTGTCTCGTTTAATTCAGGGTTATACGCGAGTTAGAAGCTCAGCTGGAATATGAGCGAGAAAAACGAGAAAGGCTGGAGGCCCAAATGGACAAACTGCGTGCTCAGATACACACTCTTACCCTTCAGCTGGAAGACGAGCGCAGCAGAAACGCCACGGTAAGATTTTTCACTGTAACTGGTAGTTGTACCTAAGAGTATTTTAGGAAGCGTCTGTGTTTAAAATATATCATCGCTATGGATGTCACTGAGTTTGGTTGTTCACCTTTTGAATGTAAAGGAGGAAACAAGGCAAGATGACCTCTACAGTTGTACTACATTAACCAAGGTTTAAGCATTTTACATGTCAGTTCTGTTTTGATTTCCAAGTTCCTCTCCTTAGATGCGTTTTGTGATGGCTAATTAGTCTCCTGTCAGTCACTCGAAATTTTTCATGTTCTTCCTTTCTTTTTTTATCAAAGCGTATTTCAGTTCAGTTTATCTTATTTCCTATTGTCGTTTATTTTTTAGCGCTTTTCATTAAAGTACCTTAACCTTTAACGGTTTTGAACTATTTTATTAAATTGACCATTTTCTTTTATATTCTCTCTGTTAGTGATTGATGGGTGGTGTAAATCAGTATTTTTTTTACTCATGAGGGTTAACGGATGTGGGGGCTAGATTCCTTTTACTGGGAGAGGGCGGGAGGTCCTTGCTTATCATTACAGTTTGCGACTTTACTCACCCTGAAGAGAAGCCTCCCATTTTCTCTTTCAGTTTTTTTAATGTTTTAAAATTTCATTGCAGTCATCTGAATTTCAACGATCGTCAACCTCGACACAGCAAACTGCGTTACGACGCAAGAAAAAGAAAGCCAAACGATTGGACACGACCACCACTGGAATATTCGTAAGAAGAGGAGTCTCCAGTCCGAGGACAATTCACTGCCTGGATAAGGACTGACTAACATCTCTTACATGACGAGACAAACTCTTAAGAGGCATAATCGCATATTTATAAGATCTGTGTATAATAATAATAATAATTTTTCTAGAAAAGAAGTCATACTAGTTAAAAGCAGAACTGAAAAGAGGATTTCAATGGGGTTAAGTAGTAGCTAGTCGTAAAATGGCTAGAAAATTTAGCCGTTAGATGTAAAACTTAACAAATTTTAACTGGAAGTAGTAAGAGAAGGTAACCGCAAAAACTTTGACCTTTCTAGAAAGGATCATTTCGAGTTAGCCGTTAGCCGTTAGATGGCCAAATTTTAAACCCCATTTAAACCTTCTGATTAGTTTTAAAATCAAAGCTAACACAGTTTCAACTTGTGTGAAATTGGAGACCGTGACTGCCCTTTGATACTGATGCCGCTTGAAGTTGTGTGGAGCTTCATTTTCCTATTTTCTCACCATGTTTTCTTTTCCAATTATAAACACAACGCTCTCGACATTTCCAATCCAGGCAGTATACCGAAATTTCTTCACATGCGTTGCTTGGACGTCGAACTTGGCCTGGCCCACCAGCGAGCTATTTGGTAGATCGTCGGACCACGATATGTGAAGTTCTGAGAATCACGTCCTCTTTGAGGACTTAGATCTTCCCCAGCCTCACGTTCATGAAATTGTAATAACATCTTTCTCTGCTTTTACAAGATTTGTTTCAGAGTAGACTGATCTATCTTTAATGTTGTAAATGATTTTTAGATTTATGAAACATATGATTTTCTTATATTCTCTTTACAACGATGACGATTGATCGATTATAGTAAATTTTAAATCTTTATATTACTGGTGATTGGCGCAGGTAAAATTACATGTACGTTCGCTTGCCAACTTGATCTGAAATTTGATCCACAGACATGTGCATTACATTAAGGCAATAAATGTGTTCCTTTGAATTGAAGACCACGTTTTCCTTTTTTCTTTTCTTCAAAAGCCCTCTGGTGGTCAACTTGTGGTTCGTTTCGCAATGCATGACAACTTGTTGACGACTTTTCGAGCTATTACGTTTCAAAACTCGTGCTCAATAACTTATTTTTATTCCGGCCTTACTCATGACATTTAAACATTTCATGGTCAAGACCAAAATTGATATAAAAAGAATTCGTTGTAAAACTAATCCAGTTGTGAATCATTGACGCAAGTCAGTGAACCAAAATATATATCTCAACCTTCGCCTCATTGTCGTTGAGGTTGGTGGCGTTTTATAATACTTGCTAGTCTAAAAGCACATTCCTCCATTTCCCTATTTTTCTTTACCGATCCTCTCAAACTGACGGAACAATATTTTACCAAACTATCAAACCGCTTATTGACCAACTGACCAATCATCCGAATGATCAGATAGACAGGCTGCTACATGCGTTCATTTATTGAACAACAATGCCTCACTAGGATTAGTGTGGAGGCGCGGAATAAAGTCGCTCGAGTACAATCGCAGTGCTGACCGACGGGATAATTGCTAATTTCTTGCTCAAAAGCTGGTTAACTGACGAACGAAGTGACCCATTAGTTGTATTTTGTTAACCATTTGTGAACGGATTCATAAGTTTCCATAAAATTATTTTAAAGTAGTCACTAGAGCATCAATATGATGATATAAAGGATGTGGTATTTAGAGGGTCAATAACGTTTTGTTTGTAGTTTTTAATGATCAGACCACAACTCGCTCTGATGGGTCCACATTTACATTTGTGCAACAGAGTTTTCTCACACAACTATCCATCTTGACGAAAGTCTCCACATGAAAGCTGCCATACTCTCGGCACCTACACGGCTGCCCCTCTTCAACCAACCGTTCTTCCTCTTCTTCATCTTCCAAACACGGGAGATACAACGGGGTCATGTCGTCTTCGTCATAGACCAGTTCTGCTCCGCATTCAAGGGCAGTCAAAAGGTTTGAGTTGATGTCGCTTGAACAACGACCAGAAATCAACATACTTGTGGTTGCTTTATTCTTGGCTGTTTTGACGGGTGCTTTAGGATAATTTACAATTGGTCGGCTCGTCACCTTAGAGGCAGATCCCATTCGGCGATTTCGGGAAGGACGAGGGGCATTCTTGAGTTGCAGGCTTTCTGGGCTTGTCACGCCCGAATGACCGAATTTTACGGGTTTGGTTGTCTCGTTAGCGCTTTTCAATTCAGATTTTGAGTCGTCGTTGAGAGAAACGGGGTTTTCCTTGACGGAGCATTCCTCCCTAGATTCAAAATCGAGCTTTACCGCTTGTTTGCCTTTTTTCTCTTTTTTGGTGGGTTTTTTATCCACATCGGAAGTTTTCAACAAGGAATCAATGTCGTAAACTTGACCCACTATTATTAAAGTATCTTTGAAGAATTCCCTTAATGAGGGTCTCCATTTAACGAGCTCTTCAATGTCTCGCAGTGCTTTAGCTTGTGATAACATCTGCTCTTTAGCCGTGCCGTACGAAGGACCGGAATGAAACACTTGGTTGCTAACTGAATACCAACCATTGCTTGTCAAAAAAGCTTCCACTGACCTCTTTTTGTAGCCAAAGGTTTGATCTCTAGTTGGAAATTTCGCCTTATCAGTTGTGTACTTAAAAAACACAGCAGCCATAGCTTGCTCCCAAAGTTACACGATCAATCGCCAAACGTTTCTTGAATGAGTAGTCCTATCGAATTCCCACAAAAAAAAGAATGTTGTCGACACTTCAATATGCCCTGTAATGTTTGGCTTTTCAGTTTCGTAATTTCGTTGAAATTACTGGCAGGGTTAAGTTTTCCCACGCTTCTTTGCTTCAGTGCACAGCATCTACACACTGTTGTAATCTACTGGAAACTTTCAAATTCACACACTCCCTTATTTTGTAACCTGCCCTTAACACTGAAGTTAAACAGCCAATTGGCTTTAAGTTACACAAGGGAGTAATTCATCTTTAACATAATATACAGGTTTTCTTTTCAAAAGGAAACATGAGACAATTAAAACCATCCTATGTTAGTAGACCACTTTGTTAATTTATAATAAGTTGAATTTATTCTCCACTGAAGCGGTGAAACTAGTACTCAAACAATGCATTATTATCAAGTTAATAGTTTCATTGCAGTCAACTGGGATGGTTTCTGTGCTCTAAAAACATTTTTTCGATAAATGATAGTCTTAATTAATCTTTGAGTGTTCCTCTGCTTCCCTAATTCCCTATCACATAACACAAAAGAGGTGACTTTGAAGGGTGTGTACGTGTAGATCTAGTACCTGACGAACACACTTCTCAAAAAGGTTGTAAAGATTAAAGAAAATTTACTCCAGAACACTTTCCCCGGCATGTGTTGTTGATCATGACACGTTTTCTTCTCGTCGCTAAAACTTTTGATAAGACAAATGCGGCTTATTCTCTGTTATAGACTAAATAAGTTCAAGATTACTCGATATTTGATGAGATTTCTTTCTTTTTGTCTCTAACACTGATCACCAGTCGTGGACAATTTCTCACCCAGAAATTTGTCGAAAATGTCGTTCCACTGAACCATTAGTGGGGTGAAAATTTTGCAACCGTACAATTTCATTTGACACAAAAAATTACTAACCATACTTTAATGATAAAATTTACATTATATGGTTTCTCATTTCCAAATTCGGTTTTGTGTCAACTGGTTGTTAATGCAGGTACATGAAGTTCCTGTACAGTTCCGATTCACGCAAACAATCTGCGCATCAAATTTGCGGGCTAAGTATAAATTTGTTTTTTGGGAGCAATAACCGCTATCGTCAGAAATTGCCAACTTCCGTTTAGATGAAGAAACAAACAGTACGTATCTGTCAAAACTGCATGAAAAAAAACCCGTGGAATGGGTTGTCTGAGTCACAGCTATTTGTAATAACCGTTGGTAAGTCAATATTTGTCGAATGTAATTCTAGAGTGCCCCTTTTTCGCTTTACTCCGCTTTTTAATTGGTTCTGAAGCTCCTGCCACCTCAACCAAATAAGTTGCAAAGAGTGACACCGATTGTGACCTAGTCACTTGCAATTTCCCGCTCTTCAGGTTGTTTTGTTGTTTTGATTCTGACTTTTCATTTGCTCCTTGCCATACTTTACTTCGCTCTAGTTGGCCGTTGTTACTACTTTTGTTGGGTTTTATGAGACTCATTTGAAAAACGCTCAACACATCCGAAGATACGATCTTCTTAAGGAAGGCAAACAGATAGTCTCATATCACTGCTCATGATGGCTCAGCTAGTGCGACCTGCTTCTTCTTCTTTTTTTTTTTTTTGACAGAGACATGCATGTAAATGAAACTTTATTTCCGGTATATTAACCAAGCTCTTTACAGGTTTCGAATCACTCACTCTCACACTTCACACAGATGTACCGGTCAGCCGGAATCAGTACAGAGAAAACACGACAACTCAAGAATTCTTCCTCTTTCACCTGAAAGCCGATACTAGTAACCGCCAAGGTGCTGAGTTTGTCATTCACTCGTTTACCGTTATGGAACAAGTTGCAGATGTAAACGTAAAAAACAGATTCATAAACCTTCCAAAAGTTTCCCGTCATGGAAATTAGGTTGTTTCGCGCTCTCTAGGTGATTTTGGGCCCATTCGTTTTTGTAGTGTTTCTGTTTGTCACATTGATCTCGGTGGAAAGGCGAATGGCGTCAGTTGAGAGGGAGCTGAAAGAAATTTCGAAAAAAGGTACTGAGCACAATTTGCCTGAAAATGAGAGGAAAGGATCGCTCAGCTCAGCTGATATAGGCGAAATGCTGATTTAAAGGCCAATTTTTCAGATCTTACCAAGAGACTTGTTGCACTAGAGAGCAGGTATCATGACTAAATGACGAATGCAGATTGCATGTTACCTGAATGTTACAGATTCATAATTGTAAATAACCATAGCTTCATTAAATTCATTTACTACTTGGGAGTGCTGCTTCTCATTTTGACAACAGCGATTGTACTTTCGTTATGAAAATTGTCCTTTTAATTTATAATGTCATCACCTTTTAATGGAGAAAGAAAAGGTATAAATATTCATACATATTTTTAAATTGCAACATTTTTGAAAACGGGTGCATTATTATATATTCACTAATAAGCTAAACCAACAAAAAAAGGAAAAAAGAGAAAGAAAGATGATAACAAGTCATACTACACATACAACTGCAATTAAATGTAGAGAAAGATGAAAACAGTCACAAAAGAAGATGAACTGTCTTTAAATCGAGATATTTTAGGAACAGTGAATGACAAGCAACATATTTAAAAAGAAACTAATGGCTTTGTTGAGGGACTCGATATTTTAGTTCAAAGTACGCACCAGTTTATCACAGATATCCTACGTGTGAAAATCTAAGACTCGCTGTACTTTGAGCTCAAGGAAGTGAACAAATGATCGATGTAAACGAAACCTACTTCCCCAAGTACTGAAGCATTTTTAAAGAATTAGGTTCGTCATCACGTACACTAATCATTCACTCGAGCCGACTTTAAGTCAAACAAGTGGAGTAAGAATTCATTTTATCAGAACTTTGGTACACTGCCGTGTTTTTGTCGCTCGCTCGTTTACCGTGATGGAGAAAATCCCAGATAAGGAACGAAAACCTGATCAACGTTATCCTTTGGCAAAACTAGGTAGCCCTTTGCTCGTTGTGGTGATAGCGGGCCTGATTGCGTGTGTAATATTTCAATTCATTACTTTGGCCTCTACGGAAAGACGACTTAAGGAAGTTGAGAAAAAGCTGAATGAAATTTCAAAGAAACGTTCGGAGTACACCCAGTCCGAGATGGAGACAAACGGTCTGCTAAGCTCCTCAAGACATAGGAGAAGTGCTAATCCTAAGACTAATTTGTCAGATCTCACCAAGAAACTTGTAGCACTGGAGAGCAGGTAAAGTGTGTTACATTGTGGAGCAGGCTATTTTTTTTGCATTTGAATGTAACTAAAGCTTGATTATAACGCTACCTTTAATGAAACCATTTAAACCTAATGACGCCGATTTAATCTTAGAGTTGAACATTGATTTCGTTTACTGAGTCAAGGTACTGAAAAACAAATAAATAATGAACAGGAGTATAACAAATAACTCACGATAAAGGTCAAGGTCTTCAAAGTACCTACGTGATTACCTCGCAAAATCGTGAGTTATTATATTCGGTGAAATTACTAATATCTAGGAATGCGGACAAATCACCGCCCGTTGCATCGCGGAAGTTGATTTAGCCACGTGTAAAAAAGATAGCGGATGTTATGAATATGTATTCGCATCTTGTTAGTCTATAAACATACACATCACGTAAAGAGATACCAAATTACGTTTTCTCGGATGACCGTTACGCAAGTATTCGCCCGAGAGTCAGCACTGACAACACGAAAAAGGGAAGAGATCTTCCAGCACTGAACAATAAGGAAGGAGGAAATTAAAGATAGAAAGTGCTGAAAGCGAAGGTTAAGAGAGGGTTTGTTAAATTATTGGGCCCCTTAGGGTCTTATCTCGTGAATAAATGAATGCTCATGGATATTAAATTTTAGATACTCCAGATGTCCTTTAATTATCTCCTTTGCAGGACAGATAACCTTTTGAAAGAATTGCGTCTCAAGTCTTCCCCTCGAGGTTAGTTAAGAATAATATGTGCTCATTGTTGCTATCATAATGATTGTTTGACAGTTATTTATCAATTAAATACGAAGCACGGCACAGAGACATCTGGCGTAAAGGAAGGTACGTTGGCCTGAAACAATCCAAATCTTCCCTCCCCCCATTTTGGGATTATAGAGATTTGCTGTGGAGTTTTCAAAGATTTGGAAAATTTTGCTCAGTTTCGACTTCATTTGAGAGAATTGATATGCGCCGGAGTCGGAAACCAGCCTCCTCAAAAGCGACCGGTTTGTTTAGAAGCACAGGTAATGTCAATATGATTCAAAGGGTTTCAAAAGTCCTTTCTAGCTATCTATCCATACCTGCTATCGAGTCGATAAGAATATTTATAACACTTTTGTTTGGGTTATTGAGTGGCCACTTCAAATTGCTATGTCATCAAAATCTGACAAACACAGTAAGATATCAACTTAGACGCATTTTGCTATTTCGTTGTCACACCCAGTTGACCTCAATTTTTTGCGACAGTATTTTTTAATAAACTTGGAACGTCTCTTTGAAAACTGAATCATATTTGATGACAACTTATTCACTTACATGTACTTTTATTTGGCTTTTATCATTTTTTCCTTCGCTTACAGCATGGTTGTTGTTCCTCTCTTCAAGGAACCAATAATTCTTAAAAGTAGTCAAATAATGTCTCAAAAAAGCCTGATAAAAATCGGTGCTGATTGAAATTGTCAAAATGGCCAATGTCACACAAAATACACACGGCGTGATATTCTTTTACATAACTTTAATCGAAAAACTTCTAGTCGAAAGATTTCCGATCAGTTCATATCATTTATCAAATGAATTAATTTATTCGGATATATTTTACTCCACAATCCACATATCCATTTCCATGCTCAAGATGTAACGCCAATCAGTGTGGAATGAACAAACATTTGATTATTCCAGTAATTCCGTGCAATTTTGTCTTCCATAATGATTATAGTGAATACCACGCAAATTAATTAAAACATATGATCAAATGCGCTTAAAATCTTCGCTTCAAAACTTTTTCAGGTCGAGACGGAAGAGATGGCATGTCAGGCTCCCCCGGACCTGCTGGTAATATAATTATAATATTATACTGATAATAATGATAATGATAAAACAAATGCCAGAAGAAGAAAAAAAAAACAGAAAAGAAAGCAACAATACCTCTTACTCAGCGGTTAACATGAATAAGATCACAATTTGTCTGGTAAATTGTCTCCATACCAAAGAGACTTATCTCTCTTGCCGCGCATTGTCAGCAAAATAAGTCAATTTTCCTTTTTTTTCTTTTCATTACGACTTAAGTTTCAAATAAAAGTAACTAAAGTGTATTATATCATATTATCAAAATCCATTTCCAGGACGGGATGGAAGAGAAGGACCCGCAGGACCGAGAGGACTTCCGGGACCAAAAGGTATTACCATGGAATTAAGGGTTGCGATCGGTTAACGTAAGATTTTCAGCTAAACGACTTCCTTGATTCCAAATGAAATTAAAAAACATTCTTTAAGGGAAACAAGCAGAATACATGTCTCTAATTTGCTTTTAGCCTCTAGGGATGACACAGTTAAGTTAAATTTTGCCTGGTTGGACAATTTTTCTTCATATTATGTTGAAGTACGTCAAATTCCTCCGAAAGAAAAAAAATGATCAAAAGACATTAGCCTTATCAATCAAACCTACCGTTCTTATGCTGTTGCCTAAAAGATGGAGATTTTCTAAACCAACACTAAGCGTCTTTATGGCTAATGTACCAAAGTATTACACGCTGATAACTTTGTATTTTGATGAGGTGACGTCGGCCGAACGGGAAGTACTGGACCCCAGGGACCTCCTGGCCCTCAAGGAAAAAAAGGACAAGAAGGATATGGGCTGTCAGGTGTCAGTTACAACCGCTGGGGACGAAAGAACTGCTCTGGCGATGCAACTTTAGTGTACAGAGGTAGGGAGGAAAGAAACGTTGGTGACCCGAGGAATTCAAGTTGTTCTCGGATGTTGTCAGGATGTTGTTCTTGATTAAAAACCACCACTTTTCTCTCGTTGATATTATTTTAACAGATCAGTACACCCATGAAGAGACCCCAAATATTGGGCCATAAAAGGAAAAGAGGCAAAACAAATAAAAAACAGGAGCAGCAGCAAAAAACAACAACAACAAAAACAGACAAGCAGAACGCACAAAACAACAAACAAACCATATCAAGTCTTAGAAAAAAACTATAAGTGACTTTAAAACTGATATAAAGGCTGAAGCTAGCTCAAGGCTCTGTCTTTTTTTCATTTTTTGGTAGGATTTATGGGCAGTGGATATTATACACACACTGGTGGCGGAACAAACTTCGTTTGTCTCACCGACAATCCAATTTATGGAAAAGTCGTTGCTGGCTGGCAAGGTACAGCAGCAATCTATGGCACCGAGTATCAAACCTCTGGGTTCCCAGGCCTTTCGAACCTAGACCAGCATGATGCACCGTGCGCTGTGTGTTACGTCAGGAAACGTGGCTCCCAAATAATGATACCTGGAACAAATAAGTGCCCCTCGGGATGGACCAGAGAATACAAGGGGTATCTGATGAGCTCACACTATGACCACGCCCACCCCAGTGAATATGTATGCATTGACGAGGGTGCAGAGGCTATACCTGGAAGCCACAGCGACACAAATGGAGCCCTTTTGTATATGGCACAGGGAGATTGTGGACACGCCTTAACATGCGGACCGTACATCCATGGGCATGAACTGACGTGTGTTGTCTGCACAAAGTAGTTTCGTCAAAATGACAATGGCCATTGGAGAAATATGTAGCCTTTGGTCGTTCCTCCTGTTTTCTTCATAAAACAATTTAAGATGAGCCAAGCTCATCTTTTTTTTAGCATGATACTTTAAAATCAACAATGGGATATTGATAGGATTTTTCATGGTAATAAACTAGTTTGGTTAAGGTGATTTGTCCGATGATTGAAACCAATAGCCTGTTTGTAGTTTTTTCTATTTCATTCCATCGTATTTTAATTCTATTATTAATTATTGATGATTCATGATTTCGAAAACGTGAATTAAATTCTATGGAATCGAATCAGTATATTATACTTGCACAAAGAGCAAAAAGCCAAGTAGAAAATATTTTTGAAATAAAAGTTAGATAAGGTCGGATCCCATAGATTGTACATGTTGATGACACGAGTTTTGTGTTTAAATAGCCTCACAGCACTGTTCGCAAAGAGACCGAAGGTTTTAGGCAGACAATCCTCTTGGCACAAGTACATTAAGATAGTACACCTGGTCTTCTGTGAGAGCTTTAACGATCGGCGGGCGACACAATAGATATAGAGACCGGTTTCTTCTAGAGAGGAGAGCCGATCGATCAATGGCGCTGCTTGGTATATTGAAGATTTTCCATAGCCAGTTGGTAACGAAACGGAGATATCGTTACTTTGGAAAAAGATATTTATGGCTTTCTCTTGTTCTTCCTGAAACTGGCTAAATTCGGCCAGTCTTGAAATTCTCGACAGAGAATACGTTATTAACGTTCCAATATCCTGTTCAAGCATGAGCGTATATAGATATTTCACAATTTCAAAGCTTTATTGAGACCGTTTCCGTGACCGTGTCCGTGTCCGTGTTCATACTCTGCATACTGGAGCCGTGATAACTTCAAGTGAGAGTGATGCGCCGATCAATTCGAAGCTTCAACATCCCTCCCCTCCAGACAACCCACGGGTATTCGACTGTCTTCCGTGCCCAGGAGTGGAAAATTTGAACCTTACCTGGGTGGAGTGGGAAATTTGAAGCGGAGGTGAAAAGTCTTTCCAGCGTAATACGCGTGTTTTAATGAAGGCGTTTAAAGGTAAAGAGTCTGCTTTCGTGAGTGAATGGCATAGAAATAAAATTTTCACGTTTTAGAATGATGCTAACAAGCGGAAAAAATATGTGACTTTGCTAATTTCTACAGTATTCGTTGATCATTAGGCCTGTCGCGCTTGTGCTCGGCAACTTTTGGCGTTTGGAGCAGCTTTTTGCAGTTGGGAGCAACCCCTAGCAACCTCGAGCAACGTTTGTCCTTCTGAGCATTTTTTCAGCAATATCCAGGTTTAGAGCACATATTAAGCGCAAAAAAATCAACGATTTTATAGAAAACTTCAATTTATGCGAATAATATTGATCAACCTTTCGAATCATCAGTAGAGCTAGGTTCGTTCAAGTGCCCTCATATCGTTTGGCAAGACGTCAAATGAACCTTGTGTTAGTGTTCCGTTAGCAAATTGAGTGCCCTTAAATGTCACCCATACGTGCGAGCAACTTTTTAAAGCCAGGTTTCAAGCCATGGTAGCAATTATTGTGAAGAACGAGAAATAAAACTTTTACCTTCGTTTACTTTAACGTTCCGTGAAAAGATCAAGAAATTTAGGTGGCAGCTTTTGTAATTTAGGTCGCACTTTTTAGATTTTTGGCAATTTTTTAGCAACGTTTTGACATTCCAGCAAGCAACTCTTCAGCTTTTTACAAGCAAAATCGGGACGGGCCTATCGATCACAAAAACAGTCGTTTAATAATGGATGGGCCATTTGAACGCAATTTTGACTCTTGGGGCGAGTACTTGAACAAACCAATCTTCAAAAGTTCAAATACCCGGGGGTTTAAGGTTCGCATTGATCTACGCTTAATAATGAAATAAAACTTGCTGAAGCCTGGTCTAAACTTTGGAAAATAGCTGTTGCTAAGGAACGTGCAAGTTTAGTTTTCCAAGCTATTGCAGAGCCAAGTTTACTGTATGGATCAGGTACAGGGTCTCTCATAATTGCCGTGGATAAGAAGTTAATGTTTGAAGCGAAGAAGTTAATGTTGGAGCGAAGAAGTTAGTGTTTGGAGCGAAGAAGTTAATGTTGGAGCGAAGAAGTTAATGTTTGGAGCGAAGAAGTTAATGTTGGAGCGAAGAAGTTAATGTTGGAGCGAAGAAGTTAGTGTTTGGAGCGAAGAAGTTAATGTTTGGAGCGAAGAAGTTAATGTTTGGAGCGAAGAAGTGAATGTTGGAGCGAAGAAGTTAGTGTTTGGAGCGAAGAAGTGAATGTTGGAGCGAAGAAGTTAATGTTTGGAGCGAAGAAGTTAATGTTGGAGCGAAGAAGTTAGTGTTTGGAGCGGCACAGATTATGGGATGACTCAGAGGCGCCACCAATGGGAACATTCCATTGTGACCTTAAGAGAAGAGAAACCAACGTCGGAAATAGATGCTTCTCTAGACAATATTGGCGGAACGCTGATCGTGAGCAGGAAGTTGCTCACAAGATAATACTACAGGCTCCTCCTCCTGTAAAACGAAGTAGTTGTGGACAGCTGGCTCAGACGCACATTTACCAGCCAACAGATAGAGAATCCGTTTAAGCAAAGACCAGCTCGTACGCGATTAGAGTCGTGACTGCATGGAGACCTTTTGCGATGGAAGTCTGAATGAGGTCGTCGTGATGATGATGACGATGACGATAGTAATGCTATGGGATTACTTAAAAAACAAGACTTTACGGGGAAATTCAATCGCCTTGCTTGGTGCTCTTTGTTTGGTATAAATATATCCAAAAATATCCAAAAAAAATAAATAAATAGGTTTGAGGAGTGGTCCTTTGATTGTCAGTTTAGCTGGTTGTCCTGCCATTGTTGTGCGGGTGTCCTTAACGAATAACTTGTTTTCTATTCATCGAGTGAGACACTTGTTGGGTGACAGAATAAATGATTCTTTTAAGAAAACAGGCGACATAATTTCAAAAAACAAAGAGCAGATTGAAGTGACTTTTGTTACTAAGCAGTTACATTATATATATATTTTGTCGTATTGATAGCCAAAGGAGATGGTAGTCTCGAGAGAGAAGGTAAACGCATCAAGGTCTTATCCTTTTCATAGAATTCCAATTTTATGTTTATGTTATCATTGCTTCATGATCTGTTTTTGTTTTTGAAAGAAAATGGACACATGTAGCAAACACATTATTTCCTGCTTCGTAAATAATAGTCAGCAAGTATTTGTACAAAATCTTTTTGGGTAAGTTTATGAATCAAGCGCGTGTTCGACTGTAATTTCCTCGTATTCTTTATGAAACATTTCTCCACTATCTCTTCTCTAACGCTCAACTTCACCATGATGTCTCACTTTTCTTTCAGACCAGTACATCTGCTGTTATTATTTTTGCGTTTTTGACGATTGCCATTGTCCACGAAGCAGAACTAGCAAGTGGTAATTTCCAAAATACTTGACAGATTTTATGGAACAATGCCTTAGTTTGTTTGTTGCTTGTGTTTTATTTTTTCCTAAATGTGAGTTCGTCAAAAGAAGGTTTATTATTCTATATCAAAAAGAAATTCATTATTGCTTTTATACTCTATGTAAACCAGCCCCGTTAATAAATGATTACAGCTTGAATTTCCAATGTCCATAAACTGTGTCGAGCTATTTTCGGTTTGTGAAACTTACGAAAACCTAAGAAAAAAATGCAGTGCTCATGAATTGGAATCTCTTAGACTGAGTTACCCAGCTGTGAGAAAAAGTTTGGCTGACTCAGCAATTGTAAAGTTTCGCCATTTCATTGGCAAGCCTATTTGTAAGCTTTCCTTTGCCTTACGCTCTCGTTGGAATGTAAATCTTAATAATCTGATTGTCACTCATAATTTCTTCTTTCCCTTGCACTCAAAGAATTCTTCGTGGAGACCATCTGCGATGGTGAACTGGCAAGGACTCTAACCTGCCCGAAACAAAACGTCTTATCTACGATTTGGGCGAGTTATGGACGGCAGCATAATGACATCTGCATTGACGGTGAGCAGCTTATCAACGTCACTTGCAAAGTCGACTTTGACACCGTGTTGTCCATGGTGCAGGAGACTTGCGACGATTCTAATACCTGTGAGCTGGAGTCGAGCAAAGATGCGTATGGAGATCCTCCAGAATGCGCCGGAGTAAAGAAGTACTTACAAGTTTATTACCTCTGCAAGTCAGGTAAGGTGTTGGTGCCTCTGGTGCCGTCTCCATAAAACTAAATCAGGAAGTGCTAATCTGCCTAGTTCAGAGTTTTATCATTAAATGGTTAAGAATGTATGAAAGTCATATATTTGAACTGCGGATAAAGACGTTAATGAAAGTGATCCTCGCAGTAATGTGCACTACTTAGGCAGTAGTGAAAATTTTCAGGCCTTATTTTCACTACTGCCTAAGTAGTGCACATTACTGCGAGGATCACTTTCATCAAAGTTTTATCATTGTCGCAAAAGTGGAAATAAAACAAGGTGTGATTACAAAAGAAAAAAAAACATAATTTGCTACTAAATGTTGTCACATATAGTAAGATTCTTGAAAAACTGAGCTCAATATAGAGCTGTTTGTTCTATCCTTGGTAGTTAATAATAGAATCTTTTCTTTCTCAGTGTACTCTCCATAAAATATAGCTATTTTCCAGTCAGACAAGCTTCGCCTCACAGTGTTCATATGTTTTTTTTTGCAATTGTTACACTTGACAGAGATGATTAAAAAATCCATTTGCGAGTTCAATCCACCGGAAAATATTACATGTCCGGAGACACAAACTATACAAGTTGTCGATGCTAACTACGGAAGAACAGATAAATGGACATGCGGAGGACAACTAGCTGAAAACAACCAATGCAAGTAAGTGAATAAGTGAACCGCGGCACCAACATTGACAAACTAAGTCATTGAATCGTGGTAGTGCTAAAAATATGACAGCTCAGTGGCAGAAATAGATTAAGAAGCCTTTGTTAATCGAGACTCTGAAAACCGTCACTTTTAGTCTCCCATATAAACTTCCTATCTCGTTGTTTTTCACTTCGGTTTAATTCTTTGTTGTTTCTTTTCATTTTCCTTCCATCTTTAATTTTTCTGCAGGTCTCCAAAGTCAGATCAGATGGTGAAAAAAAAATGCAATGGTCAAAACGTTTGTGAACTCGAAGCGTCCAATGAAGCATTTGGAAATCCTTGCGGAAAGACACACAAGTACCTTCAAGTGGATTATCATTGTCAAGCAGGAAAAACCATAAGTAAGGCAACTTATTAATTAACGAGGATCGAAGTGAGCAACGAACTTGAAAGAAGGCCGTCAATCAGTTTAAGAGTTGGATTTAGGTTGAGCCATAAGACAACCCAGGGACCTAAGGTTCCCATATTTTTGTCTTTCTTAGTTAAGAGTTTTTTTTGTCTGTTAAGTTCAAAGCAGAAAATGAATGGTTGAATGAACTGAAAAAAAATGGATTTAAAAATGGTGGAATTTTCTTTTTCTTTAGTAAAAAACGCGGAAGAAATGGCTAAAAGTTTTTCAATTTAAAAATGAGGTAAGGAGTTATGTCAAGGACATCGTCATTGATTCTCTCAAGCTTGTTTAAAACTCCGAAAACCATGGACACCTGAGACATCTCAAAATGTGAACGTACTGAAGATAACGAGCCATTCCACACGGTAACGGCAACTACTTTTTGGTTTGTTTTTTGCTTACATGTCCTGATCTCCCATGTGCATGACTGGTCTTTGTAACCCAAACACTCCAGGCCCGTGTTTGGTGTTCATGGTTTCCAGAGTTTCCTCGTAACGGCGGAGCTCGAGCATGATATACCACCTACTGGTGCCTAAAGCACATTGCACCTGCGTTTGGGAGACAGCTGAGGGTTTCCTGATGGGCAGCCCAAGTAAACGAAAGCAAAGTATGGAAGCAATATAAATGACTAGAAACACGCAAAAAACAAATGAGACTTTTTCTCTGCCATTCTATAATTGCAAGATCGAGCAAGAGTTGAACAGACTATTACGGTTAAATCAGTTTGCTTTATTTTATGCAAAAATTCTTTTCACTGTTTGTCGCATCCACAGAAGAAGAGATGAGAAAGTCTGACGCGAATGAAGAACACAGAACAGAGTACCCAAACTATTAAATGATAACATCAAAGGACACACTCGAGCATGGTGGTGCCGGCAATCTTTTTATGAATATTTCACAGAAGTAGCATTGATTCTGAACTGCTATGAGAGAAATGGAAGAAATATTAAATAAAAGAAACCCAAAGCAAAAACAGATTAAATTGCAGCACGTCCTTGAGAGACCATAAGAGACTTGAGCACGAAGGCGGATTTTCGCATTGTAACCCATTGGGCAAACTTATGACTTTATTTTGCGCTTTTTGGCTTCTTCTACAAAATTTAATATAATATCAGTCAACAAATAATTGTTTCAGCCTTAACTTTCGTAAATATAACTGTTTGTCTCGGTAAATAACCAGGCAAGCTCATAATATCGGCTAACTTTCTCTTTCCTCGCATGCTTTACGTCAGAAAACTTTTGTATCATATTACAACAGATGCAAAATTGTCCATACTGTTTCTGATCCTAATTTAAGTCGTAATTTTCCGATGTTGTTTCAAATCCTTGAAATGAAACCTTTAGAGGGATGGGTAAAAATGTACAAGCAAGCGGAAGGTACCAGTAAGAATGAAAATAATTCAACTCATCACTGGTTAAAGCTTTTTGTTACAGCTCAGCTCACTTTTAGTATGATGACGATGTTTCGCCACTTTGATTAATATGACAGAGACGACGATTGAAATGCAAAAGCAAAAAAAAAAAAAAAAAAAGTACATCAAGGACGTGTCGTTGAAATTTTTATTTTTCTGGAATGGAATAAATTCATTTACGGGTAAGATTCTGAACCCAAAAAATATGCATGCTTCTTGACATTATATTGTAACCTTAACGTTATGAGAAATACATTACTGTCATTTTCTCCGAATTATGGAAACCTTGCATGCAACTCACAGTGACAGTTGCAATATTTTTATCTGGTTGTCAGTCCAGTTGGGGAACCTTTCGTCCTATATATGAGAGTCCCTGAGTTTAGTTTGGCACTGAACAATTTTATTGCTTTTTCATTAGCATTACAATTTTTTTATAAAGAATTTTATGAAAGAGCGACTTGAATTTAGACATCTGAGTGTCAAATATTGCAAAAAGCATGGAAAATACTGCTTTTATCAAGTTTATTACTCCGTGCGCAGAGATTTAATGTAAGTGGCTTTATTGAGCAAACATTGGTAATGAAAAAAGAGTCAGACGGTCATTTGTCACTTTGACCTTTACGTTCAGACGGAGAGGAACACGAAATAGAAAAATTTGATCTCTTTAAGGTGACGACTGAGAGAGAACGAATTGAAGTAATCTTTGGCGGGGATGTTTTGTCTTAGGCCAACGCTTTCGTTGTACAAGTTTTGGGTTTTATTGGCCTGTCCCACTTTGTCAGCGGTTTTTAGGTGTTCTGGTCAACTGGGTAAGTGTATTATAATGGTATATGACTCGGCCCGTTCAAGGATTTCCAAGAATTATGTTTAAAGCCGAAATATAGTTTAAAAAGAATGAGGTCGTTCATGTATTACAACTTAATCAGTACACGATTCGATGCTAAAGAAATTTTAATTTGTGCTCGGTCATGTTATATGTTCAAATCTTCTCTTGTTTAATAAAAAAAAATCTGTTTCCGTTTATCGCCAAAATAGATGTGATACCTTTCACGTTAATCAGGTTAGGTCATCAACTAACCACTTCATAAAGGAATATTGTCACCTTGCAATAAACAGCTGCTTGCAAAAATTTAAGCCTGACGTCCAAATGTTTGCACCACCACAGTGATTGCCATGATCATTTCGACTCACCTATTCACTTAGTGTGACAAAAAATAAACTGATCAATGTTCCTTTTTTCCTAGAATTTTTTAAGAAACCAGCCGTGAGATTGTAGCATTATCTATTATTATTTTTCATTCCAAAATATCCTTCGTCCTCTTCTTCGAATCCATTCCTTTCGAGACCTCGTGCTCAAAGATGTAGTCACATCACGTGATTAGCAAATCCATCGAGCGAGACTGTATTCCGGGGATTGTAGTAGCAAGAACAACTCTTCCCAATCCGATCAACGCTGATCGATCGAAATATTTACCTTTTATTCACGTTCCATAAAATTAAGTTAAATTGAATTGCATTTCATTAGATTCTGAAGCTTGTGGAATTGGATGGAAGTTTTTTAACACATCCTGCTACAAAATATCCAGTCGCTCGAAAACATGGGAGGAAGGTCTGGCGGATTGTAATTCTATGAATGCAGATCTTGTTGTGATAAAAAGCCAAGAGGAAATGGATTTTATTTACAATTTATTTGTAAAGCCTCTGCAGTCCAGGAACGCTTGGATCGGGCTTAATTTTAAAGGTGGCTCATTTCTTTGGATTGATGGTACTAAAGTGACGTACAGAAATTGGAATATCAGGGAGCCAAACAACGTTAAGGCGTTGAACACTGTGTGGAGACTTTGGTAAACAGCGGCAAGTGGAACGATATCGCCTGCTCTGTTAAGAGACCGTATGTATGCAAAAGAGGTGAATACAAGTTTGATTACAGCCCCAATTGGACGACACGAATTCCTGTTACAATTAAATATTAAGAACTCTGACAAAATTTGCAAAAAAAACAACAAAAAACTAGCGATTGGTTATACGTTCTCCTAAAAGGAAAAAAAAACCGTTAACTTAGCAAAATGCACCAAGAGAGCGCCTGCACATGACGCATACTGTTTAATTACACAGGCATGACGCCTACACTGCCCAATCACCTTCAAATCGGCGAGCATGAAGCATACGCTGTCATGTTGGTGCTCAAATTGTGGTGGAGATAGCCAAGCACGTCCGTGAATTTGTTACATTTTTGATAAATAATGGCAATAGGACTGGGTGGAGTCCATGTTAATTTAGTATCCACTGAGTCGATAACGTAAATTGACCACCGTAAAGAGTTTAAAGCATTAGCCCTTTATCAGCTCTAACGAGTTGTTTATTACGAGTATGATTACAGACAGAATTGGACGACGCGAAGTCTTGTAACCAATTTATCAAAACTATGACAAAATTTGAGAAAGAAACTAGATATCGGTTATACGTCTTCGTGAAAAAAAAAACAAAAAAAAAAAAAAAACAGCTGACTCGGCGAAATGCGCGACTGTACATTATGTTCACTTACACAGGCATGACGTGTCAACTGTCCCATTACACTGTCCAATTACAAGCATCAGGCGTAAACTGTCCTATTGGTGCCCAAATCGGCTTGTGATAACCAATCACGTTCGAGAATTTTGTCATAGTTTTGATTATTTGTAGTACAAACTACTTATAAAACGGACTGAACAGCCATGATACTTTCCCCTTTATAAAAACCTATTGCCTCCATTGCTACTCTCAAATTTTAACCAACAGCTGGTCATCTGATTCGTCCATCAAGATTCATGTCTGCCGAACTCAACAACAGGGATCACGCTCTTATAGATCAGGCATTTGAAGAATATTTCGTCGCTAACGTCACAGAGTGCTTAAAGAGGTGCCTGTCCCGAGATAAATGCTTTTCTTTCAACTACGAGTACTTTGGAGCAGTATGGAAAAAGTGTGAACTAAACAACTCTACAAGGGCCTGGACACCAGATAAATATCTTTGGAGGCATGGTTTTATCTACTATGATTAGCTTTTGCTTTTCTTTCCATTTTTGAGCTTTGTTATTCATCTATGTCTTTATTCATTAATTTACTCACTTATTTGTTGAAGTTTCATTTCACATGAGAATAATTTGATGCCAAAAAAGGTTCCTTGAGCCGAATGAAAAATCTATGAACATGTTATCTGATCAATTTGATTGCCGTTGCTGGTTGATTATCAAATCCGAGTCCTTTTAATCTAACAGATCAAATTCCCTTTAACTTTAATTTATTTCGGCCTGACATAAATGTACTTTTCTCTTTTCAAAGAGCGGACAACATTTAAATCATTCTGAGTTTGCCATGAATTTCTTCAAAATTATCTGAGATGGAATCAGACCATGACAACCCATTCTGACGTCACGAACCGCCATCTGACTGTAAACCAATCTTCTCGGTTTCTAAATCTTTTTTCGTAACTTTTCTCCGCCCGGAAATTTATATAAGTATGTTTAGAAAGACGTAAATAAAGAGAAATGAAGAGACAACGAGACCCGAAAGAGAATTAAAATGAGGAAACAAAATCAATATGGAGATATAAAAACGTCTAGTAAACTAATATCAAGATCCGGACTGTAATAATTTATAAAAGAATAACTTGACACTCGGCGATGTAATCTCGTTTTTTTCTTTCTCTTTCAAGTCTCCCCTACGTAAACTTTAAATGTAAATGAAAGGCAAATAAATCAAAATAATTTAAGTTTGACCACGTAACTTTGTAATCGTTTGACCAGTTATTGAAATGAATAAATAAATAATAATATTTTCTTCGACTTTAGGAAACAAAAGAAATTAAATTTCGCAAAGTAATACAAACAAAAATCATTCCTTAAGCGAGGCCAGGATTCTCATTTACAGTCCTAATTCAAAAAAGCAATCTTCTCTGCAAGACAACTATGTCAACATTTGCGGAGGAGGTGCAGATAATTAAAAAGCGTTCAATTTGCGAACGTCAAATGAAAATCCTTAAAGCTTGCTGGATAGGGAGACAAGATGCTTCCAAGCTTTGTGAAACTTAATTTATCTGCTCCTAATTTAGCCACGTTGTCCGCAGTTTCAGAAAATTAAAGATAAAAGTCGTTACTGTAAATTTTTAATTTTGGAATGTTTTGACTAATACGCATTGCGCGGCAGGAAGCATGAAAATTAATCAAGTTTCTGTTTGCAAAATGAAGTTGTTTTGCTATCACATTTTAAAAAGGATGGCAGGTGAGGTCCAACTTGTCAAAGAAAAATGAGGTGTTTTGAATAAAGATTCTCGATATAGGTTACACATCAGGTTTAGCATTTTCGCATGGTTGTCGAACCCACAACTAAAATCTTTCAGCGAGAATCAGAAGCTTTATCTTCAGTGCCCCAATACATATAGAATTTTTGCTGTGTCAATTTTCTGAACTTTCATTTTAAAGGTAAGTTTATTTGAAGTATATTTGAGCAGTTAATGATTTCGGAAGCAGCACATGCAATCGTGCTTCACCATTTCAATCGGCTTTGAATAACATTCAAACTGACTTTTTTTTTTTGAGTTGAAAACAATTTGACTTCTGAAGAGGTATAGTGCTCTGTATAAATCGACCAGAAGAAAGACAGAATGAATTGCTACATTTTCATATAAAAAGGATATTGAGAAAGAGTAACATGCAATACCTTAAGTAAAATAATGACACAAAAAAAATAGGAAAAAAGTTCAAACTTCGAAAATAGGTTTAAGCTAATGGTTGATTTTTCCTACTGTGAGACTCTCTTTCTTCCACAGCATATCGGAACATCAGCTTGACGAGGCAGGATTTAATTGAATCCGTGGAGTATGGGAAACAGCACCGACGAATCGTCTCCGTCGCTTCCTATGTTTCCATTTTACCTGAGGGTTTTGAAGTTGAGTTTATACGTCATAATTTTCGTTATAAGCCTTGTCGCAAACAGTCTTGTTTGCATCGTCATTTTGAGACGTAAAAAAATGAAGACAGTCACAAATTATTTCATTCTTAACTTAGCCATCGCTGATCTGACGCTGAACTGTTTTTGCATCCCATTTGATATACCAGTACAAGAATTGAACTCTATCTGGCCGTACGGTTCAATCATGTGTAAAATATTGTACCCCATACAAACACTGTTGCTCTTCGCCTCTGTGAATACTCTAACAGCAGTAAGCCTGGCTAGGCAAAGGGCCATTGTATATCCTATGAAGAGGCAGCTGACCAAATCTGGCGCTAAAATAATCATAACTGGATTGTGGCTGTTTGCCTCCATTCCCGTTATTCCGTATTTTCAAGCGTTACGATTTAATCCAGAGCTCCACATCTGTGAGGAGAGCTGGAACGACTCCACCTCCACCAAAGTGTACACTTCAGTCATCTTCTTCTTCCAGTATCTCCTGCCATTCTGTATAATGTTCACTGCATATTTTAGCATCAGCCAAGAATTGAAAAGAAGAGCGGAGAATGGCAACCAGTCTATGAAAGATGTTCAGGAGTTGGAGGCCCGGAAAGTAGTACGCATGCTAAAGGTGGTGACGACGCTGTTCGCTATTAGTGTACTGCCAAACAACGTCATGTGGCTCTGGCTGGATTATGGAGACGCTGAGAAGAAATGCAAATATTTTTGGGAGTTGATCGCCTTCACAAATATTCTAATATATTCCAACAGCGCTGCCAATCCTATATGTTACACTATCTTAAATGAAAATTATCGACAGGAAATATCGAGGTTAATTGCATGTAGATCATTCAAACTCCGGGACATGCTGGGAAAAAAGGAAAACAAAGCTGTCAGTAAGCAACTCTCCATTGAAGAAGCTAAGAAAAGATCATCCACCGTGTCATCTTATGTTATGAATAAATTTCTTCTTGACAACTAGAACCAGCTGCAGGTAGTCAATATTGCCTCAGCTCAATTAAAGACATTTTCCGGCAGACATCCTGTCAGGCAATGATTATAATGTTTCATGGTAGCGCTTGCTACTAATCTCGTCTTGCTACTACGATTTTAAAGATCAGGACGATTCCGGGAGTAATGTGCAATCTTAATTATAATGAGTACCAGTACTAGTATTTGAATACAAAAGCAGATAGATGCGTTTTGATCAGTCTTGTTGGTTTAATTCGTTAAGTTGATATGCTTTGTAAGAGTACCGCTGATCAGAATAACATTAAACACAGTTTCTCCAGCCATGTGCGTTTCAAGTTTGTCGATGGATTTCATGGCCGTCTTGTATAAGTATGACCATCTGTATACTATGTGTGGATTGTTTTAGTTGTTGTTGTCATACAGTAAACAATGGTTTTATGGAGGCGTACGAGTCACTGAGTAATGCTGTAGCAAGCCATTAAAGGTTTGTTTGGCAGGATAAACGAATCAAACGAAGATAATGTTCGAGAAAGAGACAAGTTCTCTTTAACTTTAAAAGTCTCTTTCATGTTCTCGAACATTCGAATTAACCAATAGAATGTTAATTGACTGCTGGTTTGTATTTGTAGAGTCCATATTTTATGTATCTTTACATTATCATGCATTTAAAGTAAGAGGAATAACGATAAGCACGAGATACTAAGTTTCAAAATTAAAAAAAAAAAGTGAATAAAAAGGTATCAAAAATAATTCTTCAAATTCAAACAGTAGCTCAACGCAGATATAATACTCTCGACAATCTGTCGTGTTTACCCCTTAATGTTTACACCAGTTGTCTGAGCATAAGATTCTAAATTTTTTTAAACACCGATTCTGATCATAAATAGCCCATCTGTCATTAATTAATAACGTTTTTGTGAATATTGTCTGCAAAAAGAAGCCACGGGTTTCTAAAAGCAATGTCAGGTTTCTATGGTTCCAGTATCTTGTACCAATGGCCAACAGCTTCAGGCATGAACAATGGCTTGAAACAACAAACAAGGCCTATATCACACAATTTTTCTTCTGTAGGTACAGATGTTCAGAATGTTGTTAGCGTTTTCAGTTGCAAGTCGGCCTTTACATCTTGAATGTTATATGGGTGTCACTGATACAAACATTGTTAAACTCATGTATTCAGATAATTAAAACCACAGACCTAAAGGGACCTCGGTTCACTGAAGTAGTGGTAATGGGAAGTAAATCTTCAAAACCGCGCAGGAGAGGTCATGTAAGTGCAACCGTTTCTTTTGGTGCACCGTCAGGAGAGAGAAAGAAAAAGTATAATTATGAATATAAAAGGTAGCCCTATGTTTCATAAAAAAAGGGAAGAGCACTCCTATCGATGAAAAGATAATCGAAAAATACGACAAAGTTAGGGTTTGGCAAACCTTTCTCACATTTTCAGAGCATCATTCTCTAGTCAGTCAGCAAATTTGCATATCGTATAAGAAAGTCCATGGGACCACTTGCTGAGGTCTCTAAAATAACCAGAAAGAAAAAACAAAGCAAGAAAAGACGACAGAGGAGTAAATCAATCCTTGTATGATTTTCAACAGAAAAAGATGAAAATTTCTCTATCATCTGCTTCAGGTTAAATGCAGCATTTTTGTATTAAATTTTTATTAAAATCATGATCATAGCAAAAGGTGAAAATAAGGAATTTAAGAAAAGTCTAGTCTTAAAGCAGCAAAAGCGACCAAATTTGCTTCACAAAAAGCCTAGAGAAGACGATTTTTTTTCTTTTTCTTCCCTGATGCTTGCCTACCTTAAGTAATTAAAAAATGCAAGAATGACGCCAGTTCTACAAACTTCAAAGATACGATGTAATTTCAGAAGTCCCGATATCTTAAAATTTCAGTAAACAAAACCACCTCTCGAACTAGAGCGAGTTTTCCGAGTCACTGTCAAGTTTTTTTCAGAGCAAGTAGGCAGAAGTAAGTTTTTATTCGTCCCCTTGAAGAAACTAACGGGGATATGAAGCAAAATCATTTTGGATACACGAAATTCGGCTGAAATTTGAGAGTTCCTGTCCTTGGCTCTTATTAGAGGATCTCCATGGGGTGATGGCTTTTACGGCAAAGGGTAAAATTTTGGCCATTTTATGGCTAACGGTTAATTTCTTTCCGTCGCGGTTTACAGGAATTTTTTACAGTTTACTATTTTTAGCTTTTTTTACGACTAACAGCAGTTAACAATCTTTTAATAACGGTTGAAATTTCTCAACTCTTATGCCCAACAGAAATTTTTTTTGTCGTTTTGCGGCTACTACTGAATCCCACCGAGACTTTCTTACTGGAGATTTTATGTCCCTAAATAAATATTTTGATTAATGTGCCTAAAATGCAGCTGTAGTAAATGGTGGCCTTCTTGTGCATCATCAAAACGACTCTGCTTACCGTGATGTTAAATGAAGATTTATCATGTGAGTATATTAGATAGCAAATTATAATTCCCGAAGAAGTATTGGGGTTTGCTCTAAAAAAAACTCACCGGTAAGTCTAATCCCTTTCCTTTGGCGGTATGCTTGTTTTGACTCAGTAGCGGGCATCAATGAATGCTTCACATTTAATCATCTTTTATATTTTTTTCCTCACAATCCAGGTTAAAAATAAGCCTTTATTTCACAGGATATCCTCGCCACATTCTTTGATCAAGTATTACGTCGTAGTGATTGGATCTGGTTATGGGAGATCCATCGCCGCAAGCCGCTGCGCACGCGCTGGTCAATCAGTGTGCGTTCTGGAACGAGGCAAGGAGTGGTTACCGGGTGATTTTCCTGAGACTTTCAGAAAAGCACCAGAACATGCACAAGTCAATTTTGGTGGCAAGGGAAGAAAATTAGGTATGGCTCATAATCAGCTCGGAGAGAAAATAAGTGTTTTTTAAAAGAGAAATTGCGAGCTGTCTATAAACACAAGTCAAACGAGAGTATAAAGATCGATTTAAAATGCTACTATAATATTGTTGATCTTGAAGACAATAACTTAGTGAAAAGTCAGACCTTCCTTATGGTAAATCTATTTCACGATAACAATCACGGTTATTCTCACTGCAGTGTTCTGCAATTTTGTTTTGCCAAATTACCTTGGGTCTTAAAAGGATAAGGTACTTTCAAGCAATTTCCACGTACAAAGAGCCTGGAAGAAATAACGTCTGCACAATGTCAGTTGTGACAGTGTTTAGGGTTTACGAATTATAATCTGAAGAGACTTCCTCTGTACATTTGCGTTATAATTGATAAAGTTACACATACTCAGTGCAAAGAAAGCTCTCCCCAACAGATGCTAGTCTCGACTAATTTCTAGGTCAGCCCTCTGATTTACACGAACTGATCGTCACTGATGACCTGGCAGTGGTTCAAGGGTGCGGTCTTGGTGGGGGTTCTCTGGTGAATGCCAATGTGGGACTGAAAGCGGAGCCTGGGGTGTTCCAGGACCCGGTATGGCTAGAAGAACTAAGGTACGACGTGGATCAGTTATTGACAATCGATCAGCAGCACTTTGTTGATATAATAAAACCAACGCCATACCCTGACAATTACCCACCCCTTAAAAAAACTTGACCGAATGAGGGACGGATTAAGCAAGATTGATATCGAGGACTTTGATAAGGTGCTTTACAAGACATCTCTTTACGTCACGTTCAAGGACACGCCATCGAATCACGTTGGTATCCCCAAACCTAAATGCACAGCGTGCGGCAATTGTTTTTCAGGCTGCAATGTGGGAACTAAAAACGCATTGAATTTTAATTACCTGCCTGATGCGAAGGCTCATGGAGCAGAGATATTTGTGGAGGTAATTTGTAATTTAACTGATCTCTTTAAAAGGAGATCAAGAAAGGTTTTCATTGTAGGGTAAACAAGTCGATATCTTGCCTTCACTTACCTTGTGTAGATGCTCATAACTAATAAGAAATGATTTATAGAAAATGCTATCTTTTGCTTAATACGGTGTCTTGGCTTTTTCGGTCCCATAATTTTTCTGTGTCGTTAGGAATATTGTTTAAAATCGAATAACTTTATAACACTCCAGGTATTCTAAAGTAAACAGATATGGTTTCAATCAAAGTAGAAAATATCAAGATACCATGTTTGCGTAGTCTGTACTCTCAAATTAATCTTCTACATTCCATTTTTTTTTCTTTGAAGGTATATAGAGGTGGTATCTATTCACAAGGCTCATAACTTCACTGATTGGATCGTCAGTTACAAGAGGCAGGCTTCTGGAAGTTTCGATCTAGAAGAACGGTAAGTCTGTGCAACCTACGTAATTCTAGGTGCAGGCGCGTTAGGTTCTACCAAATTCTTCAGCGCTCAAAGGAAAGTGGTTTGGACGTATCTGATGAAATTAGCAAAAGGTTCTCCACCGACGGAGACGCGGTTGAATTAAAAAATGGAGGCAAAAAAGCAAATTCGCTTAGGGTTGAGACCCGCAAAATGGCGTCTGTCCAACCCCAGGACCCACAATTACTTCAATTATGGACTTCCGAAAAGTGAATAACGACAATTTTGGAAAAAAACATAATCATCAAAGATGGCATACCGGCCTCAAGTCTTTCTGAGATGTTTGTATTTGGTGTAAGTTTTGCCGCAAAGATGACCGGGGAAGATAAATCTCCTTCAACTGAACGCTCGAGAAAGCATTTCAGGTAATGCATTACGTAGCAACCAAGGTGTCGATAAGTACAGCATACATTTCAAATTAAAAGTTACTCCGATATACCTCCCGAGAATTTCGAAACATCTACAGCTGCTATCAAATGATAGAGAAGTAGAATTTTTAGGCCCCCAAAAGATAATGTTCCAAAAGTCTGACGAACATTCTACTAATTAGTTCAGTGTTCTGTTATTTTTTTATGAGTCTAGAGTACTGTTGCTAACTATGAAGATTGATGCGTTCGTGTGTAATTGTTAAAGGGGCGTGTACACAAAAAATAAAAACTATTGGACTAGAATCTCGAGTTTAGAAATCCCTACATGATCACATGATCATAATCACAGTACTCCGATTAAAAAATATTTAAATCGCGAGCAAACAACAACTGAAAATGTGTATAAGAGTTAACACTTACATCTTTTACCTTTGGGATCAATGAAAACAATCAGAATTTGTCTTTATTCGTCAGGAACTTCAAGGCAAAGGAATCAACAACACCCTCTCTCTTCTTAGTATGAGTCATGACAGTGCATTTGGGGAAATTTCTTTCGACAAAAAAAATCGATGACATTGATATAACATGGGACAGAGTTGGATATGAGAGCAAGTTCAAGACGATTGACCAGACACTGCAAAAAGTAGTACATGGTCTTGGTGGAACATATGTGAGGAATCCAATGTGGTCAGAAACATTGGGTAAGGGAGTCATCTCCGTGCATCCCTTGGATGGCTGTTCCATGTGTGAATCTGGCAGAAATTAACAATAATTTAGTGTTAACTCAATCACTGAGAGCCGTCTTCATTTAGTCGCTTTTATAGCTAAACTTCACATCAGTGACACAAAGGGATCACCCCAGTTTTAATAAACATTTGAAAATTTGGAACATGAAGCGGCTGTTTTAACTCCAAAAAAAACATTTATGCATAACTGTGCACTGTATGCGAGAGGTGTTCAATTGTCATGAAATAATAAGTTGCAAACATGTCAAAGTCGCAATCTTTGTTACAAATGTTTGAATTTATCATACTGTGGTAAGTAATTCTTGATTCTTGATAAAGCGAAATCTTAAATAAGATAGAGAATTAAAAATAAAAATAAAATGTAGAATATAGAAAATATTTTATTGACCGAACTTGTTTGGTCAAGATGGCTAGATATTAGCCTCGTTTCTTTTTTTCCGTTTTCATGGACCGAGACGACACTGTCCATAAATTACGAATTCTTTTGAAAGTCCTCTCCAAGCATTGTTCTGAACAAAGAAAAAGCTTAGGAAAAACAATAAAAAAGTACGACTTTGTTGCAATACTGAACGAAACTAAAGGGAAGTGTAACATCAAGGCGTCGAGAGCTTTCTTTACACCTAACTCCTTTGGGAGTAAGCTGATAGCGTCACAAAGCTATTATGTCATACTCCCGGTTGGGATCCTATCGAGCGAACAGTTCAGACGAACTTCCCGTGTATCGAAAAAACAAAAGGACATGCTTTAACATATTACAACTGTGACAAAGTAGAAGTTGAATCCATTTGAGAAAACGCATCGTTTGTTCAGGATTTCCTATTTGCAATTAGAGCTCGCACATGGAAAAATAGATATGAAAGGTAAGTAATTTAGGGAACTTTTCCAGCTTATTATCCACTTTGTGTTGTTTAAAACTATACGTCTAAAACTATACTCCAAATAAAGTTGCCTCCGGGAAAACGAGTGTTTCACTTTGGATAAAAATGTTGGATTTTCTAAATGTGCCCGAAACTTTTAAAGTGAATGCTATTCAGTTATCATATCTATATGCCTCCTTTCTAGTGATTAGCGATTAGAATGATGGAAAGCTCCTTGAAGGGGAAGTTCAATCTCTACTACATTGAAAAGATGGGTTACGGTTTGAAAACAATCATGATTGTTTTTGTTTGTTTTCAACGTTTCAGTGAGTCCTTAGAAATCTAAGTGCCGTAACTAATTTGCGCTGATTATCGTAATTGCACGTCCTTTTGTAATTTCCGTTCAATTATCTTTGGGAAAACTATTGTTAAACTTATAAATACCTTTAATGAAGGAAGGAAGTATAAGCGCACAACACTCGATTGAAATCCTTCGCTAAGAAAGCAACATTTGTTGACAAATAATTTTTCATGTTTCCGTTTGGGTCAAGCGTAAAGATTTTCATGCGTACCAACGTCGGGGTATTCAAGTGCTCTTTTAGAAAGAAACTGAACTGAATAAAAGTATTTCAAAAATCTTCTCTTCGAGAAGACTGTTGTGCTTATGTTCAACAGAGGCATAATTTTATCAGGTTAATTCGATATATTTTTTTTTTGAAATCACTTACCCCGAGTGGGTGAATGACTGAGAACCACCTGCTTTGCTTCTGTAAGAATTGGTAATGCTTCAGAAGAACGACATTCGAGTTTAACGAAGCACTGATGCGATTTTTTCGTGTGCAAAATGCTCCAAAGCACCCTTTGAAATGTTCGAAACGAGTCAAAGAGCGACTGGAATCTATCCAGGTAAGTTTAAACTCGGTTATATCTTAGAGGGGTCGAAATTGAAAGACGTTTTCGAGGGCAACACCAGCTAAATTGGTCAACAGTAATAAACCTGCTCTACAGGAACGAGTTTGTTTGAAACCGTCAATGACACTGGTGGCTCTAAAAGACCTAATTCCTTTCAGGTTGTGCTCCTTTATTATAAAGAATCCGGGAAAAGATGAAACTATAATATAGGACATGTAGCAATCTAGAATTTAAGTCGCAGAAGCGAGAATAGCTACCTGTTTCATGTCTTCCATCTTGATGGTTAAGTTATATTTAATTTCGACTGGTAGGCAATTAGAGTCCCAGGGAGTAGAACAACTGCTGAGAACTCTGGATGACAAAGGATGCTTTTAAAACCGTTATTGTAACTTTGAATTAGATACAGCTCGTTTTCAGCCGTCGCTTCCTATAGGTTTTGATCCGTATTGATGGCGTTCGTCTAGTAGTAAGTCCGCCTAAATTTAATGGAAAAATACAGCATACACTCATTTGACATCTCAAAGACGCTCTCTTGGCCATTAACATTAACTCCTGAGAAAATCTAACTCAGCGGGTTTATTAGTTAAAAGGATTAAAAATAACTCTAAATTAGGGCGTAACTCAATATATTAATTTTTGTTACTGACAATGGTGGTCGACTATTTTATCATTGCCATTGTTTTGTTTGAACTTATGACCCCCTGAAGAGCACCTGCTCTGAAAACAGTTTTAGCCAATCGCCAATGAATAAGGCAAAGCTTCAGTAAACGTTTCTTCTTCCTTTTGTGAATGAGCGTTTGAAAAGAAAAATGAAATAAGATTTTGTTGAGTAGCTTATAGGGTTAATACTTGTGTTGACATCAGCTGTTGTTTGGTTATTTGCTTTTTAAAAGTATTTGCATTTGCGGGTGGCGTGGGACAAATTCTTGCTTTTTCACGGCTTCCAATTAATTACCGCCCACTTGAAAACTGTCACCTCTGATTTAAACAAAATTTACTGAACCTTAACTTTCTGGAAAAAAATATATTTATTCCTATTTCAGTAACGGAAACCTGAAGACACTATCAAATATTGCGAAGGCAACTAATAAGATGTAACTTATTCGTTGCAAGATACAAAGAGCGATTAAGAAAATTATAAAATGTAAATTTTCTCAGTTATTCAAAATAGTAATTTGTCGGAAAGTAAGGAAATCTGAAACGTTTTTGACTATAGACACTCCACTATCTTTTATTTGCCATCAGTATTAGAGTTTGTGTATGAAATAAAATAGAAATTTACTCCAATTAAGGAACTTAGGGAACATTCTTCCTTAACAGTATCAATTTTTCATCTTTTATACCATTAAGGGAGAAGTGAATGGCCTTTTCGTAGAATTTAAGGACTTTAAAACCGATCTGGAAGGTGAAACATTGTTTGACATAGAATGACATTTATTGTTAGAGATTGTAAATGAAAATCTCGTATCAAATAAAGCATTTAAAGCTTCTATCATTTATTCATATGAGATTCAAGTTTTTTAGTGGTTAACAGGATCAATTTAGTCGTTTTACAATTAATTCGCAGTCAAGCCGACAGACGAGTTTAAATCTACTTATTTATATGGGTGAACACTCGTTAAGTTTAATTAAAATGTTTGTGGGGGGTGAACACATGATACAGAATTTGTCAATTATCCTTTAATCTAAAGAATAAAACATAAAGAAGGGGGGCAACTTGAAGACAGCGGAGAATCTTTCATCTGTTTGAGTTAATGAATGCTTTTGGAAGTCATTTTACCAAATCAGCCATCCGACATCTAAGCCATTGGTCAGGTAGAAGACAGTAATGATCATAAACCAAACTGATATGTGAGACCACCTGATCAGTTTTTCAGAGGGTCAGTCAGTCAGACTTGATGTTTCAGTTGCTGCTGTTTTTGTTGTTGTTGTTGTTGTTGTTGTTGTTTTGAGCAACGGGCTGCACAGTTGGCGGCTTTCTGTTTGAAAATATGTTCCTTTTTAATGTTTCCTTTTTTCTATATGTGACCTTTTCAGAAATGCCTTAAGTGTACAATAAGCATCAATGATGAAATTTTCAAACAAATTTGAAGTTTTGCTTTCACTGATAACCGCTTCAGTCCTTGTGGTGACCGGCCAAAGGGCAAAGTTCAACGACAACGCAAGTGAAACTGCCTTAGGGTTGACTAAGCTTAAGGCCAAAGAACTTGCAGCCAACCCAAGTGCTTTGATACACGAGGCTCTGCATCTCGTGCGACGACGAAGAAATATTGAACCGAGATATGACGACCAAGTTAAGAGGAATATCCACGACAAAATTGCCAATTTGGCTAGCAAACAAAGAATCGAAGAAGACTCATCAGGAACGGAGAGAGAACATTCAGTTGATAAACGCCAGCTTCCTGAGGGTCTGGGTATGTTAAAAGACTATATGGGTGTTGCTGAGAATTCAGACAGATTTCACCATTTTACGGCTGGTCCACGAAATGAAGACAGGTCATACATACGGGAAAAAAAGAGTCTGCATGAAAATGTAAGAGGAATATTAATAATGATCTTAGTTCAACCTTTTTTTCCGTTGGACGTCTTTTTTGTCTTGGTGTGTTTTTTGTTGAATTTTGGTTGAAAAGTTAGTGTTATTGCTCGTTGCTAGTTTGTATGTAAGTTTTTTCGTTTGTTTGTTTTTTCTTCCTTTTAACTTTGATCGTTTGATGCATTTTTTTTTTAAAAAGGACGTGATTTCTCTGTCGAAAAGTTCCCAAGACGAAAAGCCACTGGATTTTAATCCCATGTCGCTCGAAGACTTGATAAAAAAGATGGCTCCCTTACTGAAAGGGAAAGATGGAAGGGATGGTAAAGATGGAAAGGATGGAAGAGATGGAAGGGACGGTCCAAAAGTAAGGAGTTGCTAAAACTCGGTAATCTTTACTATAAATTAAGTGAACAGATTTAATCACTTATACCAAAAAACCGAATCGATCCATTGATTGGGAGAGGCATGAATTAAAATGAACAAATAGATAATTAGATAAATGAATGATTGTTTTTTCAATCATTGCAGGGTGACCCTGGCTATCCCGGCCCTCCTGGACCAGCCGGCCCCTCTGGATCATCAAAGGTTAGCGGAAAAGAGTCTACAAGGCTCATTAATGAATAATATCACCTAGTGGCTATTGAAAACTCCGTAAATCTAGCCTTTGCTTGACTACATACAACATAATACGGCTTTTACTTCTGGATGTGCTGAAGTCGATCATCAGTAGAGTGCCTCATTTTGCTTTTTGTACTTTAAAGAATACGCAATTAGTACAATCGAGTCCACTCTCGCTTGATCATGATGTCGAATCCACCTTAAGAATACTGGGGCCCGAATTTTTTCAGTCATAAAGACACTTTTTTGCTCATGGAAGCAGCCTTTTTTTTTGTTGAAAACAGAAATTTGAGGAAACTCTCGATAGTTATATTTTAATGACAAAGGGGGGAAGACAACAATTTCTTTGATGAACAAAAATAACATCTAAGTTTCAAATTTGAAATGGTTATGGTACATGGGTAAGTGATGAGGTATTTGAGTTCACAAGCGACAAAAGAGAACATTCTAGAGTCTCATCATCAACTTATTTTTTTTCTCCTTTCAAATGCAACTGGATTAAAGGGGTGCGCTGAAGCGTATGAAACTCGTGGTGTTGTTACTTCTTCAACAACTACGGACAAGGAGGTAAACTTTGTGAATAACAACAACAACAAACAATCGAAGAATCGAATAAAATTGTAAGCTGGTTTGTTGGTCTTGATACAAAGGAACCGATGATTTTTATCACATTCAACCGATAGAATGTCTGGAAAGCAACAGCACAGAGGAAGGACACCGATCTGTGGTGCTGCACTTTTTACACATTATGTCAAGTGTGGTTATAATATTTGAGTGATTGACTTATTGATTGACAAGTGAGTTGTTGATTGTTTAATTGTCGATCTATTTTATCGTTTTGCTTTCTTTTTAGGAGAAGCCATCTGTTCATGTGACGAGTGATGGTAAAGCATTTCGTTTCTCAGACGGTCTGGGTAAGTCATAATGCTACAACAATGTCTACAATGTCTATCTATCCTGAGTGCCAAATGAATCGTTTCTTTGTCTAACCGTGGGGACATATCTTAGGGTGATAGACAAGAAAACCTGAATCCGATTTCTCAAACTCACACATCTGGTCGTGAATATCGCAGAATATCTTATGAGACATTGCGATCCTTATCATGATTGGCGCTTTGATTTTGGCATTATCATAAACTTATTTAATGTTGACTGCTTTCTACAGACAAAAATGTATAAATGAAATATTGTATATATACATATGTCTCTATTTTTCTCGAGCAGAATATTCCCACTGGTGCTCGGAGTGTCCAACTTCACATCTGGCTGGAGGGATAAAATCCACCAACACATCCTTGGAAATTCCACGAGATGGTCGCTACTTCGTATACTGCCAATTTCATTTCCTTCAAACTGACAATGATAGGACAGGATTTGAAATCTTGATCAACGGAAATATTTACCTGTCAAAAGTTGTGAAAGGTGAAGAAGCCACCTACTCTGGAGCTGTTTTTGTAATGAAAAAGTCAAGTATAGTAACAGTGAGACTTCTCGGTCATGGCACCATAGAAGGCGATCATACTGTCAACTTTTTGGGCGCGTATGAGTTATGAACGACATATTGAGCCCAGAAAACTGTCTGAGGTGACTTGAAATACGCAGAATTGTTCAAAGAGTTATAAAAGGGTGTCTAGAACTGGTCAAGTATGTTTCGACGGAATTTCTAGGACAAGAGAGCTTGTTATCAGGTCTCCAATCGATTTAGAATTTGCTCAAAGGTATCCGAAGTTCGTTTTTTCCAGGAATGATTTATAGTGATGTATCAAGCTTGACTTTCTCATCTAAAATACAAATTTTCTAGAGATTGACGACAGCGGCGTTTTTCAAAGTTGTGATATAAATGACTTCCTAGGACCAGGTTCTGAACCTAATGTAATAACACTGAAAGACATTGACAATCTAACATTGGTTAGTAGCAGTCTGTTGTTTTTAAATAAGATGCAAGATGTAGACCCAGTGTCATCAACGCCTCAATATCATTAAATTGTTAAACTGTTTTTGTTCAGAAATGGATCTTTCCTCTTTTTCGTTTGAGCTTGGTAATCATTATATTATGTTTATCTGACATAAGCCTCTGTACCTTTCATGAAATTTAGGATTTCCCTTCCTCTCCCTTTCAACCGTTTAGCTCCCACGAGTGAATAAAAGAGAATAAAGAAGAACACTCGATTATCGGACTACAAATTGATCCAATACCAAATTCTCCAAACTAATATCATAAGAACTGTGTGGCAGATAGTAAGGAGAATTACTGACGAGATCTTGAGAGTGAAAGGATAAAGAAGCCCTTTTTCCCCTTTCTGAGCCCTCATTTCTCTCTTTCCCGCTCCTTTTATCAAAAACTTTGGTTAAAATGATATTGAAATAGTTGGACTGGAGTTTCATTGTAACGGGAACTTCGATTGGTTGAAAAAGCTCTCTTTGGCAGAATAAAAGAAACGCAGTGAGCTAAATGTCAGATTCTTGCAACATAAAATATAATTTTCATGTGTTTAAAGAAAAATTCTCAGAAATGGCCATTGGAAACGGTGTTGCTAGAAAATAAACTTGTAAGAACTAAAGGAAATTCTCAGGAGGAGGACATGGAGGAAATCGTATTGCCCCAATCACTGATGTTGAAAATCAGTCAATCATACGGGCGCATAGTGCTTTGTGAAGTTAAATTGACATAAGTAATCAACCTCATCGCCTGAATAAGACTAGACGAATGCAATTGAAACTTCGTGATCCACATCGGAAGTGACTACATTGTGAGACCATCGAAATACTTTATTATTGCTCCAGAGAATTTTGCCAGTAAAGTGCAAATGGTGCCCGATCTTTCACGGGCGACAATTATTTAATTTGGCGACTCTGTACTGGCTTTGTCGAATTATTCAAATAACAATAATCACCGAATTGGAGGTGAATAGTGGTGGATATTTACCGAGCTGCGAAGTAGCGAGTCAAATATCATATCCACGTTCACTCACACTGAGGTAAATAATTGTTCTTGTATATACCATACAGAAACCAAAACAACAAGTTCATTTCTGTCCACATACCAAAAATGGTCAGAAATTTAATTTTTAACGCGAGTCTGTCTCTTTGAATGCTCAGGTGAATAGTACTTGCTAATCATTTCCAAACCAGCCAACCAGCGCGGCCAAAAGGCACTATTCAACCTGTCTGGTAAATACTATAGCCCATTATACAAGAACTTGCATTCTGAAAGGTTATATATGATAGTAGTTTCCTTAGAAATGTTAGTTCAGCTGGCTTTTCGTGATGATTTTCCCTCCAGTGAATGTCCGTAGAAACTAAATCTAATAGTAATTTTTACAATGTTTTTTTTTGCCGAATAACACATCCTACTTCTTAGCCATTCTTTTGCTTCAATGTTTTATATAAGTTGTTACTTGAAATGCAGATGGTGTGGTTGGTTAAAAATTTGGAGAGAAAGCGACCAAAGAATAATCCCCATATAATTACGTCTTATTTGCCATGGTAATGCACGTAACTTGCCACGAAACTCGAGTGAGCATTACATCTACTGATACAAAAGTTCCTTAAGAAATAGTTTGAAATTAATTAATTTTTCGTATTTTCTAAACTATTAAAGTGAAATCGACGTTGTTTTGTTGTCAATCTACAATGTCGATACTATCCTTGTTACTATAGTTACTAAACTGAGCTTCTGAGAGAGGAGGAAAAATCGTCCAATATACCCAATGTTTGTTCTAAAGACGTTTTGGTCATTCTAACTTTTTGCCGCTATTCCCGTATTTCTACCCTACTTTCTTTCATAGTGATCCTTTTAAAAACAGTCTGCCCCAGGAGCAGCACCAACTCCAGAACTTCGCAGCAGGTTAGTACCGAAATACCAATCCACAAACCAAGTTGGCCTCCAATGTCGGCAATCAAGTTAATCCCCTATTAAGAATGATACGAGTGATGATAATGACATTAATAAAAACATTATGATACAGTCATCCAGCCTTAAAAAAGACAGAAGTCTAGGACTCTCAGTGGCAACTGGTTCTGATACACTTTTGGCGTAGGTTGAAGACATCATAACGATTTATTTTCTAAATGTAAAAATTCACCTTGTAACTCAGGTATTCTTGAACTTCCTGAAAGTTGAGTCGCTCGTAAAACACTTTCACTTGAAGGAAGTTTCGACTGTGAAATTGAAGTACACGAGAAATGCAGATTAATTCAAATGCATCCTTGAGTTGTGACGAGGATTACACTTTGAAGTCATAAATAATGATTATTTTATGTATGGTTATGGTTATGATTATTATTATTATCATTTCTATTATTCATGTGTTTATCTTCGTAAATGATCATTGCTTACTTACTTTAAAAACTCAGGACCCTCTGCTTTTTGATTTTGAGCCGCTGCATTTTTCCTTTTGATGACACGATTGTACAGCACATCCTAGTAAATATGAAAAGAACCCATGGTAACTTTAATTTTATTTTTTGAGAAGCTAGAGTTGGGTTTTGTTTTAATAGAGCAATTATTATTGGCACTTTGTTAGCAAAGTAAAAAATGACTGCAAGTTGTCATTAGATACGAGAGTAAAAAGATGAGGCTTATATTGATGAAGGCATTATTTTTTTGTTGTTACCACAAAGCACTTTAAACTTTACTTTGTTTTGGATTTTGTTTCATCCTAGTTATATTGTTTGCTTTATATTGTGTTTTTATTTGACTTTAGGCTAGTTGGCATTGTATATTGTATGCTTTTTATTTTGTTTGCTTTATATTGTGTTTGTATTTGACTTTAGGCTGGTTGGCATTGTATATTGTATGCTTTTTATTTTGTTTCTTGCGGCTGCTCTTTCTCTTTTAACGTATGGTGCTGAAGCTTGTTACCTATACCGGCATGTACTAATATCTAACATCACTTTCTTTATCTTTCGAGGAAGAGTCCTGAAGAACATGCTAGAGGTTCGAAATGTTTTTAATGAATGCAGAGAAATAAACAGTCTCACCTGGAATCCTTCGGAGGGCCACTCTGCCATGGACATGGAGGTTTTGTATATCAGTTCACTGGAATTTGATAAGACGGCAGAAATAAAGATAAAAAGTAATCGTTACTCTATAAAACTTCTCACCATACTTATTTAGAGATGCTCGTCTTTGTTTAAGGTCTGTTAATAAAATATAACTAATGATCTAGTTGTTCAGCTGTTGGAGTCCGTTATATTGTGGAATTTAAAACTTTGGAGACGAGAACGTGGATATTTCTTGTCTAAAGCGAGTTTGGAGATTTTTTTCAAACGCATCATTTAATGGGTGCCTCTTAAACTTCATTTACGTTGTTTGAAATAATATGAATTACCAGCATCTGATCCAAGCAGATATACATCCACCTACAGGCAACCCAAACTCCAGCTGTGAGATGATTATCTTGCGAAATAAAAGTTATGGTGAAAATATGAGAGTTTGTATGGGAATATTTACGCTAAACCGACGCTTAACCGACGTTAAACCGACCTAAACCGAAGTTTGCTTCCAAAGTTTCCAGTTAGACGTTTAACGACCCACGTACACATTAACCACGACACACGGCCGTTGAAAACCAGCTTAGTGACCCTGCCTCCATAGCAAACTGTGCCTCACCGAGGACCACACCGTTTTTTGGCATCAATAAATTGTTTTAGAATCATGGTTTGGAAATGGAGTGTGCAGCCTTGTCCTTCTCTTGGGGGTAGCAATCCTAGAAATGGATAAGTCCCTAAAATGGCCTCGTTGCGACGAAGTAAGTGGTCAGAAAACAAGAAATGCATTGTGAACGTAAGGCGAGGTATTTTCATTGAAAATTTGACTGTATTTTCAAGTTCTATTCCAAAGAGCGGTCGTAAATATTCTCATACAAGCTCTTATACCTTCCTCATGACTCTTATTACGCAAGGTGATCATCTCATACCTGAAGCTTGGGCTGCCTGTGATCCACTTTGCGAGTCATTTATTACGCCTTTAAAAATGTTCAGAGGAACGTGCGCGCCGTGATTGGTCAGAACAAGTTTATTATATTTCTATAAAGCACGCGCCTTAGTCACATGAGTGCACTGTTGAGACATAATGCACGCAGCTTACTTCATCGGTACGAGTGCACACAATTCACAATGTATTCTCGCACTTCTCGCACTCGAGAAGTGCAGGAAGCACTCGCCTTCGGCTCGTGCTTCTCCGTACTTCTCTCGTGTTCTTAAAAATTCCCGCGTGCTTACATAACTCAACAATGCACTCGGCGCGTTTTTTATTTCTTTATTTAAGAATTGAGCTTATAAATTCAGTGTATTTTCACCTGCAAGGAACAGGGCAGTCTGTATCGCAGTCAAGACCTTCCTCGTTGAACTGAGTTGTTAAGTCATCAAGGCAAATCTCTGAGACATAAAAATGCAGCAAATTGAGATTAAGGCGGCGAACAATCGAGACGTACTTTTCGTCATAGAACAGCAAAAGGAAGTCACTAACTGCTGATATGGATCGAGGAATTTCCCTGCATCTCAAAATTACATATAGGAGGTATCTGCTGTCATCGCGGTAGAGCTCAAAATTTGTGCAGTAAATAATCGACCAAGGAAATGAGGAGGAGGAGAAAAATGAAAGGTGGAAAAATAAAAAAAATCGATCGATAACAAAAAAATTCAGCCCTAACCTGTATCAGGTTTCTTAATTTTGTCGCAAATGTGACGCTCCTCGACAGGAAATCGAGCGTCAGCACATCCACACTTCTTGATTTGGGCTATCGCCAGGCAGGACCGCATGCAAGACTGAAAATACATAAGTAACGATAAAGAAAATCGAAAACCGTCTCAGAAAGAAATTACATTTTAACATCGCAACGCTGATTCTAACAGATAAGAAAGATGATTAATATATATAGGGACGATGCAGTTTAATGCATTCAGAATGGAAAGTACGCTAAACCATCCGTACCGTTTCCAAGAGCAACAAGGTGTCGCACAAATCAACCTTCATTTCTTTTCGTGTTTGTGATTTTGGGTTATTCTTAGTCGAAATTATAAAACGAAATCACATCAGTTTTACTTTACTTACTATAGGTCACCCTCCCTTTTTTGCCTTATTTGCTTGTGGTTTCTTTACTTCAAATCGAAAAGTGCCCAATCGAGAAAAACGGCAAGGTGAAGTAGACATTCATTCTGAGTACGTTAGCCCTTACGTAATGGGAGGAGGTTTCGTTGATGGCATTATCAAATACAAGGAAAAAATGGCCCTAAAATTGCTAACTCGTACCTCCCGTGAATAAAATGATCCATATTTCACTTTATAAAGATCATTTTTTTGCTTGCTGTCGGGATTTCTGCAGCTTCCATTGTTGAAAGGATCCACTCTAATAACAACTTCCTGTATAAAAGTGAACCAGATATGAAATTTAAAACTCGGCGATGATGTATGTTTCCCTTTTGTGGCCATGGTATTTTGGAATATGACAGAAACAATATATATTCAACAAATGGAAACAAACAAACCGCATATTATAAAAAAAAATGAAAACTCCAACACATGAAGTCTACACTCTACCATTGAGATAGAAGATAGTGAAACTCATTTTTCGTTCATCAGCAAACTAGTGAAATGAATTTAACTTAGCCGAATTAAAAGAAGAGGAATTAAGGTGTTCAAGAAAGTACAGATGGATCGATAGCAGTTCTTTAGATCTGGTATTGAAAATACGCCATGACAACCGGTGACAAAGGAGAACACAATACAAATGATGATGATATAAATGATACAACAATGATGAAAAATAAATTTCTACCCTTCGAACTCCAATGGCAGTCGAAAAACCTGGCACCAGGTTGACTCCTTCTTCATCTGGGAAAGGCATTTCTCCTTGGGGGTGGATCACTATCCTCGCTCCAGCAGCTTGACTTATCTCTGGCACGTACTCGTTTGACTCAATGTTAAGGTTTAATTTGAGCCCTGAAAGTAAAAAGGATTTTTGATGATCGACGCCTTCGTACTAACATTGCAATTCGAACCAAAAAGTACGTCATAGTGGTTCTATAAACTTTTGTGCAAAAAAGAAAACTTTTTGACCGATCACAATTTTGCAGATTTCATCGAAGAGATGGCAAACTCTCCCTAGGGCTTTTTTGGTGCTACGGGTTTTTACAATGTGGGGGCACTCCGGCAGTCTGCACGCTAAGCCAGCTGTGTGGAGGTTGATTGATATAAAGATTCGAATATTAAGATTCCTTACCTCCTGATGGACCTGTATTGTGAGTTTCTAAAACTGTCTGGTTGTTGTGATCGTCATCCACTCCACCATTAAATGTGTAACAATTACCGTACCGATAGTCCCAAAACTTGTTCCAGTATTCTGAGTAGTTTTTCCTGTAAGTTAAAATTCTTGCTTTCACTTTCGCATGTACTAATTGTATATGTGAAATTGATTGGTAACAAGATTGGTAACAAGAGAGGAAAATGAAAAGGAAAAAAAGAAGACGATGATGACAATGAAGAAGAAGAACAAAAACAAGAACAAGAACGAGAACAAGAACAACAAATAGATATCGATCTTTTCCATTATGTCAAAAAAAAACAAAAAAAAAAACACAACAACACGAACAAAGCAAAAAGAAACATAAGAAAGGAGATGATCTTCACGCAGCTCCGACCTCTTTTCAGTTCCTTTTGGATACTGACGAATGATTACCTGCAGTCAATTCCCCTGAAGTTGCAGTCATACACGAAATCCTCATACTTGTGACCCATTTTGTGTAGGGTTGTTTGGTTTTCTAATGCTAAAAATGAGAGTAGCAAGTCCTCAAATAGATAGTCGACAATGAGCTGTTCCTCTGGAGTATAGTATTCCGTTGTGTCGTTGTTTGTAGGAGACCGGTCTCCCTCTCCGGATCCAGAAGCGTCCGTGGGGGTTGCTAGACCGTCTTCTGTAGTTGGTTGGACATTTGCATCGTTGGTTGGCATGTCAGCATTATCTGGGTCTAGTATGTGTGAAGATAATGCGAAAGGTGTCTTAATCGTTTCAAAGTTTCTTTCAAAAGCTCTCAAAATCGTTCAAAACCTCATATGAAGAGCTGCTTACCTTGTGAGGCAACATTTTTCTGTTCCTTCATCCTTTCATCGATTTCTTTGTAAATTTCATCTAAATAACGTTTCGAAATTTCGCTTTCCTTAATAGGGTTTTGGTTGCAAATTGTGACGGCTGGAAAACTCACATGCTATAAGTAAAAAAAAAATAAAACAAATAAAACAAAACAAAACAAAATAGAAACATGCAAACAAATAACTAAAAGAGGTAAGCAAAAAATAATAGTATTTGAGTTAATGAAGGAGCCAAACCAATCTATTGATGAGGTTGATTATTTTCTAAAAGCACACCATGGTATAAAAAAATCAAAGTAAAGTAACGAACAGAACAAACAAACAAACAAACCAAACAAAACGGAAACAATTAAAACAAGTTTCATCAATTAAATGGAATAGAATAATAATATCATGAAATACTCACAGCGTTATGTTTCACCTTTACCACAGTAGCAACAGGACGACTCAGCCACAGTGTGAACAAGCCATGCGTTTGGAATATAAACATGGTAAATGCTCCAAGTATGAAAATAGTCCATATAAAACGGCTGAACAGTGTCCTTGCCTCTGCCAGTCGCCCAACTCCATGCGTTGTTGTATAGCCACAAAAATCCTTGATTAGCTCTTTCGGCGATTGATTGTCCTCGCTTTTCTTAACATTCTGTTCCGTTGCACCTGCCATTACCTCAGAGAGGTTTCCCTTCAGAGGGGTTGAAAACAGAATCCTTGTAAATAATTTGCGATTAGAGAGCTTTGATTCTGATGCGCATGCATCTATTGGTGTATTTCATAAATATTATTTCGCTTGAATTCTGGTTATGTTGAAATGTTGAAGTCTAAAAATTACACTTCATTATTTAATACAAATATGATAACTTCATTATTTATTCCACATAATCGTTGCAGGTCTCCTTCAAAAACTTAAATTTGTTCCTATGCTTTACTTTTCTCATCTCAAAGGAAAGAAAAACGCTAAAAATAACTTTAACATTGCATGCAATATTCATTATCAGCTCCTTATCTCTTTTTATAAAGGCTTTTGGGGAATGGTTCTGAACAGAAATCTTCGTTCATCTTGCATTGAACAATTAGAGGCAGAAACCCATTTTTTGATCGTATCTAAGTACTGTTGATTAATCTACGTCTGAAGAATTTTATAAATGTGTTCTCTGCTTACCAAAGAGATATTTGAGATGTTGTAAATAAGATGAAGTATAACATTCTTTGTTAAAACTGTTAATGCAGTAAAATATACAATTATCGACTTGAACTGTACATGATCACAATTCATCGTACATACGAAGTCAAGTCCATTATGGATAATTCGTAAATGCTGAAACGTTCCTCAAAATATGAATACATACCAGAAATATGCTGTTTCTACTCTCGTAATAACCTAAAACGCTAGTCCTGAAATGACGCGGTCACCTGGTCCTGTGTCAAAGTTTTCCAAGTGACGATAGAAACGTCTTTTATGTGTGTTTATAGAAAAAAGGACCAATTGGTGGGCTCTTTGAAAGTAAATAATGAATTTTTACTTATTCATAACTAGAGCTGTCTTCCCTGGATACAAACAAAAGTGTCTTTCAGTCCAAATTCAAAACAGACAAAGAATCCAACATGGTCAAGCAGGGAAGATTCATGAAGAATAAGATTCAAGGAAGTCTTTCGATATGATTCGGTATGGCTCTATCCACTGTTGCAAATGAAAATTCTGGAATCGAATCTAACTAATTAATTAACAAAATAGATACTTATTTTTATAATGGGGGAGTATTGTTTCATTGACATGCGTTGCGTAACTTTCTTTAACTTCCGTTATTTATCACAGAGGCAGTCATTTCATAAAATGATCTACTGTAACTGACTAACTAGCGAAAAACCTAATCGTGAGAATGCTTTTCTGAACGTAAATGGATGGTTAGCGAAGTGTTACTCATTAATTAGAGGGAAAAAAACTACCGACATGTGTTTGTGGGTTGTATTACACTAAATACAAACAACACGAAACAAACGACGGCAGATGCTAAGAGTCTGTTTCTCCGACTTTAGTTAAGATATATACAATGAAATAAACGAGATCAAAAGGAAACCCACCGGCTTTTGACAGGTTTTACGTATTTGATTTTTGGTTTCAGAGAATGTCGAGAGTTCTCTTTAAAGCGTTCAATTTTTTTAAATTGTTGACCAAAAATAAGAAAACAAAAGAATGAAAATGCAAAACAAATCAAAACATCTATGACCTAAAGTAATCAGGAAAATTCCTCACAACAGAGCCTAATGGTTAATCCCAAAGTCAAACTGTCTAGTTTTATTTACCTAAGCATTGGAGACAATTCAACCAGATCTTGTCTAGAAAAAGTATGTCGTTGCTGAAAAAGTATACATAGCTAGCATTCTTCAAAGAAATTTTCGAAATAAACTTTTTAGAGTGTAAAGTTGACAAAAAAAATAATAATGAAATCCTTGGCATATGATAATTACCATATTGTTTTCTAGTGGTACGCCTGTTAGGGCTATGAGTTAACATTAGATGGTAACTATTTTTATATGGTTATGAGTATTAGGAAAGTAGTCTAAGTTAGTTCTGACGCTTCATTTAAGTTGAACACAAACTGTACAAAGCTGCGTCAAATTGACGCTCTAAAATGATGAATGAAATATTCATGACCAATAAGAAATCCTACCGCTCAGTAATTTTGTTCACGGTGGGCGGTTGCGTCCCTTAGTTTTGAAAGTTATCATACAGTCACTGAAACCCTATGGAGTTATTACAATACAGAAAAATCCGACATGATAATTTAGTTGAGAGAGCAATATTTTAACAGGTTAATTAAGTATTATCTACTAAGTTGATAACGTAAATTGGCCACCGAAAAGAGTTTCGAAGCTGACATTTCCAGCGTTAGCCCTTCGTCATTCGCTTTGACGAATTTACGTTATCAACTCAGTTGATAATACTAAATTACCCTGTTATACCTTCCCACCGAGGCAGCACCACAATTTCTTTAGAAACGTACCCCCATTTAATATTACGTGGCATATTTACAAATATCTTGCTCTCCTAAAACAAGTGTCGAGTTACAAGTCCTATATTGCGAATTTTGCCAATACTGGCATCTTAGATACGTTCCATTCCTTCTTCCACGAGTAATTTTTTCCAGTAGTGCTATATATTCGTAAACTAAGATGCCACTTGTCATTATTATCGTTATGATCACTATTATTATCATTTTTCATTTTTTATTAACATTTTTAAAGCATTGTAACAAGGGATGCTTCAAGAAAATGCTGCATTTTAATAGTTTAAAATTGTAAAATGAATAGAAAGATATATATTAGATATACTAATAATTTGAGGAGGTAATTACACTCGGCAAGATAAACAATTACACATGGTTCTTTGCTCTTTTTAAGCAGTGTAGATGAGACGGCAAGTTATACACACGCAATTATCCGATCGATTATGTATTGGCTAAACGTTTAATTCCTGAAAAAAAGACACTGGGAATAGTTTATTTTGTAATTATTGTTCTTATTCTATTTTTGAATCAAGGTTGAATGTGAATAAGTTTTCGTCGTCTCACACGCCCGATAACGGTTTGTATTAATACTATTGCCAATTCCAAAAACTCGCAACACGTAAGCACTGATATGCCAATCCAAAGGCCAAGCTGACCTCCTATATCAGCGACGAGATTAACACCCTGACGGGAAAAAAACAAGAAAGGTGAATTATTATTAAGCATTAAGGGCTTAATCGAGATTCCATCGTTTTTCCTATACAAGATAAAGTTTATTAAAGAGATAATGAAGAAAAACTAACCCTAGGATGAAGATAAATCGACTCTTGGTTCTGTGTGAAGAGAGTTCATTTTCGAAATATATAAAGGAGACGCGCAAGTATTCGTAGGGAAGTAATCATTCCTAATATATAAACCAACATACCTTATAGCTTATTCTTTCAGAGACCTTTTGGTAATTTAGCTGCTCGTAGTATATTTTCACTTGTGCAAAGTTTTCGCTGTATGAAACAACAAATGAAACAATAAAATTTATCAATGACCTAAATATTTATGACTAAATGACAACAGATTAATTGTCCGACTCTCTTATTTTGGTTTCCATTAACGTAAACCGACTTGTGCAAGTATTTATATGGCTTTTTTTTGTTTTGTTTTAGTGAATAGCTACTCACTTTAGATTAAATCCATTGTACAACTCGTTATAAATGGAGGTCTTTTTCTTCACACGTGACTCAAGCATTGCCTGAAAGTAAAAAAAAGGTAGTGTATAATGACTTGGGAAACCTCAGCTGGAACCGAATATTCGAAACTCACGTTATTTGAAGCCGTTAAAAAAGTACTGCAAATACCTCGTAGAAATAGGCAGGATATTGCGCCATTGAAAGAGTGGCCATGAACTGAATTTCACTAGAAGAAAAGGACATTAATGTTGATAATGACGATGAGAGGGATTACGACTAAGATGTATTAAAATGCGTTTGATAGGTTTACATTGTAATACACCATGTAAGCTAAAGACGACACGAAACTGCTTGACATTACATGAAGTGACGGGCATGATAAGACATTTAAAGAAACAACAATGCATGATATGACACGACACGACATGACATGACACGACAGACATGATGGGAGGCGAAACGGCCAGATATCAAACAAATCACTAGACTAGCATGTCGCTGTGTGTAGACGTGTACATCGAGATGATTTTAATTCATGCAATGAAGCGCCTGACTATGTGCAGGTTAAATTGAAGCATACCCACTAAGACAAAAGTTCAGTTTGCTGGCTTATTTTTGATTGAGCTTTTTTAATTTACCTGCATGGCGTAGGACAATTCTTCTCGCAGTTCAGTTCCCCAGTCACCAACTTCAGTTGTATCATTTCTAGACATTTCGCTGAAAAAGAAAAAATGCAATAAACTTTGTGTAAAAAAAATTATTGATATTCCTTGCGGCTTGCATAATTTAATTTAATCGGCTGTCTTTACCTGTTGTCGAGTTCCTTAAATTACAAATATCTGAATGGGAAGGAAACTGGCCACTAGCACATCCACATTCTTCAACTTGTTTTTCGGCCTGGCAAGAATCTAAGCAAGCCTTTGAAAAGAGTTGGAAATAAAGGCAACTAGTTAAATGGTTTGGGATCTGGGAATGCTAAAAATCAAAACCAGCCCATACGTATACTTTTGAACAGTTAATTACAGCTGTTCATTTGACAATGCTCATGTGCATACAGCATACAAATCGTTTAACTGAGCAACCGCCGAGTATCAATAGCTAAAAAAGTTAATACATTAGGCTATCGATTGATTAGTCAGTAAACTGATCAGATGACCAGATACTAAGTAAGACATTAGCCTATAGCATTTACAGCTGTAGCTCGTTGAAACAAAACGAAGGTTAGTTAACAGAAGAAACCCAAATTTAAAATATCAAAAGAATGATAATAAAAATAATGAAAGTTCAAAAGGCAAGAAACACGATACCTGTCTGGAGTAAGAGACATTGAATTTTTTGGTATACATGTTGTCGCGATTTAATCTCTTCTCAGGCTGGCAACTTCCGTTACCGAAGGGATCAACCCGTTCGATGACCTTCTGATGATTGACAATAATTTAAGTAGTAAGAATGAATGATAAAAATTTAATTTCGTTTTTCCTCCTCACTTTATTCTATGAACTGTGAATAACTCAAACTATCCTCTCTATTGAGGGCTGATTACACTTAAACTTTATAAAACTTACAGAAGAAAAATTTGTCAGATTGTTTCTTTAAACTTGTTGATTTTTTATATTGAATATGCAGAGCATTGATATCAAGTTCCACGATTAATCAAGTCGATACATAGTGTTATAGCATACAGTAAGATAATCACATCTTAATGACAGCTGCTAGTATATACATGTATGATCCCAATTGGAAGCCCCTAGTTTTTTTTCTTGTATAGCAAGTGTTACTTAATTTTCGTGCCTTATTTTTAAAACAAGATGATATTATTTGCGAGGAAAAACATAATTATATTTATACCCATTTTCAAAACCATTTCAAATTTGAAAATATCTATCAAATACATATATACCTTTTATTTTCTCATCAAAAAGAGCCATTTTGAGAAAACGAAAGATATATATATATATATATATATATATATATATACATAGGAAGTCTGCAAGTCGATTTTCGCGTGGAACAGTGCTCAATACGTTGAAGCAGAGCAGAATAAATATTATGAGAGGAAAAAACGACGCAACTACATTTCCCGACAAGCCTGTTTCGTGAATCGCTTCACTCTGCGATTAAACCCCTGAAGAGTGAAGCGATTCACGAAACAGGCTTGTCGGGAAATGTAGTTGCGTCGTTTTTTCCTCTCATAATATTTAATATTTATATATATACATATATATTTGATATATATTGTCAATGTTGCAACGTTTTTGCAAACGGGTGTATCTATATCCGAGAGACTGCTCTCACCCTTGTCAAGGCAAATGCGGTGGAGCGGCTTGGTAACACACTATACCCCTCGTTATTGGGGAAGGGTATTTGGCCTTGGTCATGAATCACAACTTTAGCTCCAGCAGTATCACTGAGTTCTGCAATGTACTGTGACTGCTCTATAAACAGGTTAAGCTTCAACCCTGATGTTTACAAATGCATACAAGAATGATTCACACCGAGAATACATTACTCTTTCTCGCTCATTTAAAATTTCGACGACAAAACACTGAAACAACATCAACAATAACAACAACAACAACAACAACAACAAGCCGATTGTCGTTCTCAAAATTCAAAACAAGTCTTGTTTTTTTTAGGAATTTCGCGTTTAAAAATTCCACCATTAACAACAGCTATTTTCCAGATCAGCTACAACGATCGAGCTAAATTTAAGGGGAAATCACGTCGTAGTAGGTCAGCTTTCATGACAGTGAAAGAGGTAGGAGGGACAACAAAAGAACAAGAATGATGGAGCTTTGAATCCCTCGCCCTGGCTCTGGACTGGACAAAGTAGAGTTGATCATCAAAGTAGATATCGACGTCAATGCTCTTGCTGTTATATCGGATATTTCAATGCTTGTTATTCTTGTTCTAATGTGTTGACCCACGCACATTTCTTTTCATCGCTGTTTACCATTTAAAACCTGGAACACGGCAAAATGTGAATGTAAATACCTCCAGCTGGTCCAGTGACGTGGGAAATCATAGTCTTCTGTCTTTCTCCATTGTCATCAGTGCCACCGTTAAATGTGAAACAGTTTCCGTAACGATGATCCCAAAAATGCCTCCAATAAAGTGAATAGTTACTGAAAATGAAAAAGTCTGTCAATAACAACAAAAACCCTCGGAAACTGTTTATAGCAAAAAAAAAAATTTTTTTATTTTTGTTTGATTGCTGTGTTGTCGTTTTGTTTGGCTCTTTATTTATTTATTTAAAAATAATTGCTTTATATTGCATTACACTGGCTGCCCTTTTTAAAAAGACAACATACCTGCAATCATATCCTCTAAATGAACACTCAAACACCAAATCCTCAAACTGGTGCCCCATATGGTAAGTCTCGGAATCGTTTTTCATTGCTATCTCAGCACGGATAGTTTCTTCGACCCTGTATTCCTCCTCTTTGGTCTCTTCAGGCCCACCTAGATAGAGATAGTCATAGCCAAAGTAGTCGTAGTCGTAAAAATAGTTTGGATCGTAGTTGTAGTCGTTATTACTCGAGGGGTACATTGTTGGGTCTTCTGGAAAACCAGTGGGAACATCAATGGCATCAGTCGGGTCTTTTGAGGAACCGTGCGTGGTTTTTACTCCCGGAACGCTAGTGAAGGCATCAGTTGAGTCACCTGGAGAAGCTGTTTGAGAGTTCGTCGTAACGCTTTGTGTTACAACACTGGGAACATCAGAAGTGTGAGTCGAGTCAGTTGTAGCGTCTTCCGAACCGTCGGTAAGGACACCAGTGGTATCAGTTGGTAAGTCATCAGAACTTAATGCATTTTGAGAGGTTCTCGAATCTCCACTTTCATTTTCCTCTAAAATTCAAAATATATAGACAGATGGATAAAATAGCATGAACAAGAAAGTTTCCATGCATCAGCATAGCTAGGAGCGTAGAAGTTATTTCTGTAATGACCCTTTATTAAAAAATACTTGTATTTTCTGTTTATTTTGTTTTCGTTTGTTTCTTTTCCCATTTTTCTTCATTTTTTTTGTTTTTATTTTCGCTGTCGTTGCATTATATAGTAAGCTCACTACCCTCAAGGTGAATACCCAGTAGGAGTGTCCGTCTATGAATAGTTATAAGGCTGTTAGTTCAGTTTACCGGGACACACAGCTCACAACTCCTGAGTCTGTTTTCTGTTTCACCGGCGCTGCAAAGCCGTTCTGTTCCAAATTTGTATTTGTTGAATCAACCTTACCTTCCAATCTCAAATGCTCCAAAATTTCATCTATGAAGCCATAGGGGAGTTTATCGTAGCGAATCATATTAAGGTTGCAGATGGACACAGCTGGAAATTTGACATGCTGCAAGTGGGTAAACACGTTATGTGATTATCAGGCCACAGCTCTCAGTAAGTACAATGTTTTAAATAGTCATTATAGTCAATGTTTTTTTCTTGATCGGTGGAATGAACAGAAGCAATTTATTAATATTTGCGTCTTTTACGTTGAGTTTTCATTTACTCCACCTGATCTTTTCCTCTGTTGTAATTGGCTTCTGTGATGCATTTGATTTTAGTTTTACGATACTCACGTCGAAATACACTTTCGCCACTTGATTGACCGATTACTCTGGCTGTAAGCCCCATTTTAGAATATTTTTGGCCATTTGCTTACGCGGTTAGCATCGAAAGGAAGAAAAATGAATTTCAATTAATATCCTTGCACACAGAAAATTGCTAAAACAACCGGAGAGAACTAACGACTGTAAATCACGAAAAAGATCAAAGCGACTCATAGAAAAAGATAAATAAAATAGTATAGGCAAATCAATGAGGGAAACGGGAAAGGGAAAATAAGTTTATACTTTATATCTGTTTGAACAATAGGATAGGTGCACAACTTAAATTAAGAAAAAAATTAAGGACTGCGTCGTCTTTAATTAAAATCTACATTTGAGTTAGGGATCGGTCTATATTTTGCCTGAGAGAGGGGTGGGGAGGGGGGGTAAGTTGTGGATAATTTAAAAGGGAATCACATGGTTTTCAGGGCGGATCAGTCGTCGCCAACAGAGTATAAAGGGGTACTATAAAAAATTGACTTCCTATTAACCGCCAATGATGGGAGATCATGAGAAATTACAGAGCCTTACGAAGGGATAAGGTAAATTTTAACCGTGACACCACTAAAAACCTCCGCTCGCCCCCCGCTGGGGTTAAATCATGACAGGCTGAATTAGAAGGATAACTGCAGTGTGTGAGGCATTTCCTATTATTAGAAAATAATCATCTTCTTGCTTACACTTTCGTGGTTGACAGTAACCACAGTTGTCACAGGTCGGCTGAGGTAAATAACAAATAAATTTTTGGTCTGAACTATGAACATCGCCATAGCACCCACACAAAACAGAGTCCATGATACTCGACGGAATATCCCACCACCATCGGCCAGTCTTCCAAGGCCATGTGCCGTCGTATAGCCACAGAAGTTACTAATAACCTCTTTAACAGAAGGTTTCTTGGTTTTAATGTCTTTCTCATTGCTGATGCTGTTTTCGGAAGTTTGTTTTCCCATGTTACCAGAAATCACACTTAGTTGTTTTATGACAGTTTGTCATCAAATATCTCTGGAAGGAGTAAGCAGAGTCAAATTCTTTAGCATAACGTGATATTTCTTTCCGAAAGAAAAAATTACTTCCCTCGTTTAGAGCAGTTTCCAGCAATATTACTTATCAGAAAAACGCCACGCTTTACCATTATTTACCATAAACAACATGGTAACCTCACCTTCCAGAATAATTATTGGCTTCAACTTTTAAAAAAGTTTCCTGCATGAAATAGGACGATTTAACTCGTAATGTATTCCATGATAGGAAAAGTTTGGTTATGTTCTTTCAATTTTTTAAAAGCAAAAAGTTATGTTCTGGCTGCATCATCGTTTCATAAACACAACCGATCGACAGAGCCAAGCTTATGGTGGTCTTGGCAAAAAAAAAACAAGGGAATACGAAATCACAATGAATGACCAGTTGTTCATCACCGGTAAGAAAAGTAATGAGCAAATGATGATCGGGAGTTTTAGTCGTCATACCTTTAGTTCAGTTTGTGATATCCATTTATCTGTGACATTTAACTCTTTCCTGTACCTTCAATTTAAGCCAACAAACCGCTACAAGTCACAGCAGAAGTTAATAAACTTTAATTAGCAAAACGGGCCAAACAATGGAAGGTAAGCATGACAAAAGAATCTCAAGGTCCAACATGCTAAGCGAAAACATGATTAACAGTACACCGATTGACTGTTCGGGAAGCTTCCACAAAGAGGAAATAAGTTGACGAGTAATCTTCTTTGCATTCTTGGTTTTTTACTTTTTTCTTTAATATCTATCACTTATCTAATTAAGTTTAAAAAGTTTGTGACATTCATTTTTGTGCCGCTTTGTTTAGAGTTATCCATTTTTACACATACAAAATTACGGCCAACATTTTCCATTCAGAATATGCCAGATATAACAATGATTAACAGATGTCATCGTTAACAAGAATACTGAATATATCGTTGTTTGGTTATCCTAAATGTATGTTGTCCTTAAGGTATTTCACCCTCTTTCTAAGAAAAAAATAAACTTAATTGGCGCCGGATAAATCACAAAAATCGCGCTTGAAAGAAACCATCTGTCAATTCTGGTATATGATAATATTTTTTTCACATCTCCATATTAGTCACGCTGTGTATACATCTGAAGCATCATGTATCCTAATTTTTTTGTTTTGTTTTCTTGTCAGATTTGAATTATTATCACGAGAAACTGTATGAATGCTATCCATCAATCACTTGGCTATTTTACCTAGAATGGCTCCTAGAATAAACCAGAGGTCTTCTTGCAGGAGGACTGCGGTAGTTTCACGAAAAAAATACGAAGGCAAATTTTCATGATTTTACGTCGACAAGAGATCCTTATTTACTTTCTAAAACATGCATTTGAGGCAAAACGATTCCATTAATTCTTTTTCGAATTTTTTTTTCCATTTCAATTCTACTTGTGGAATTATATTTCCCCCTGCAACGACCGATAAAGCATTGGCAAAAATTGTTTGAAATCTAGTGGTCATAAGCCTTATGACACTCAGTTCACGTAAAGTTTCTATCAAGAAACGTAGCATATTATGAGCTTTTGTAAATAGAGTGTGCTGGAGAACCATCAATTTTAACAAAACAAAAACAACACAAAACAACACAGAAACACACAAACAAAAAAATGAAAACAGACAAACAAAGACAAAAAGCAAACAAAAGACAAACAACTGAAAGACAGAAAAAAAGGGAGTGCCATCGTAAATTTACAAGTGGATTTGCGAAGTATAGGAACGAGTGATGTGGGGTTTCGATATGCAAATTTCGTGTCGTTAAAACGGCTTTTGGCGTCTATAAAGAGCATAAAGTTCAACAATTATATTATTCTTTATAACTGCGTTCACCTTATTGTCACTTTGAATTTTTTTTTGGGTAAAACTTATCATGTCCTTTTTTAACCCACAGTTGCTGGTCTGACTTTAATCTTTAATGCTTGTTCGTTTGAATTACATCAAACAAGAAATGCAACTGAAAGAAACTTTATTCTTCATTATTCATTCTTAATTCTTCACAAAACAAAGGAACTCAAAATCTGTATGTTACAATGATCAGTTCTACTGTTTTTTTCACATGATTTCCGTTTTCCATTGCAAAATCAATGCTGTTAAGCAACCAACCTCACTTCAACTACAAACTCTAGCAGGTGGTTATTATTATGGGCTTTTGACTCTACCAAAAAAAGGCGAAAAAAGGCAACAAGAGCTAAAATCAAAAAAATGAAAAAGGAAAGAAAGAAAACAGAAACAAACTACTAATATCTTACAGTGATGGTAGCAATTTTGACAATAAGATACTGCATCAAGAAATGTCTCAACTTGATAAATTTTAACTTATCTCGAACGCTCCATTTTTTTAAATATTTAGTCATCATGTAAAGCCTTTAATGACGATTCCTTCTTGGTCAATTAACATATATTTACAAGAAAACGCTTTGAAAATAGTATCAAATGTTTCATGATGATAATATTTTTGCTTCACTGACATCACCAAAAAGATGATATAAACAATAGACTTATGCTTCCAACAATTTTTTTTGTCTTTTTAGCCGAGTTTAAGCGCTTGCCGAAATGCCCCCTCCGACTCACTACAATGTAGATAAAGAAATATTTGACATAGATGCTACTCTATGATTTCGTGTGTATCTAACGGGGAGAAGGTTTCACATTGATGATATTTCTTGAGAAAGACCTTTTGATAAGACTTCTGATGATAAGGAGGATAAGCTCCAAAAACTCGCAACAAGTTAACACTGAAATACCAATCCAAAGACCAAGCTGTCCTCCAATATCTGCAACAAGATTCACTTCCTGCAAAACCAAAACATGGATGCTGTGTAAATCAATTGAGTTATTATTCCGAATAACCTAAACTGTGTCTTCTCCATATGACCAGTGTTATAGAAATTGTTCTACAAATTACACACACCACGCATGTAGAGCTTTTCTAGTAGGCTGAGGAGATTACATTGCTGAGTTTGTAAGGAATAGCAGATTATTCCATGCAGATTTCTAAAGTATGCATGGAATAAGGGCATCTTTCTGTAAAAGCCGCTGGGAAGGAAAATAAAAATCAGCATCAGAGCAGCACTCTTCGAATACCAATAAATCAAACTTGGCAATAACGTAGAAGTGACAGTCACTATCACTTTTATATCATATCTACCTTATAGCTGACGCTTTCTACAACTCTTTCAAAGTTTAGCTGCTCAAAGAATATTCTCGCTTGAAGAAAATTCTCACTGTAATAATAATAGGAATAAATCAGTGATAAAATTGAACACTCCAGCCTCCAAACAAACAACATCATGTTTTACTCACCTAAGATAGAATCCATATTTATCTTCAGTAATAAACCACTGTTTTTCTCGAAGGCGACCCATAAGAATCCCCTTAAATAAAAAAAAAACTTTAAAGTAAGTGTCAACATACAAGACACGGTAACGATGTAATTATTGAAAAACAAAAAACAATGACAAACGTACAACAAAAACAACATCAACAGTTAAAAAATCGTTAATGACGATTAATAAGAATTAATTCGTTTTTTTTTGTGCTCCGAGATTCGTTTACGGTGACTAAAAATCAAGGAAAAAGAATCTAGTCTTACTTCATATCCCATGGAAGGCCATTCTCCCATTGACTGTGAGGTCCTAAATTCCACTTCTCTGTAGTGACGAAAGAAGAATCACTCCATGATTACCTCATTTCAAAATGCACTTATGTAATAATTTGAACGAGAAAGAATATGTTCTGACGGCATGAGATCTATGTCTGCCTAAAAACGGAATGAAAAAAATCAAGTTAAATACAAAATGAGCTAGACACTTCCAAAATAGCTACTGATTCGGTTAATTTCATTACACTTTTTTTTACACCGCAGATATGCAGAGTTTTTAAAAAATAAGAAACAATTCGCCAAACATTACAACAACGAAAAATATATAAATCAGCAGCGAAGTATGTCCGAAACTTTTTATTGATCTTTATGTATAACAAATAGATAGATTGATGATGGTCATAATCAAACCTGCAGGGTGTGGGACAGTTCTCTTTGCAGCTGAGCTTCCCTTCAAGTAATCTCTGTAGCAATGTTCGCAGACATCGAGCTAGAAGACAAGTAAAGTTAACGATAAGTCCCATGAAAAAAGAACACATGTAAAGAATATTGGATTGAATTGGGCGCTTTTCATACGTGAATACGTTTATTCATCTTCTTTTTTTTGTGTGTATGCAAACGATGACGAGTGAACTTTGAATAGTGTCACCCGTAAGCATCAAGCATTTCAGTACCAAAGCTTAAATTAAATAAGGAATTGAATATCAGTCCGGATGTTGTTTACCTGTGGTGGAGTTTTTTATGTCGCATATATTAGAGTCCGTGGGAAATTGAGCCTCAGCGCATCCACATTCTGAAAGCTGTTTGTTAGCAAGGCACGAATTCAAGCAAGCCTGTTGAATAGGCAACATAAGCATCACTCCATACTCAGCTTTTAGTGTCGTGATCAAAACCATGCAAATCATCCTTTACATAGTGTAACCTACGTAACCTTATTTTCTCACCTGCCTAGAGTATGTCGTATGGAATTTCTTCCCATAAATATCTTTTTCTTTGACATCATCACCAGAAATGCAACTTCCATTCCCAAATGGATCCACGCGTTCAATAACAGTCTAATAAAGTAAACAGTGTAATATTCGAATAATGAAGCGAGGTATGGTATTTGTAGTTTTTTTATGATTTTGTGTAAGATTCCAGGGTGTGGAGAGGAAGAAACAATGATGATGATGAGGAAACATTACGTTCTTTTAAACATAGCCAGGAACATATTTGGATTGGTTCAGTGTAGAAAGAGAGAGAGAGAGAGAGAGAGAGAGAGAGAGAGAGAGAGAGGAGAGAGAGAGAGAGAGAGAGAGAGAGAGAGAGAGAGGCAAATGCAGACACGAGCCGGAAGGACAAAAACACAGACAGGTACGCCTGGTACTTGTTATTGAGTAAGCGCAGAGGTGGCTCAGTACGATGGTAAATACCGATTTATTGACTAATAAATGGACGGAAGGGCGAGGGGTCTTTTGATAGAAGAATGAAAAGAATATTTTATTCGCACCTTTCTGATGGCAAACGAGGTTGAACGGCTCGGTAAAACATCATAACCTTCATTTTCTGGAAATGGCATTTGTCCCTGGTCGTGAATGACAATCCTAGCACCAGCAGTATGGGATAGCTCTGAGACGTATTGTGACTGTTCTATAAATAGCTTCAATTTCAAACCTAAGGAAGGCAAGTAAATTTAAGTTTCAGTTAAGTTTTTCTGACTTTACCTGCCTGATAAGTGATCTACCTTTCTCGATAGTTTTTAGTTTAAATATCCTTCAGCGAGAAAGCCCACTAAAAAATATAGGGACACAAGCAATTGTTTTCTAATCTTTCCGTGAATGTTTATATTCTTATCTCAATAATCATATTTTTTCAATCCTCGAAGCAATGCAGAAATCATATCTTTTCCAGCTCACAGTCAGGACACATGCACGTTTTGCAGTCCTTTATTGAAAGATGAATGTAAATATTAAGAAAAAATGCACCCAGTGAAAAATCAGAGATGAAAATAACCTGACTTCTCAGAGCTGTGCTGTGCTGTGCTGTGCTCTGAGAAGGCAAAATTTAAAAGAAATGAGCAACATACACGAATTATCTCACCTCCAGCAGGTCCAGTGCTATGTGAGTGTAAAATTTTCTGAGGCTTACCAAAATCGTCCAGCCCGCCGTTAAACGTGAAACAATTACCAAAACGAAAATCCCAAAAGTTGTGCCAGTGCTTTGAATAGTTTCTGCGAGAGTTGCCGTTAAAAAACAAATAAATTAATTAAAAATAAGGTTGAATATAGCAGAAAGTCAACCGCTGGAGAAATAACTATCAAGAGATATGTATGATATATGTTAATACTAATAACACCAATCCACATGAATCCACTTGAAACCGTCACAACTAGCTATGGACATTATATTTGGGCAACTTGGCCATCTTTCTTGATTAAACGAGATTAGCTTCAATCCAAATTTATGAATCATGCCGATTTCGAAAAAACTAACCTGGGAGCATTGAAACTAAAAAGGTTGTGAAAATGTTTCCTGTCTTGGACGAAATCTAAGTTGATTTCACATGCATCTCTAGTCATGTCAGATCCTCTACTTTGATAAATCTCTGGACACAACGGGCCATAAATGAATTACCTGCAGTCATAGCCTCTAAAAGAACACTCGAACACGAAATCTTCATATTGATGGCCTAATTTGAACAGTGTTGAATGATTCTCTTGTGCAATCTTGGCGAGTAAGGCTTCTTCAATCAGATACTCGATCATTTTAGCTTCCTCCCCAGAGATGCCAAGTGAATCATAAGCATCTGCAACACCTTCATAAAAGTCATCCTCATTGTACTCTTCTCCGGATCCAGATGACTCTAGAGAAGAATCTTCTGTGGAGTTGCCCGCAGTATCAGAGGAGTTGTTGCTTTGTTCAATCGGTATTGATACATTCACTTGAATCAAATAAAGGGGAAATTCATAAATATGGATGAAAAAAGCCTGTAGTTTTTTTTCCTATGAGCTTTTTCCCGTCTCTATGTAACTTTTCCTAGAATTCGTGTTCTAGAGACTGTTTTCCTGGATCGCGTTTAATCTCATCAGGGAGAGGGTTAAGGATCGTTTATAAAAAGCAAAAAGGTTAGGCGACTAAGATCCTCTAGACTTCTTTCTTCTTAGTCTAACGTCCCGAATATAATCCGAGCTATCAGGACGATTCTGGCTAAGCCCAAACAATCGGTAACGACACAGAAGATAGATCGCCTGCTTGAAGCTGAGGTTTCTCGAGCCATTTTCAAATGATTGCTTGGGCGGTCCTAATTCTGTCTAAGAGTAGGTCAATTTAGACAATCTTTGTGTTCGTTCTATACATAAAAACTAAGCCTTAGAAAAATAATAAGTACCCTGGTGCATACCTTGTGAGCTTATACTTGCAATTATATCGTCGACGTAGCTGTCTGGAAGCTTATCAAAGCGAAGCATGTTCATGTTACATATGGTCACTGCTGGAAACTTAGCGTTCTGAAAACAGGCGATCATTAAATATTTAATTAGGTACTAGATAGATATAGATCAAAGATGATAAAAGTCCCTACAAAAAGATGTTTTATCACCCGGCATGGCTGCCGTAAGGGATAATCGCTGACTAGCGGGCAGGGGGTATCTATTTATTACAAAATTGTTATAATTCACTGGTGCTGATTTATTATCTTTTTGATGGCTTGTTCACTTTAATGTTGTTTGTGCGTTTTTTTTTTTTTTTTTTTTACTTGTATTTTCTCCTTATCTGATTTTTAGATGATTCTCCATAACCTGCAAAGTTATTCAATACTGTCGTTTCAACCATGGCCTTATTAATTCGAATTCGATAAATTTATCAGCCATTGTTTCCTCTTTTGCATATGCTTCCAAGCATCTCCCTGAATAATCAAAATGGTTCGCTATTTTTCAGTGAGGCAAGAACACTTACGCTTTCATGTTCGACTTTTATCGTAGTTGAGACAGGATGGCTGAGGTATATGGAAAACAAGTTATACACCTGCAGCACAAACATTGTTGATGCCCCAATGCAAAATAAGCTCCATATCAAGCGACTGATCACATTGCTGCTCTCTGATAGCCGCCCAAGGCCATGAGCAGTCGTATAGCTACAGAAATCATTTAGCAAGTGCTTCAATGATTTAGGCTTTTCGTAGCCAATCCTGCCATCTTTTTCCATAACTCGCGTCCTTTCGACCCACGCCTTTCTGAAGAAGCAAAACTTTCAAGAGGATCAGAATGTTCAAGGTGAGTTCTATTAATTCTATAATTACTCTCCTCACAACCAGCTCGATTTTAAAAGACGTTGTGAGAAGCAATTTCAATGTGATGAAGATCATGTAAGCTCACTCACGATGTGTTCTAACAGCGTGAGAAACACCTTTTCAGTTGAGTCATAAAAACCATAAGAAACCATTTCTCGAATAAATATCTACTTTGGTTCTAACTCAAATGGTGATGATGAGGCGAAAAGGAAAGAGCATGTGTCTCAACACATCGAGGGTCCTTTCGCAATGAATCATGACATTCTCCAAACTGGGTCAATTTTACTTTTTGAGAAAATAGTTCTCTTGGAATGAGATTGGACGTCTCAATGAAACGGCGCCTACAAGCTCGCAATAACCGATAACTTCAGATCCATGTGATGACATGAATGTTGACCAAAAAAAACAAAAAAAGTAGTAGGGGTCAAGCTCAAGTAAAGCTAGGGGTCACTGTACCTTAAAAGGGTAATGACGAAGAATGATATGGTTTACCTATAGATCCGAACGAGTGAACGTAGGTAATGTAACTAGCCTCGTGGATAATGCAGTTGAGTTATAACCCTGTTTGTCTACCAATTCATTAGTGAATCAGTATTATAAACTATCAAGCTTCTATGGTAACCAGGTTATATTAGCAAATATCCCGTATTGTCTTTGCATTCTATTCCAACTTCGTTATTTTGCATTCGATCTATGCATTTTTAACTAACGTTCTAATAAATAAAATGACTAATAAGAGCAACGTCATTTGTGGCTTGACTGCAGCAGCTCTATCCACAGAGACATAATCAGTCTAGATGCATTTCTTTCTCATTAATTCTCAGTGACCCACAGCCCATCGAGTAACCTGTAAATAATAGCCTACAAAAATCGATCACAGTGTTCGGTCTTTAATACCGTCTGAGAGTCTTTTTTGTTTAACGGGCAAGGTCATTACTTGCATATGTGCAAATCGAATAATTAGAAAAAAAAAATAAAGAATGGCCCCTGCCTCTCATTTAGACGGCTATTTACCATCTTTTACCTTCTATAAACATATGAGTCGCCAGCTGACGTCGAATTTTACACGATATGTTCATTTCCGCGATATTGTACCAGCCGAAATTTAGAGTATTTCGCCCACATTAGGAATATTCGTTTATAAGTGCTATAGAGTGAGTATTCACCGATCCGTCGATTCTGCGATTTTAGGTCTTATAGGCTTGAAAGCATTGAGAAAACTTATGCTGCCTCCCACAATGCACGATGAGAAAATCAAGCTTAGCGTAGAAGTTTTCTAGATAGTTCGTTAATGTTGCAGCCAGTAGAGTCAGCGAACTAAAGTACTATTATTGGTATTAGGTTAAACAAAGTGAATGGTTGACATTCACCCCATTTGTGTCGTTCATTTGATTGTAAAAGTTCTTTGTTCCATACGAAGATTTCGAACGCTCAAGGCGTTTTCCATACATTTTCCTCAGCAAATCTCTCTTCAAGTCATTTCTTATTCATTACCTTTATTAAGTCTATTTTAAGTAACTTTATATACTTTACCAACTGAGTACTTCCTAAATGTCTCTTACTGATATTGGTTCACTATTCTAATTGTAGAGAGCAACGAGAGTCATCTCGCCCGAAGTCATGTCGCCCGAAACCTGAGTCATGTTGCCCGAAATTTTAGTTATGTCGCCCGAAAAAAAGTCGAGTCGCCCGAAGAAACAAATACTAAAAAGATCTGAATTTCAGAATGTTAATAGGCAATAACGTTGAGAAATTTTTATCACTAAAGCGCTCTCTGTTTCCGACAACACCATGAAGATTCTTAAAGTTTGTTCGTTCCTAACAACAAAGGTTGTTCATTTCCAACAACAAAATGCAGTGTTGTTTGTTTGGTATGTAATCGTTTCTTACTCACGGACGTTTCGTAAGCTTGAGAAACTTTTTCTTGGTTTCTAACAATACCATGAAGACTTTGACTACACAGAAATCGATTGTATGCTCGGAACTGAAATATGTTTGAGTAACGATTCTAAAAGCGTTGTTCGTTTCTAACAACAAAGGGAAGTGTTCTCCGTTTCTAACAAAAAAATGAAGCGTTGATCGTTTGGTATGTACTCGTTTGTTACTTACGGACATTTCGAAAGCTTGGGGAACTCTTTCTTGTTTCTTAAAATGCCATGAAGACTTTGACTACACAGATGTTAGGAACGTCGGAAACAAAGAGCGTTTTAGCGATAAAAAATTTCTCAACGTTATTGCCTATTGACAGTCTGAAATTCTGATCTTTTTAGTATTTGTTTCTTCCGGCGACTTGACTCTTTTTTTTCAGGCGACATTACTAAAATTTCGGGCAACATGACGCAGGTTTTGGGCGACTTGACCGGTTACCTGTTAAAACTAGTGATACCAGCAGGAATGAAACCTCCAGGGTTGCTTGGTCCTGATTTATCTAGTAGGTAACTTGCTAAGACATGAATTCGGGTGGAAAAAAGCAATCACTTATCATGCAAAATTAAAATAAGGTAAATTTGCACTGAAAACCCGAAAGGTAGCATCAGTAACCTTAGCCAGGCTGAAGTGAAAAAAAAAAGATAAATAAATAATTAAAAATAGAATTCCGGTTTTTGTTGCAATATGTAGGCATTGAAAACCGTTGAGATACAGAGAGAAGAGCCTAGAGAGTAATTTTCTTAATTGACGTTCCGACAAAAAAAAACATTACATTCAGAGTTTAGAATGAAGGAGGGCGGATGTGTGATTCTGAGCTCCCGAGTTATTGGACTTGTACTCCTCTTGTGTCTTGTTCATACCTCGAGGAAAGGTAAACATGACTACTCTTTTACAAATGAGTACTTTGGTCTACGTTTCCCGCACTCTACGTCAGTTAAAGTGGCAAACTGAGATTGGAGACTCTGCATAATAGAAAATACAAAATGGCGGGCACACGTGCATGTCACTATTAGAGTGAAACGAGCAAACGTTACTACAGCCTATTATGCCAATTCAACCTCGACCTTTAGACCTGTTATACAACTGTATCTTAAAATGCCGTGAGCATTTCGTTCTTGTAAAGGAAACGGTACTGGAAAATAAGTTTGACATATTTACCGTATCCGAAACATGGCTCAACAGTTCAGTTACGGATTTGGAAATAGAAATTCTGGCTATGTTATCTACCGTATCGACCGACAAGCGAAGATTGGCGGTGGAGTATGTGCTTATGTCTCACGAAATTACAGGACGGAGTACTTGAGCGATATATCTCTTATCACGGCCTCTGGCTTTCACACCAACTGTGGCTAAAAATCCACGTCAGGAACATGAAGTCTTTCATTGTCTGTACAACCTATAGACCACCGGACGCATCGTTATCTTGTTTCGATTCAGATCTCACAGAGAACTTTATTTATGCCTCGTCGTTCAATGTTCCAATTTATCTATTGGGAGATTTGAACTGCAGACTTGAGAATAGCAACGATCCTGGAGCTAATGTCCTTGTTAATTTCTGCCGTTCCTATAACTTGTCAATACTGATCAACACGCCAACACGAGTTACAGAGACTTCGAAATCAGTTCTAGATGTTATCCTTGCATCGGACACAAGACAAGTTCAAACGGCTACGGTTATGGAAAGCTCGATTAGCGACCATGACTTGGTTTATGTCACCTTAAAATTGAAGAAAGCGCGCGCCAAACCCGTCTATATTACAACCAGAAGTTTTAAACACTACAGTCCTGTTGATTTTAGCAACGACGTATCACTGGCACCGTGGTCCATAGTTGATGTTTTCGACGATGTCGAGGACAAACTTTATGCACTCGATTCGCTATTTACTGAGATACTCGACCGCCATGCTCCAATTAAAACCTTTCAAAGCACGCTGTAAACCAAATCCATGCGTAACAGACAACATACGGGGATTGATGAAGACCAGGGATGATTGGCGTAAGAAAGCAAAGAAAACAAATGATCCGCTATCTTGGACTGCCTACAGATATTTCAGACAGGAAGTAAAGAGGGAAATCAGAATTGCTGAACAGGAATTTGTGGCCCAACAAATCCAGAGGAATCCAAATAACACCAATAATATCTGGAAAGCAATTCGCCAGTGCATCCCCTGCAAATCTACATCTCAGCGAACATACAGTAAGAGCGACAAAGCTGTTGCAGACGAATTTAATCAGTTTTTCGTATCTGTTGGTCAGAGCACTGTTGACAAAATTACGTCCCTGGCTAATGAATGCAACCTAACACTTAATCAGAATTATTTTGTACCGAGACAATACGCTCTCTGACCAGTTCACACTGAGTACCATTGATTATAAACAAATAGAACGTATAATAGCAGCGATGCCTTCAAACAAGGCCCCAGGGATAGACAAAATCCCGATTCGTGTCATCATCAAGGATTGTCTTAATCCAATTGTTCACCCAATAACGTCTATCGTTAATGCATCCTTTCAAAACTGTATTTTTCCATCAAAATGGAAGACAGCTGTGGTTACACCAATCCCAAAAGAGGGCGACCAGGAACAGGCAAACAATAATAGACCCATCTCACTTACACCAGTCTTATCAAAGGTTTGCGAAAGGGTAGTACATAATCAGCTCACCTCGTATCTGCAATCGAATGACACCCTATCAAAGAGCCAAAGCGGTAAGTGATTGAAACAACTGACACAATTCTTAACGCGATTGACAAAAAAGAAGTTAACGGCAGTTGTTCTATTAGATATGAGCAAAGCTTTCGATAGCGTCAATCACGACACGTTAATTTTAAAATTGCAAGATGTCGGAATTTCCAAATAAATGGTTTCGTAGTTAAAGCAACAGGACACAAGTAGTACGAATCCATTCAACGCTATCTGAGCCTTTGTCCGTTCCCTCAAGGAAGTATCTTAGGCCCACTACTATTTAGCAAATCGATCCCACTGAAATGCAGCACTCAGAGTTATGTAGATGAACGAAACTCATCACTTCCTTCGAACTTAAAGACAACCTGATGCAATTGCTGATTTGGAAGACGACTTGTTTAAAATAGGAGAATGGTGTTCCAACAACCAATTGTTACTTAACCCTGGCAAAACCAAGCTGATGATATTTGGCAGCAGGCAGATGCGTGCAAAATTGCAATTTCGCTCCCTTTCCATTATTTCGTCCCCGCAGACACCGCCAAAGACCTTGGTGTGATTTTGGATTCTAATTTAACTTACGATGAACACATAATTAAGACCGCTTCCTCGTGCATGTCCCGCCTCGGCCAAATAAACCGGGTCAAGCATGTTTTCGACAAACGTACACTTTTGATGATTATTAATTCCTTAGTTTTCAGCAGGTTATTTTATTGTTCATTAATGAGTTACAGAATCTTTGTTACCAAATTCGACCACGGGGAATATTATTCAAAGCCAGCTTTAGAGTCTTCAGTTTGGTCCCCAGATTACCTCTCATCAAAATTCATAAAGCTTTTAGCAAAAATGAACATTCTTTAGAACAGCTGAACTTTTTCTATAGGGGATCCCCTTTAAACTGTAACAAGTTTTTAAAAAACGTTTAAGAGTTTTTTTATATATTTGTATGCTTTTATTTTTCTTTTAGAACATTCAGATTTTAAAACATCAACTGTCATTCGATTGAAACTTTGGTCTTTGGAAACGTCTAGCATTCTCGTATGGTCAGATCTTATCGAACCTGCTTCTCGCCCGTTGAACCATCTTTTCAGAAGATATTTGATTTCTTTTCGGTAATTTGCGTTTGTTATGGTGTAGCACACTGGATTGGCAGCGCTGTTAGCAAAAGTTAGAATGTTGCAAAATGCCACCAGCTCCCAAAATTCTGGAAATTCCTCCTCGGCTTTGCCAAAGTCCAGCCATAACCACATGATATTGGTGGGGAGAACGCAAACTGCGAACAGAATCGTTACAGCAACCAACATGCGAGTAACTTTGGCTGCTTCTTCGTTCTTGGCATGTTGAAGGGATCTGTTTTCTGTGTCCGACTTCTTCCTGCCTAACTCCCTACCAATGCTTACATACGCTGCGGCGATAATGCTCAGAGGAACAACATACTGTGCAACAAAGAGGAACACCGTGTAAACCTTCCTGCTGTGAACGTTTTTCCAGGTTTCGTCGCATGACCCGGTTTCGCCGATTCCCAGAACATTTATGTAAGGAGAGACAGGTACTATGGCCAGCAGCCAAATAATTGCAATCAGACACTTAGCATTGGTGGTGCTAAGCTGACGTTTTAATGGGTGAAGGATGGCCCAGTAACGAGTCAGACTAACCGCTGTTAGTGTGAACACTGATGCAAATAAGGACATAGTCTGAAGCGGATAAAGGACACCACACATAAACGACCCGTAAGGCCACCTGTAATTCATCTCTTGAACAGGTATGTCAAATGGGATGCAAATCAGCGTGAGAGTCAGATCGGCGAAAGCCAGATTGAGAATGAAATAATTTGTGACCGTCTTCATCCTTCGCTTCCTGAATATGATGATGCAGACAAGAATGTTTCCAATAGCGCTGACCAGAAAGATGATTGTATACAAAGTGAGCTTTAAGGCCTTTGAGTAAATGTTTACTTGGCTTTCATTGGACTCTTGAGTGACATTACTCGAGATGCCACCAAGTCCTTCTTTCGTGAGATTGAAAATCAAATTGTTTGAAGTTGAATTGGTCATCTTCATGAAAACCCGACGATCTTTTTTCCTCAGTTAAGATGTCTTCTGGCTGTTTATCACCAACCACCAGGATCTGCAAGGCGAATAAATGTTTCATAAGTGCAGTTGTAACTGCTTCACCACTGGAGTGTAAACAATATCGATAGGAAACTTTCATATCATTAAAACATTTAATTCTCGAGTGAGTTTTCTTAATCAGTCATCAAAGTAATCAAACTATAGCCAAGATTTGGCTATGGATTACCGCTAAAAGTCCCAATTTCTTTACGGCGTCGAAGAAAAATCGTATCAACGATACGCCACACTTTTTGAGGCCTTCTGTATATTAATTACTTTAATTTTTTGGGCGCCACACAAAACCACACAGACCTATTAACTTATTAAAAATTTAAAGTTCAATGCCGAAGTATTATTGGAAAAAACATATTTTCTATAGTGTTTCTCTTGCCAAACTTTCTTTCGTTTTTCTGTCTTTTTATTTTCATTATTCTGATTAATCCTTTCATTTGTCTTTACAAATGAAAGGGTTTTCTACTCAAATTCTTCTGGCTGGTCGAAATGACATTCCCTCTAAATCTTTAAATTGTAGCTAATATAGAGCGAAAACAAACAAACCAACCAAAAGAAAACGAAATCATAAAGCAAATAATCAAACAAACAAAATAAAAAACAAAAAATATCAAACCAGAAAAATTTGGGTTTTTTGACGTGCAGGGAAATTTAGCTAACCCGAACTCAGGGCCGCCAGCCGCAACGATTCTAATTCCTGTTCGTCAAAGAAATCATATAAAAGAAAAAAAAAAAAAAACCTAAAAATAGTATCAAGAGTGAAAACAGAGAAAACACGGGAAGTAGCTATCAGAGATAATACCGCGTGATATGACACAAAGTTGACCAATAATGCATTTATGAATCGTTGTTTTAAATTGAACCTGCTGAGACAGAGGAGTGTTAGACCGATGTCATTTTCATATTTAATGGCAGGTCTGTAACTCTCCGCTAACTGCGCCGATGGACATCGCTAGTCAGTCGTAGTAAATTTCGTTAAAGCATGCACTTTTCGTCAGTTATTTGCCATATACCTTGAAATCTGTATCAATAATGTAGGTGAAATAAGAAGCTTTTCTTTTAGGCTGTTTCAAGTGTAATAAAACACACTGAAAATTTATTTACAATATATAATGAAGGACTTCTTTTAACTTAATCAAAGCACCATGCCAATATTTTCTTGCTTTATCATCAGAAATGGAGTGCAGTTTGTTCAACGTTTAATTCTAACTTCGACTATTATGCAAAATATACAAGAGAGACTGAGCGTCGAGACATTCGTACTCAGATATCCAACCTGTGACAGTTTACAAAATTTGATTAAGACGGTCTGTTTTTTTGCATATTTTTCATTTTGCCATGTCAACTGTAACATTCACTTTAACTATTCTTACTGTTTGTTCTCCCTTAGGGGAAACATAAAGCCCGGATGGGTTGAGCAGATCGATTCGTGCGACCTTAAAAATTTGCCTGACGATAAACCAAAAGAGACTTTCCGGTCCTAAGCCAACACAAAATAGTAGGACAAAATGTTTTCATGAAAGTCATTGTGGATCACGCTAAAAGGATCTTTTTTTTTTCTTTTTTTTTTTTTTTTTTTTTTTCATTATCATGGAGAAGAAATGTTCTTACCCGTTCTAAGATTGTGAATAGGTTAGATGATTTGTTTACTAAGTGGTTTGGCCAGTATCATTTATTATTCATTATCGAAGGATTTGCAAACTTAACTTATAGCTATCCTTCATGGCTAACTATTCTAGAAACCATTAAATATTCTCCATAATGAAGGTGCACCGAGTAACATTATTGCTGGCTGAGTATATAAGCTGCCTTATTACATAGTAAATATATTGAACGCATGCTACAAGTCCTTTGTTTCTTCAGACGCCACGGTCCTTTCTCTCAATGTTGGGTCAACTCACATAGCCAAAATGGATTTCGAATCATAATTTAAATATTGAATAACTACCCATCACAAGAATCTTCTTGAATTTCCTTAGCATTAGGGATCATTTCCGCAATCTTCTTTATTGTGCGCGTTGTCAATTGACTATCATTCCTACTTTCCAGAATCGTCTCGTGAACGGAAATTTCAAAGTGTCAGAAGACGATTGGAATCGAGCTCACACAAAAACCTACTTAGAAACTCGGGATGATAGCGGACATAAAATGCAAATCACTGTACGATTCTTGCGTGAGAATAACAGTTAGATGTCCAATTTTGAACGCGGTTACCCGATTGAAATGATAATTGTAAATACAATTACCCAAAATTAAAGTTGCTTACTTGAAAAAAAGCGCCATCCAAGATGTAGGTTATTCGCCTTACTGCCCTTTCAAAATGATGTGTCTGGCAAATTAGAAGTATAATTTAATGAGCGGCGTATTGAACAAGAATATGCATGAAATTGGACACATTTGTTTGCCGAAGTTTTGGCTACCTCAAATAAAACAACAGTCATAGTCAAACCGGCTGCATAAGCAAAGTAATGATCGTGTCAAAGAATATCTAGTAAAACATTTGCTTGATGTGTTTATGGAGACAAGTTTTCCTTCGCAAAATGTCAGTTTTTGAGATTCTAAAAGTATGAATTTGAAGTCATTACTCAGAGTTGTCCACATAAAATTGGTGGAACATGATCGTAAACACATGAGAACGCGTCTGCCGACTAAAACCAATTACTAGTGTGATATTTAACATGGAGCAAATTTGAATACGAAATGAACACGAAAATGTATCAAAACAAAAAGAAGCTTGGCGATATATAATTTTTGAACACCCGCTGTTTAGATTAAGATTTGGCGGTACATGGATTGTTTTCGGTTTCCTAATTTCAAAACGATAGATCGATTGCAAGCCTTCTTCTCAGTTTCAGGTCAGATAAGCCTAATTTGATTTGTATTCGCTTAAATTTGCTTCAGAAAAAGGATACTTTTTAAAAGAATTTTTATATAAATGGCTTATTTATTTCTGTTTTTTGAACGACATATTGTTTTGCCAGGCAATAATAAGCCGCTCAGAGAGAAACTAATCAAAGCAAGGTTCACATTAGCCTTTTAAAAGTTTATATTACATCCAAGAATACGTTGTAATTTTCAGCGTGAAGCACAATAATACATTTAGTCCCTTTTGGTGAATTAGAATGCTTTAAGCAATTGAAACATAATACGACGCAGATTATTGACCTGCAAATAAAGAAAAGATGATTGACATCGTCCTAACACTTCAAAAAAATAAGGTCTATCTTTGATCTTGTTTATGACTGGTGAGTTTGTGGTGTGAAAGAAATATGTTCGCCTATAGCTTTAGAATGCTTTTTATAACCGTAAATACTGTAATTGTGGCCCTTCGATCAATTACCTCGTTTCCATTATTACATTTTGTACTGAGGTATGCTTATCAATCGGATACGCGTTTTCTGCTGCTCTTGTCTCCAAAAGTATATTTCCTCAAATCTTCTTCCTACAATCAGCTAACATTGCTGCTCTCGATTCGATGAATAATCCCCTAATGTTGTGTCCATTTAATAAAAAACTGATTTAAAGTAAATTATACAAAGGAAGAAAAACGAAGACACAAAAAACACACACAAAAAAATTTGAAGCTGTAAAAAATTTTACACATAAATTATGAAATTATTTACCTGGAAGGCGCTCTTTCTGATGTACAAGTCATTTTTGTGAAAATTTGATTGTAGTTTGAAGAACACTATCGTTTTATGTGGCGGGCTTATTTGATTGATGTTGTCATTTGCAAGAACTAGAAAAATCGTATTTATTAATTTCATTTCCCATATTATTCTTAGTATTGCTATGATTATTGCTATTGTGACAATCATTATTATTTCTCTTACAGGCACTTTTACCTACCATCGTCAGTTTCGTTTCCTTTTAATAGTTTCTCTTCCATTTATGGTTACTCTTAAAAATGTTGAATTTTCTTACGAGGAATACGAGTACTCGATTATATTCTATAATAGTTTAACTGGAAATTTCATGCTACAATGAATTTCTTATTCTATTACTATCATCAACGCTCTTTTGTTGCTGCTTTTTGTTTTGTTTGTTTATTTCGGCGAAGAGGGCATTAAACCTGCTTCTAAGTAAGCGGTAATTGTTTTCACTAACATCATTGTGCCACGAGATGTCTTATTTTAACAAACTGATAAATCAAATTTTATTCTTGCGGAAAAATAAACACGACGTTAAAAGGCACACACAAAGGTTGCTAACTTCGATTTTAACCTGACACGCACTTAGTCGAAGGCAGAACAATTTTCAAGGATTATTTGACAAAAGGTGTCAATGAGAATAGATTTGATATTTCAAGTAAACTATGCTGCCCGGTATTATAAACTAAGGCAATAAGGAAATAACATGCAAGCGTGTTAATTGTTATTCGCACGCTAATTGAGTTAAATTTCTTCCCGTGCTCTTTCTGTACAATATTTTAAGCGACCAAAAACGCCTTACCTTGATGGAGCGAAGACTGACTCCCAATTTAGCGTTTCAGAAAGCGCGAATCCTCTTTTTATTGTTCAGAGTTGAGAACGCGGCTTAGCATGTAAATGCTCCCTTATCAAGGGCGTTGAGCTCGTTTACACCGCCTAAACTCAAACAAAAGAGGTGACATGTCGCTTCCTTGACTCACAATATTGACTAACACGTAACGCAGTAACACGTAGGTGAATCACGTTTGACACGCCAACGAAACTTCTCGTCAATGAAAATGAGTCACGTTTGACACGTTTCCGTTTTAACTATTTACTACTAGTAAGTTGAATCATTCACCTTTCCCAAGGTTATAACTTCAAAACCATCGAAATTATATTTAACAAATTTAATGATATCCATAAACTTTTATGTGCAAAATAAAAAAAGAATTTTTAATCGCTTTGACGTGAGCCGACTCTGAATTTGCAAAGCACTTTTGAGGTATTACTTCGATTATT